CGCCTGTGAGAATGGAGATGTCCAGCAATCAAGCGCAATTGATATCTTAGACCCAGCAGGTAGCCTTCGGAGTAAATCTTCTTGTCTCTCTTTCACTGTAGTGTGTAGCCGGTTTCTAATACGTTTTTGTGACGGGATCTCAGGGCATGTTGGGGCAGTTTGGGCCATTCTGATAAGGCTATGAAATTCAGGGTGCTCGACTAGTCGGAATGGAAGCCGTGCGACCGTAAGGAAAGTAAGAAGCTTCTGTTCCCATGCATCTTGTGTAAATTTGTGATTGGTTAAAGGGTTTCTGCTCTATAGCGTTGAAAGTTAAGCGTTGAGAGTGAATATTAATTAAAGATATGTTTTTGTGCACAAAAACACGTCTCTTAATGATCGAAGAGAAAGTTGGAAAAAAAGAAGAATAGATGAATATTTATACTTACAGCTGTTTGTATAAACTGGGTAATACCAGATGCTTGCGTCTTATTCTTAGTATAATTGCGACAATTAATACCCTTTAAATGCTTGTTCATTGTCGAAGTTCCATGGCGCATACTCGTTCCAGCGCATGGAGATTGAGGGTGCTCAAGGATTTGCCCGCAACGTCTGCACATTACCTTTGGTGCACCATCAGCGGCATTTGCTACCTGATCGAACTGGGTCCAAACTTCAGAAAAGTGGTTTGAGTCCCATCGTACCCTACTTTGTTTCCCAAAGTCGGTCTGAAGCCACCATTCTACCCAATCACTATGTGTCATGCTTTCATAGAGAATGTAGCCCTTTCGACGATCTGGGCCAACGCGTTTTAGAGAGGAAGGGATCGTGAGAGGGGCGGATGGTCGAATAAACTCTTGATCAAAGGAATTGGTTGTCTGCTGGCTGACTGAGAGTTCGGGTGTATATAAAAGATGTGAGTCCTCTGGTGGAAAATAAGGAAGATTATCTATATCACCATCGTAGATAGATGATGAGAAGCCATCAGCATCAGAGTATTGGAGTTGAGACATATAGAAAGTAAAGAGGGGTAGTAGATGGTTTAGAAGAATATGAGAGCAGTAGGCACTTACGTGGAATTTTCAATGCTGTAAATAAGGGAATTTAATAATAAAGAGGGGGGTTGACCATGCTGTATAGTGAAAAACTGAGTATGTTGATCTATCACAACTTGACTTATAAAGTATGGTTCCTATTGGATAGAATTTATGGGTTATCAGGTAACCCGCAAGAGACCCGCAAGAAACCCGCAAGTAACCCGCAATAACCCGCAGAAACCCATAAGAAACCCGCAGAAACCCACAAGAAACCCATAAGAAACCCATAAAAACCCATAAAAACCCATTGAATTTATGGGTTACTGAAGGCCTTAGGGGTTAATGATTTCTATAGAAATCGTTGATCTCCTGATTTTTCAGGCTATGAAAGTATTACTAATTGCTGTAGAAATGGCTGATAAAGTCTGCCACTGAACGACAGAGTCTAAGATAGAGAGAGTATATAAAAGTACTGCTGATTTCTATAGAAATCAGTCATAGATTTGATATTAAAAAAGTTGAAATTAAGCTGATTTAGGTAGGGGAGAGAAGGTCCACAAATCTCCTAGAAGATACACTTGAAGAGCTCTACATGAAATATATATATTTCCACCCCAAATAACCATTTCCTACCTAAACTCTTTTAAATAACCACAACCTACCTTAAATACATTAAATCCTAAAGGCAATCTTATTACCAGACTTAAAGTTTTGATATACAACCTAAATCCTTTTAAATTCATGATACTAATGATTGAATAACGAGAAATTCAAAAGCGTGACAGAAACATGTGTAAATAACAGTAATTAATTTCATGAATAATCAAATTTATCCATCCTATTTAGGTATAGCGTTAGAAATTTATGCAAAGATGGGCTAGCGTGGGTAACCCGCACCCGAACCCGCAACCCGCATGGGGCGGGTTGCGGGTTGACCTGACCAACCCATGGGTTTTGCGGGTTCGGGTTGCGGGTTGACTTTACCTACCCATTTGCGGGTTATGGCACAGACTAAATAGGATTAACGAAGTTGGACCCCTATATTAGGGGTTGAACTTTTAATAAAATTTAAATCACGTGATAAGTAGGCTAATATATATCTCTTGAATATTTTCCTCAACATCTCTTATATTAACATTAAGTTTTGAAAGAAATAAGCTAAAATTCATTAATTCTAATCGAAAATATATTAAAAATCACTATATTAGCTATTTTTAGGGGAAAAAAGTAGAAGGTTCATAAGGCTAGGAAAGTATAAGTAGTCCCTGGTTATAGCTATTGTCACGGTGTGTCCTGATAGGGTCCGTAGGGACCCGCTAAGACCGATAAGGGAGATCACGGGCACGTGATCTATATCTTGTTTATCTGCACTTCCGATCTGGATCCTGTTGTAGCTCTTCGAGCTACGTCTTGTATAATAGCTTACGCTAGACCGTCCGCCGACCTGCTGCCGGATCAATTAGAAACCCTCTGAACCCGACCCGATCCCGCCGGTCTTCTCCTATTATAACCCTGCCAGCCTGCACCCTGACAGCTATATATCTTTACGATATCCCTGACTGTAACTAGTAAAACAAACATAAAACAGCCAAAATTACCTTTGTAATTTACATTAACTTATCTATTTCCTCCTTAGGCAATTATGCAGGAAATAAGGGAATATGGGATCTAGCTGGGATTCCCATTGCGCTTAGTAAATCCCATGGGATTTTGGCAAATGGGACTTACAAGAAAATTTTTTTCCGGTCCCATATTGGCAGGTCTAGCAACAAATAGACCTAGGAATCTGGGACCAGGATAGGTAGGGTCCCCATAAGACTCCCATGCCAAGCCATGGGAAATCCTACGTACCTAAGTCCCATGGGATTCACCTTCTGGGATTTGGGCAAGAGGGTGGTCCCATGGGGCCCTGAATTCCCAGGTCTAGTAACTAGTAACTAGTGCGTATTTTGCATACACAAAATGCTCGATTTTATTAATTTATTTTAATATCAGGCAATAAGTCACTCGTCTACTCGTCTTCACATTTTAATTCATTCTCAGTACTTCTTCTATTCCGTCTTGATTTCTACCAACTCCGACTTCCGCCACCGATCCGGTACTTAAAACTATAGTGCGTGCGGTGTTCATCCTAATAAAATATGCTTGTCCGTCATTATATCAGTTTGGCACCCCCTGCCTCGAGCAAGATAGCAAGTATCTTATCCAATACTATCCTCTGATCATCAAAGGTAAGTCTGATGGGTCCACTTTTATCACTTTTCAAACTAAATCTCATTTTCATATATTTTCATACCGTGATTTCCCTCAATATAGTGCTACTTGCTTTCCATGCGCTTAGCTTCATATAGCATTTTCTTTATTGATCGACCTGTTCTAGTGCTAGACCAGTCCGTAGGCGCCCTGTTTGAGATACTAGACATATTGGGAAGGTGGGCGTGGAATAGCATAACTGCCTATTGGTAAGCTAGCTGCCGGAAAAATCGAAAAAACCCGAGGTTTCAATGGCCTATAACAAGATTTTATAATTCTTCATGTCTATCTCCATTTATTTTGCTTTCTGCTGCGTTTCTCCTTCGCTACCAGCCCCAAAGCTAAATTGGTTCTCTCGGATAATCTGGGATTTGCAAAGATAGCGACTATTGTGACAGATGAGCCAATCTCACCTCGATGATGCATCTCAGCTTACGGAGCACGAGCTATGGCAATACCGCTCGTATTATGCCCCAACACCTGGTTATTGCGGCAGTCCCTACGCAGTGTCATCGATCCTGAGCCCCTCCCAATCAAGCGTAGTACATAATATCATCAAGCTTGCTGTTGGATTGCCAGATGGAAATAGTCGGGTGAGCGGATTATCTGACGGTGTACGCTCTTTCGCGCCTGCACCCTATGGAGGCTAATTCCAGATCGGGAACTTGTCATCGCCTAATGTAAGCAACATCATCAAATGAAGTACCCCCCCTTTCTCATGTAGGATCCGAAATGGCCAGTGCAGGAACGTTCTGTGGTCCAACAAAAGATTTGAAGTGTGGGCTCTCGCCAATCAAAAAGAGAACTTGGCCGACATGTACTTATGACGTCACATGATGGTTACACAATGCAGATCTCTCATGCGCTAACAACCGTAGTAGGTAATCTACAGTACAGTAGTACGATATCTGTACCCACTCACACAACGAGTCATCGGGGGCGAAGCAGTCCGAAATTTGTAGAAATATTCTATTAATGGTATTCCCGACGCCCTACAGATACCCATGGGTAACATCGTGCACTCTAAAGACAGGGTATAGGGTACGTTAGGTGACACACTTTGTCTTTTGTGGAAGGTCAAAGCTCCTCTAACGGGGATATTATGACCAATGAACACATTCCTAGAGCTGAAGAACTTCAGCTTGGACGGTCATTCCCGGCGTTATCTACATACGATTGAAACCTTCTGTCCTTAGCTTCTCTTTCCTCATTTCAGTGTAAACTGAGCCGATGCTGAAAAATGAGCAAACATGTGAATAATGGGCGGTGTCCATCCCTGTACAATGTGGTCTGATCAGCGGGATGATCAAATGTCATATGCAAGTCTAAAGCTACCAATCTTGGATCCCTGCAGCTAGATAGATTCAAAGAAGTATATGCTATTATTGATCTTACTTAGAACAGTATGCAAGACCAGACTCGAGAGATGGGACCCATCACACCCATATATTGACTAGCCCAGAGAGCGTCGGGTGGCGACAAAAATCTCTATTGTTGCAGAAGAAGGGGTAGAAGATGAGGGATCTAAAGGAATAAAGATGCTGCCGCCTTCAATTTGATACCACTAAGCTGACAACCTAAAAACATGCATTCGGCTATTTCGGGACGAAATCATGTTTACATTGGGAATAAGGTGCATGACCTGGACGGGTGTGCCCCGTGGCGGCTCTACAGTAGCCAGCCACATCGAGCGAACCAGACTCCCGGAACGATTTCCCTATCCAATCATAACTACCGAAAAAACCAGTCACTCAAAATCGTCCACCATCTAACGCCCAAAAACTCTATCCCTGACGCCATCATAACGTGCTTGAAGGCCAATGCCGAAGAACCATACAGATTCCATACCAATGCCCGAAGGATAACCCACATGAACGCCAACCGCAGGAAGAAAGCGTACACCGCAGCTGCATTGTATGAACCCCACGCAAACCTTTCAGTGAGACTACAATGTATCCGTGCAGCCCGGTATCTCCTATACATTCCGACGGAGAAATTCTTTTCGGAAAATTCGTCCATGAAGGTTCTGTCTGTGCTCCGCTGCCAGGGGAGTACAGATACGGATCGGGATTTCTTTGAAACAGGAGGAGGCTGTGCGCTTTTGATCAGACTTTGGAACAGCTCGTGGTCAGATGCCCACAGGCGTTGAGAGATAGGGTCACAGATCTGCGGTTCACTTTGCATTTCAGCCACAAACGCCGAGACAGCACACGTGTACTTTAGAATGTTTGTGTAGAATTTTGGCGTGAGAGGTTGGATCGTCAGAGTTGGCCGTGGGGCCGAAGTGAGTGTCTTAATAAGAGAATGCATAGTGATGGGAGGAATCTGCATGGATTTGGCAGGTATGTAGATCACCGTCAAGGGAAACGGGCATGCGTCGATCAGACGGGAGAGGTAAAGTCGGAAGAAGGGTTCCAAGGTCCTGCAGAGTGAGATTTTAGAAGAGACGCTGGCTAAGTAAGTGTGAGTGGAGCTTACTTCTCTGTCTTCGATGCCTTGCGTGGAATATTGTTTGGCTTCACATCTGGCTTGTTCAGATATGGTAAATTGCCTCTGAAGCGAATCCGAAGGGCCTCCACCACAATTCGGCCAATGGAGAGTGGAACAGTGAATGACCAACTTAGAAGGAAGATCACTACCTCCCAAGAAGACGCCAATAGAGGGTCAAGGGGCGGGGCACATGAATAGAGGCGACTGGAGATTTTAGGTTTACCAGCGGGGCTCATGAGCGTCATGTTGGAGTGCAAGGGACCTCCCTTGGCAGGTGATGGGTCAAGGGGGTCAACGAATCGAAGAGAAAACCAACCTTCAACTTTCTCAAAAGGTGAGGCGAAAATGTCCTTGTCCCAGCTGCCCTTATAGTATTTGGCGCCAGGCGCGGAAGACATGAACCGCGTAGACTGGGTGCCTTCCGGTCCTCTTCCCGACACAACACTGATGGTTTCGGAGTCTTTCGCTTTTTCCAAAACAGAAGACTTTTCTGGATAGAGTCGGGTAAAGGCATTCTTTTTTTCACCGTATGAATTGTTAATCTCCATGATAATACCACACAGCTCCTTTGAGGGCGAGTAGAGATACCAGTAGGAAATTGGACTTTTCGTCCACCAGAGAAACCTGGGAATTCCCACAATATAGGCATATGGGAATTGATCTGGATCCTCACCCTGTTAGAAATTAGCACTAGCCCAAGCCTACATTTCAAATGAGTACTTAAGGGGAATTTACCTGTTCTCTCAAAAAGTTTCCAAGTTTCTTGGCCAGACCTAGATGACCATCTCCTCCATGGAGATACAAATTCGTGTCAACTCTGAACCAAAGCAGCCTTTTGAATATCCAGGAGATGATGGCTGAGGAGTTCTGTTGCGACTCATCACTATCGACGGACAAAACCGCCCCAACACGACCGCGCAACCCAACAGGAATGCCAACAAGGAAGTAGTTGATCCAGTAAGTATATTTCTCTGGAAACATACGGGAGTGGGTAAGTCGTGATGGGTAAAGGAGGGGTCGTCCCAGCAGCGTCTTCTCTATCTCAGGGTTCTCTTGGGACTGCAAAATTAACTTTCGTTGAAAATATGCAATCATTGATACCCAAGCAAGTAAGGTTAAACCAAGAATCCCGAAAGAAATGGGGATCAAGAGCCCAAGTGTCTTAGTCCAGCCAATCCTTTGTGATACCTCGACTAAAATAGGAAATAGAGTAAACAGTGCATCCTCAGTAGATGTACCCGGGTGGTATCGGAATGAATAGATAATCGTCCCAATACCAATCACGCCTAGACAAGGCACAAGGGATTGGAAATAATCAACGGATAACGTGTCTGTGTGGAGCATGGCTTCGAGTGTAGTTTTTTTTTGGAAAAATCCGATAATTTGGGACCGAGGGGGGACTGTTTAATATGGTTGGTTTCGGTTAGAAGGAAAGCTCACCGTTCTTACTGATATTACGTCAACAGGTCAATCGCCGAGCTGTGTGCATGTGAAATATGAATATTGCTAAGTTTGGAAGATCTATCATGCTGAAGAAGCCCAACTTGGTTAGCTCCAGAAACGAGTAAACGGGCTGCTATAGGCATCGAGTCGCCACAATAAACCGTACCGGGCAAGATCGCCATTGAGCACACCATCTTTACCACCTCTGAAATTCGTTATTGATATCGGAACTTCCATTTAAGGCACAAAGATAGGAAATACCAATCGTCAACGGAAAAAGCAGGACCTGTGCCACCCCAAGATGCATATACGATGGACTAATTCTTTACTTGCAGCTGACTGATATAACGCAAACTGAGACTTCGAATTCGTGAGCATGTGAAAGTTCACTGTGAAGTAATATAAGTTTGGCCTGATTAAACCCTCAAATTTTGCCTGTTGTCAATTTGCCAAGTCTTTCCATCAAAGGTTCGACATCATGAATTTCTCCGGGAAAAGACCATTCAACAAGGTGGTGATAATTGGAGCTGGGTTTTCTGGTTTGACTATGGCATGTCAGCTTCAGATCAAGCTCAATTGTGATGACTATGTCATCTATGATAGAGAATCAGCCCCTGGTGGTGCTTGGTGGGCAAACAAATGTCAGTGCATTTTCTGTTCTCCGAAGATGCCCACAGGCTTCATTGGGGAGAAGCTAACATAAGAACAGATCCTGGATGTGCTGTCGACATTCCTGCGGCATTCTACAGCCTTTCATTTGCTCCTAACCCGGAGTTCTCGAAGGCTTTTCCTCCACAATCGGAAATTCTGGCATATTTCAACGGTGTTGCGGAGCGTTACGGTGTTTCTCGGCACGTCGTTCCAAATACGGAATGGGAAGGAGCCTATTGGCAGGAGCTCACCAGCACATGGCTGGTGAAAATAAAAGATATCCCCACTGGTGAGATCTTCTATCAAGAATGTCAAATCCTCATATCTGCTGTTGGGGGCTTGGTCAATCCGAATACGTTCAATGTCCCAGGCCTCGAAAAATTTGAAGGCGATATTATTCACACTGCGAGATGGAAGTCGGATACTTCTTTACGTCAGAAGAATGTTGTTGTCGTGGGCAATGGATGTAAATTCACAACACCCTCCATATGCCAAGGCTTTCACTGATTTTTTTTAAAAGGCTCAGCAGCACAGTTGGTACCAGCCATTGCTGATGAAGCCAAAAGTATATCTCAATTCATTCGTGTAAATAGCACCTATACATAATGTTTGAAAGTATCCGCTAATGAGATCTATAGACTCCTCAGCACTACCTCGAAAACGACAACATGCATGTCAGTGAGACTTGGAGGCGCATTTTCCGCCATGTACCTGGTGCCCTATGGATTCTTCGAATGATTGTCTTTTTCTACCTAGAAAGCACATCTGTCCGCTTTGGCATGGATAAGAAAGGTGTCAAGGCTAGAAATCAGTCTTTCAAGAGTAGCGAGGCTTATATAAAACAAACAGCACCAGGTGAGTTTCTGAAACCAGAACAAACAAGTCCTCGAACTTAAGTAAAGTTGACTTCTTAATCAAAGAGAAATATTGGCCGCTTTTGATTCCAACATATGAGCTTGGGTGCAAGGTAAGAAATTATTGGAAAAATCAAAACACCATCTATCATAGAGCATATCCTGATACGCCTCGATAACAGCGACGCGTTTTCGACAATTCTAAGTATATCAGTCAACTCCAAAGAAGCAACATCCATCTGACAGATGATCCGATTGTTGCGCTTCAATCTAAGTCGGTCTTGACAAAGTCCGGCCAGGAGTATCCCGCAGATGTCGTTGTAAGAAAAGAAACCCCCTCTCTATAGCCGCGGGATATCATATCAAGCTAACGTTGTCTTTCAAACAGCTCCTCGCCACTGGATTCGCTTTAACGCAGTATGATGTCGAAATCGAAGGTCGAAATGGCCGTACCCGAAATGATCACTGGAATGAATATGGCTTCAAAGAAGCATACAAATCAATTGCCATGTCCGGGTTTCCCAATTTCTTCTATGTTTTGGGCCCGAATTCTGGCAAAGGTCATACTTCTACCATTTATTCTATCGAGAAGTAGGTTGAACTCTCTTCACTTTGTCCATAACAAGAAAGCTTTCTAATTTCACGTATAGTTATGTCGATTTGATCACTCAGGTGATCATGCCTGTCATCAAGAATTACTCGACATTTGTGGAGGTCAAGGCGGACCGAGAGAGACTTTATAACGAACAACTGCACGGATCCCTCGCCAAGACAATTTTTAATAATTCATGTGGCAGTGTAAGTCACTGAATTTGGTGATCAAGGAGGAAAACACCAAGTCTAATAATCAAACATCTTAACAGTATTTCATTGACCAGAAAACCAAAAAGAACTGGTTCATTTATCCGTGGAGCTCCTTTGACATGTGGTATTCGACACACTGGGGCAGGAAAGATGACTGGGTATATGATGTAAGACTCTTAATATGACCGGTTTCGCTAAGATTTACTAATGCATGAATCCTTGCAGATTCGGGACAACAAGAACCACTCGATTACCCGCTCCTACTTGATGTCGCTCATTTGTACACTCGGCTTGATCATTTTTGGCTTTAGCATGATGATAATTCAGATGCCCCGAGTGACCGTCAGATTTGGCAATTATACCTAACCGGGAATTTGGTATACAATACGCCACAGCCCATTAGCGAAGTCTTCAAGATTGCTTCTATGAGTGTTGCTGAAAACAGGTTTCCCTGTGTCCACTGAGTTATGAACACGATTGTTATCACTATATTTGTAGTTTACGCGCAGGAACTCATTAGAATAACTTTAAAGAATTTTGTCCTACATATGTTACAAAAGTCTGTACATACTTTTTGATTCCCCGAAGAAAACCAACAAAGTGACGGTCTCGGGCTCTACAAATTTTGATTATATTTTATCAAACTTGAAATCAAGTCCCGAAAACATATTTTTCTCCTGTTAGCACGAAAGACCAAGGTTATTAAATTGTATCTGATATACAGACAGAGGCTAAAATTGATGTCAAGTTGACTATGATGGAGCCTCTCCCCTCTATAGTAAGCTTCAGGTAAGAAACGCTCTGAGATTTCAAGCAATTACCTAACTATCAAGAGATATTGAGCATATAAATTAATTATACAAAATATTCTTTAAATGAAGTAAATTAAATAATTGAATCCTGAAAGAATAGGAGGTCATAGAATTTTGTCGAGAAGAATGGTAGTTAAGACAATTCTGTTGTAGTTCAGAGGTGTGAATTGTCTTGTTTTTTATTTGAGAGGGAAGAATAAGGCTATATATACAACGAGAAGATCAAGTTGATTGGAAATCAACTTGGTTCTTCGTATACATACTTCGGGATTAATTCCGGTGGTTCGGCTTGGTTCCTGATCTGCACCAGCCTTATATCACAACATTCCCCCTCAGGATCGCTTTGCTGGCAGGGCGATTCTGGAATGGCGCAGAGCAGTCAGGCCTCGGTAAAACCACTGAAAAACCTTCGTGGGAAAATAAGTGGAAAGAGCGCCTGCGCTGTCACGCGTTTTGTCTCGAAACCTCTGGAGCATCGACTCCTAAGAGACTACAAAATCTGGCAAAGGCCGTAGGTCCCAATGGCTTGGTGAGACCGTCCGCGGCCTGTTCCCCAGTTGGAATATATTGAAGCCCAATCTCGCCTGTATCCAGCACGGCTCGCTGATAGTGAAATTTTACATTGAAATGCTTCGTGCGTTTGTGGAATTCAGGGTTGCGAGAGAGAGCGATGGCGGACTGGTTGTCAGCCATAATGTTAGTGACCGGAGACCGATACAGTTGCGTTTCAGCCAGAAAGGTGCGGAGCCACTGGAGATGCAGAATGGCATTGTACTGTCCGATGTATTCGGCATGAGTTGTAGACGTGGCCACTTCCCCCTGTCTCTTGGATGACCAGGAAACTGGCGCACCTGCAAGTTGGAAAACATAGCCAGACGTTGAGTATGCACCGTCAGTGACGACGGAGCCCCCAAAGTCGGCGTCCGTGTACCCGATCAACTGCCCACTGCGGTAAGTAATGCGATGAGATTGCGTGGCTTTGATGTAGCGAAGCAATCGCTGCAGAGCGACTTGGTGTTGCGATTGCGGCTGAGACGTGAAGCGACTCAACATGCCCAGCGCAAATGCAATATCTGGTCGCGTGCCAACCATTAGATACATTAACGAACCGATGGCAGTCGCATAACGAGCTTTTGCTTCCTCGTCCGGAGGTTCCTCCTCTGGACGATGATTCAAGATTTGCTTGGGATTCATCGGCGTAGACTTCGGCTGACAAGTCTCCATGCCAAAGTCGGAGAGCACCTTCTGGATGTACTGGTGTTGGTGAATAGATACGGACCCATCGACATCATAGTCGAACTGGATCCCGAGGAATGATCGAGGGGTGCCCAGATCGTTCAGTCGGAACTCTGTTTGCAAGGCTCGTTGCACTTGTTCGATTTCGTGCGTGTTTGTCGCAGCAACAAGAAAGTCATCGACATAGACACAAACGACGCAATCCGGTTTGTAGAACACACAATTGTCCGATTGGGCCATAGTGAAGCCATGAGAAGCCAGAACGCGGTGGACGCATTGGTACCAAATCCGCGGAGCCTGCTTCAGTCCGTATAGTGAGCGGCGCAGTCGGCATACGTATCCTGGCTTTTCGAAACCTTCAGGTAACTCCATATAGATAGACGAATCGACGTCTCCATGGAGAAATGCGGTGACCGCGTCGAATTGGTGGAGTTTCCATCCGCGCAACACGGCGCTGGCGACGATGCAGCGGACCGAGTCCATCCTGGACACAGCAGCAAACGTTTCGTGATAGTCGATGCCATGTTTCTGCCGGTAGCCTTTGATAACCAATCGCGCTTTGCGCGTTCCGTTGGCCTTGGTCTTGAAGACCCATTTGCAGCCAATCACATGATTTCCGGCTGGGACGTCCTCCCGCCGAACCTTTTCCCATGTTCCGTGTTCGAGAAGCGACGCATATTCTTTCTGGATGGCGGCCCACCAGTCCAGCTGGTCTGGGCCTGATACAGCTTCGCGAAAGGTCGCCGGGTCGACTTGTCTGGCCGGTGCGGGATTCAATGCGCCGGCAGAGTACACCTTGCCGAGTGATTCCAGGAGACGCCGTGATGGTCTTCTTCTGCGACCAAAAATCGAATATCCAAGATCCGATGTCAGGTCAGTGCCTTGTTGGCTTGGATTGACCACTGGAGGTGTCTCCTCCTCACGCTCAGATGGCGTTTTCTCTCGCTCCTTCGGCGGAGGTAATGGCGATGCAGGTGGTGTTGGCAGCCCGCTGGCTGAACTTGGCATTGATGAAAAGACAGGTGATGGAGGAGCATTGTCCGGGAGGTCGTTGCCTGTTTCCCCCTCGATGAGTGGCGCCACTGGGGTCCTCTCATCGAACTCGACATCACGGGAAAAGACTGTCTTTCCTGAATGGATTTCATAGAGCTTGTACTGATTCGGTTCACAATAGCCTAGCAGTCGGCACTCGGATGATCTTGGTCCGAGTTTGGCTCGATGCTCTTTGGGGATCAAGACCCATGCACGGGAGCCGATCCGTCGCAGATGCAAGAGCGAGGGCGGTTCCCCGTATAGAATTTCAAACGGTGTCTTCTTCCGTAAGATCGATGCTGGTGCACGCAGCTTCAAGTAGACCACTGTGTCTACAAGCTCGATCCACCAGGAAGGAGAAAGGTTCGCATCGGACAGGAGCGTGTTGATCCGCTCCCGGATAGTACGATTAGTGCGTTCGGCCAGCCCATTCTGCCCTTTGCAGTATGGCGGCGAGGTGTCGAACTCAACTCCCTGGGATTCGAGATGTGTTCCAATTGGCAGATACTCTCTCCCATTATCGGTGAGGAATCTTCTGATCTGGGCGCCGAACTGTCGGTGCACCCAGGCCTCAAAATGTTGGAACTTCGGGAGCGCTTCATGCTTCCATCTCATGGCATAGGCCCACGAGCCACGAGAATAATCATCAGTAAAGGTGATCACGTACCTGGAGCCATCTTTGGCAATCGGCATCTCCATGATGTCCGAATGGATCAATTCGAAAATTCTCGTTGAATGCAGACGTGGCCGTCTTGCGCGGGAGTTCCTCTTCTGATGCTGCTTACCCGACATGCACGCCGGACACTGCGGCGTTGCCAGCAGCTGCGCCTGCGTCAGCGGTCGGTACGGAGTGCCGGTCTGCCGAAGGACCACCCTCAAGTCGCCCCGGTTCAGATGTCCCATCCGAGCGTGCCACAACGCTTCGGAGGCCTGGTCCACTCCTGTGCACACATCTTCTTCGAGTATCACAGCTTCACCACCGAGTTCAGAGGTTGGCGCTGTACATTCTACGCCACTTGACTCCCGAGGATCGTCAACGTCCATGGCCACCGCCTGCGGTTCCAGGGAATCTGCATGGTCATGGGTCGTCGGCGCCCTCGCCAGTTGGACTCGCTCTCGAGATCTCTTGCTCACATGGCACCGCAGGATCAGTAGATCCTCCTCCGCGTGGTAGGCGGTCCCCACGGTTCGTCCTCGGCGTTGCACAAAGACGTTCTGTGGGTGCGCCACCACCGAGTAGCGGTCTCGCAACAGCTTCGGCACGCTGATCAGGTTCATCCCGACGCGTGGCGCAAAGTACACGTTCTTCAGCACCAGGGGCTGGTTGAACTTCCCCCGGAGCGTGAGCTTCACCGTACCAATCCCTTCGGCTTCCACTGGATCGCCCGCCGTGTCCAACATCTCGCGGTGGGGCCGCAGACTGCTGAAGCAGCTCCGGTCCCAGCAGATGTGGCTGGTGGCGGCCGAGTCCAGGATCCACCGGGGTTGCGGTGCGTGGGTATAAAGGGTCGTCACCCTCGCCCTCACGATATTGATCCTCGGTCTCTTGGAAGTCGGCGGGCCCTGCCAATCTTCCACCTGGCTTGATGGTATCTTTTGTAAGTTAGTTCTTGGTGAGCCGGAAACACTCCTCTCAGCCTTCAGGGCATGGTCCCTAGACGACTGTCCTTCTCGCTGTTTCTTCCAGCACTGCGCGACCACATGGCCGCGCTTTTTACAATAGTTGCATTTCTTGGCAGTCTGCTGCACCGTATTGACAGACGGGCCAGATGCTGCCTGCAAGGGTGTTGGAGCTTCTTTTCTCCGAACCGTCTGCTCAGCATTAGACAGACGATTTCCGATCGTGGTCGGATTCACCGGATCCTTGTCATTCTGAATGGCATCCACAACTAGAATGTATTCCGGTCCGATCTGCGTCAGTAAGATCGCAATGTGCGTTCGATCGCCAATGGATCCGGGCACGATAGCATTCAATCGATGTACGAGCAACCGTACCCGATCGACAAATTCGCGGGCACTGCCGCAGCGCTCGCCAGTGGTTTCACGAAGCTGCGCAAACAACTCGCAGAACGTGGCCAGTTCCATTCGCCGGTACCGTTCTTCGAGTTCATTCCAGAGGTCGCGAGACGTCTCAAGTCCCGCAACATGAATGCTAATGTGGGGGGACAGATACCGGAAAATGGTGTGGTAGGCCTCAGCTTCGCGGCGCGACCATTCACGGTGGCGCTCGAATGCCTGGACCTCCACTTCGAGGCGCGCCTCAATGGCGCGCTGTCTCACCGCCCCCGCGAGGTGCGGTTCCACCAAAGGATGAATGTCTGCCGTAATAGGCTTGGCGTACTTGAACAAGCAGTCAGGACGCTGGAGGTCGCCCGACACAACATCCCAGACCTGCCTGGCTTTGAGGTAGGAGGTCATAAGACGTTTCCAGGTTGCGTAATTATCGCTTCCTGTCAGAGGCTCGATGGCCGTGACGGCTCGGTCCGGAGAGTCGTGAACCAGAGCAGACATAGTGATGACTGCGAAAGCGGGGTAGATATATAATCACGATGGTTAAGATAATTTTCGGATGAGTAGAGATGGCACCCGAGATTTTGCTTCCGGGCTCATAACCTGTTGTAGTTCAGAGGTGTGAATTGTCTTGTTTTTTATTTGAGAGGGAAGAATAAGGCTATATATACAACGAGAAGATCAAGTTGATTGGAAATCAACTTGGTTCTTCGTATACATACTTCGGGATTAATTCCGGTGGTTCGGCTTGGTTCCTGATCTGCACCAGCCTTATATCACAACAAATTCATTTTGTAAAAGTTTGTAAGGCGCATTCGGAGCTGTGCACAGACTTTTGAACCTCCAAGTAAGTCTGTCCCGTAATATTGAACAGTATGCACGCGAAACCTAGAAAGGATGTTTTCGGCCCGGCCCGTCTGCAGGAAATTGGTTTTGTTATTTGCCTATGAAAGATAAACTAAGGATGGGGGAAGTGGCACGGGAAAAACAACGAAAGGGGGGCAATAAAAGACAATTGCTCCCTCCCACTGGAGGAAGCACGGGATTACAGAAATTACTCCCGGAGTAGTAATTGGACGCGAATTTGGCAAACGAGAAAGGGATATGATATGATACCGTCACTCCCTAGCTAATTGAAAAATGAAAGTGCATCGTAGGAATAATTTCCGTCACTTATATCACCACCCATTACTAGTTCGCTGACTTATGTATTATTACAGTGATTACACTAGCGCATATATCGGTCCATATATGGTTTAGGGGTGCAAGGAAATATGTGTATATCCATGGTCGGTCGGGCGGCCGACTCACGAAGATTTATCCTTCTATATAATTAAGCTCCTATAATTTGTACTTCGCTGTATTTAACAGCTAGAATATTAAAAATACCGCACATTTTTCATAAATTAAGCGCAAAAATTAGTTACACTTTCACGGGCCTGTCCATAGAAAAATCACTTTTTGTTCACCTGGACATATCCACAGGCCTGCCGAAGTCTAGGCCGGTCTATGCCGAAGTTTATTTATAATTGCTTTTCTGACCATTCAAAATATGCTGCCTGAGACAGATTTCGCGATAGCCCTCGCGATGAGTATTGAAAGATGGAACTGATATATTGGTTCAACTAAATCATAGAAATCTAAGTACAAGTATACTCATTCTAGCTTATATCCCAAATGCTCTTACCAGTGCAAATTCTTCTTAACCTCAATGATCAGAGTATCGACTAATCTCGCATAGCCCTCACTTTCCGCACAATCCTCGAAAAAACTGGTCGAATCATCTCCTGCAACCAAAGCGGACAAGCACGAATCGACCCAGCCAACGAAAAATGCCGTGGTAAAATAACCTGTCCACTCCTTCTTGATACGATTTGATCGACAATAGCATCCGAAACAGCCTTTGGGGTCATTATTGGCTGCCCAAATTGGTCTTGGTGGTCAGTGAACCCCTTAATGAAAGGGGTCCTAACCCAGAGTGGATGAAAAATACTAAGAATCTCAATTAGGTAATCTTCTCGGGCAAATGAAGTAAACTGGATAACTAACCTTGTCCGCACATTCGGAGCATCGTACCAAAACTTCAACTCCTGCCTCAACCCCTCATGAAAAGCAAGTGCACCGGCTTTGGAACAACAATAATCAACCATCTCACCCACAGCCACAAAGCTAGCAACACTTGCAACTGTGACGACATGACCTCGATTCTCATGAATCATATATGGAAGAAATTCCTTTACCATCAGGAAATGAGCTAGTATATTTACTTCGAATGTTTGTCGGATCTTTTCCTCGGTCTTCTCAAGGATAGTCCCGTGACTGAAGACGCCGGCATTGTTGACAAGGACTGTAGGGTCGCCATGGTCCTTTCGGATGAGTGTGGCCACTTCAGAGATTGCTTTTGTCGATGTAATGTCTGTTTGGTAGAATGTCACGTTCGATGGAAGGGGATAGGTTGGTTTGGTAATATCGAGGATCACCACGCGGAGTTGTTTGGAGGAAAGGTCTTCTGCAAGTTGTTTTCCTATCCCACCAATGCCGCCTGTTAACAGGACGAGCTCGTTCTCTGAATTCCATTTGTCCTTGCGTTGGAAATTGTTTAGAACGCGCTCGGAAATCTTTGCGTGGACGTAATAGGCCAGGAGGGAACTGCCTAGTACTCCTAGGGCGGTATTCAAGGTAACTTTCAAGTCATTCATGGTGCTTTCTGGGAGCCACTGCATCCAGTTCTCAATGCCCATCTCGATTCTAGAGTAAAGGAAAATTGATAGTCTCTTCACCCGTGCATTTGCTGGCGTATTTGAATAAGAACCGGATACAGATCTATGAAGTCATGCTGGTGAATTACAAATATTTTTAAAATTTCATCTCAATTATCTGGCGTTCGTTTGATCGTATGTCTGTGCTTTACATCATGGGATGTAGTGTATCGCCCGAGCCCTCGATGGTCATAGACAACCAATTTTCCTGGATAAGCCGACCACGTCATTGTATACGAATCAAATCCCTCCACGGAAACTGTTGTGACACATATGAACAGGTTTTTCCATGCGTAATTTTAGCCTGAAGTCACCTACAGATCGCTCGGCTGACATCCCTTAAGCTCGAAGCCCGTGGCTCCCATTGTGTCACAGCGGAATTTATGCATGATTGTCCGCTGAAGGCTACCATACTATATGAGATGACAACAAAATTACCATCTTCAGCTCAATACATCTCTTTCAAGTGGCAATATCGCATGCAACTGTCCAAATTTTGACTAAAATGATTATTCTTGCAGTTTGCCACATAACTTGTATGACCATCTTGTTAAAACAACGAATTCGTTGATCATCATTGCGAGATCTTGGTGTGTAAAGCTAGGAATGGACATAGAATAAAATTTCGCTGACCACAAATCACGCCAATGAATTACGCTAATGATTTCGGACTTATAGCGACAGGAAGTGGCCTTACAAAGGGCAGCGACCAAATCCAAACTTCGAGATCAGCATCTCCGTGGTGATAGATTATTGTTTTATAACCCTTTGACACGTCGAAATCATTCAAGTTCTTCTGTATAGAATGAAACTATTTACATTCCTGGGGTTTGAGCCAACTATAAACAATAGGGCTGCAGTAACAAATCAAGGAGTTTCAGAAATGTTATATACCAACTTCTCACCACTTACATCACCTTTACGCATCGAATTCAATCCCTCGAGAACACCTTTCAATCCCTTCTTTCCCACTACAAGTGGCTGAGCCCTAAAATTCTTCTCCAACAACTTCTCAACTAGGGGGTGGAAGTCCTCCGCGAATGTGCGATTCGCAGGAATAGCAGGTATAGAGGTAGTTCCGAGGGTAAAATCCTCACCAATAATGGTATACACCAAAACACTATTTGAATGCACATTCTCACGGGGAACATTTGCCCACAGAAGGTTGGTGTAAGAACCCCCCTTGGTGCAGAGAGCCTCACCGCAGAAAGCTGCAGTGGTGTCAAGAGAAATGGTGTCAAAAACGAGTTTGAGCCTGTCCTCAGTAGACTTACGGATCTCGGCAGCGGACTGGGTATCATTATAATCGAACACTGCATCGGCACCGAAACTTTTTACCAGGTCAAAGTTGCGAGGGGAGCAGGTGGTGAGCACCTGGTAACCAGACAACTTGGCGAATTGGATAGCAACGAGACCAGTGGCACTGGAGCCGCCGTAGACAAGAATGGGCTCTGGGATGATGAGAGGATTAGTGGGGAGGGCTAGGCTCAAGCTTTGGTAGAAAGCCTGCATGACGGTGTTTATGCCCACACCCAGCGTGGAGGCCTCTTCGAAAGTCATGTGGTCGGGTATCCGGAATTGAACATCACCCTTTACGACAATGTACTCGGCGAAAGAACCGTCTTCAGGCTGTACGGAGTTTCCACCGTGGGCGAATCCGGCAATGCGGTCACCTTTCTTCCAGAGCTTCTTGACGCCCTTGCCGACCTCCGCGACAATACCAGAGTAGTCGCAGCCACAGAGAACGCCGGGAGGAGAGATGTAATCGATGTGCTTCCAATCAGTAGGGTTGAGGGCGACCGAGACGACCTTAACGAGAACGTAATCGTTGCGCAGAGTAGGGATAGGCCTGTCAGAGACGACCTGTGCAGTATTGGGGGCGATAACAACAATGGCCTTTTGGAAAGTCATGGTGAAGCGGGGTATATATGTGTCTTTCTGATATTAATGATATTCTTCAAGAACCAGGAATACAAGGGAAGTACCCTTATATATAAGATAACAATGGAAAATTTGCATTTGTCAGTACCAAGAACAGTAATCAACATCAATAATCGATATATGCGAGGCTAGTCACAAGAGCCTTCCCACCAAGAAAGGCGACGAAATTAGAAAGTGGAGAAAGAAGAGACATTTTCAATGGTGAGAACCAATCGCAAAAAGAAGATTAAAGTAACTATCAAAGCCAGGCTGGTATCATTATTGGGCTCTACATCCTTCCTGCATTGCGGAATTTTCCTACTATACAATGTGGCAAAAGCTCAGGCCGCGTCAGGCCAAAGGCTCTGTCCCTTTGACATGCATGATAGAATTTAAAGCTATGTACCGGGCCGAACCGAACATCATATGCCGTTCGAATGAAGATAGGCATGTATTGAATGTTAGGGACCCACTAGGGCCGCACCGATTGAAGAACCAACGACACCTAATCAGTCGTCTGACATGCAGGTGACATGCAAGGTATAATTTTTAATAAGCATATATATCCTGCTGTACCCCGAAAATACCGAATTCCTCCGAGGTACTGGAAGTAAGACCACGGTTTGGCATGATACGTCATAGTTCATAACAAGCAGGAATGCGACAGGACGACCGTTATTTGGTTACCCGGTCTCTGTGGACGTGTCATTTAATCGGCGCTCCGATCATAAAATCAGTGCCCCAATGACCTCGCATACGCAGCAGTACTTGTCAGGTTCTTGATCCACGACTTGGTGTTGTGTCCGGTGCTGATCCTCACCCTTGCATCTTGCATGGGGATGTTAGAATATAGACTGGGACTCGCCAGTGTAGCGGGTGTTACTGAACAGTTGGATTGAACAGACTGCGGGAATATAGGGGTAAACATCATTAGAATACTACTAGACTGCTTATGCTACCAAGTTGTGGTCTTGTGTGAACTTAGGCGGTGAGAAGCTTAGAGAACTAATCAATGGATGAACTTCGAGCCTTAGGCATGGATCGATCTTGGACTCGAAGGTTCTGCTCCCGTCAGGGGAGACTAAAGTAGACCTCGGCACGGCCCATGGGTTACACAAGAGCAAGTCATTTAAATTAATCGGTGTGTTAGCATATCCTAATTGGAAAAATTATGCATAAATGGGCCTACGTCGGGCGGACTCTACCTGCCCAAAAGTGGGCCGCGGCGGGGTCTAACCAAAGTCAATACAAAGTGGTGGTGTGAGCGGCCCGTTGCGGGTAACGTATCCACACACACAAAACCATGCCCGTTGACATTGGGAGAATTTGCCACCATTAACATCGCCACAGAAATACCCGATCACACACTCACTCTCCGTTTCCGAGGATTTCTCCATGTACTACCTAAATCTCTCACGTACTCCCTCTAACCCGATTTGGTCATTCCCTCGAAGTTACTCCTAAGTATTTGTCTCACCGCCTTCCATAAAAATGACACCGCTAAATAATGGGGGTATCACCAGAATGCAGACTCACTACTAGTCTTACAGGCTTTATTTTCTTAAGAATGTTATCTTTATTACCGCCAGATAACTCAAAGTTGGTCTACACTCTCCGAGAGTATAACCCTAGAGACTATAGAGTCTCCAGGCTATTTCAGCCCGGAATTAACCGAGTCCTGCATGCATTTCCTGTTAGAATCAAGCGTAAAGCTAGTGCTGACGTTTTTCTCCTAAGCAAGGACTCAGCAAAGGTAGGGGCAGGGGCAGAGTCCTACAAAACGGGGACCAAGTAGACTCCGTACTACAAACACAGGCATAGTGCTAGATATACCGCGCGACATGACAGGGGTCCTCGAGTTTTAAAATCTAGATATAGGAACTTAGAGGCAGTGAGGTTATATAAAGAGTCTGAATAATAAACGTGTTAATAATAGGTAATTTAAGTGTTGATCAAATATAGTAACCCTAATTTATGAAGTTCAAAGTATGTCCGCGGAGATTATGGCAGAACAAAAAATCGGTACTTTAAGGGTACTTAGAGGGGTGGCCAAATCGGGTTGGAGGGAGTACGTGAGAGATTTAGGGAGTACGTAGAGAAATTCCCACATTTCCGATAAAAATGTCCGTATGGTGTCTTAATATAAGCGGAGTCGGATGATTACGGAGACAGCCATGATTCCTCAAGTACAAGTCACTGACGAGAGATGGAGTCTAGTAGTTCTCTATATGTGCATATGCCTGAAAACCCCATTATCCGTCTGAGCTGTAACCGGTTTGAGCTGCCTAGATGACGATGAGCGTGATACCATCCAGCCGAAATATAAAAATTCTATACTGGGTCAACTTCTGACTCTTCCACATATTCCATACTAACCTAGAAAGTATCTATACAGCTACGATAAAAGAGTCCTCACCATGTCTCACAGTATTCCTTTTGAAGCACAACTTAAGGATTTTGATCAAATTTTTTCTCTCAGTGGAAAGGTAGCTGTGGTCACCGGCAGCTCACGTGGCCTGGGATTGTCCGCTGCAAGTGGGTGAGTACATTGCATAATTCTTTCCAGTTTGATTCAATGCTCAATCCGACAGATTACTTCAGGCAGGTTGTGCCAAGGTCTATATTACGGCTAGGAATGTCCAGGCCTGTGAAGATGCCGCGGAAGCTCTAAATACGCTTCCTCAAAGGTATATGGGTGCAGAAGCCATTGCGGTTCCTGCAGACCTTAGTTCTACGACTGGGCTCAATCATCTGGTGACGCAGGTGTCCCAGACAACGGATCACATCGACATCATTGTCTCCAATGCAGGCACTGCCCATGTCGCCCCCTTTGCCACCCATTTGGAGTCGGGCTTCTCGAACGTGCTGGATCTCAACCTGAAGAGTGTCTTCTACCTGATTCAAAAGTGCGCCACAAATATCCACGTGCGGTGCTTTCTTCCTCCTTCCGTTGAACTGACTAGTGGCTTAGGTTTACCCCAATGCTACAAAAGAATGCAACCCAAGGGGACCCTTCTCGAATAATTATTAATGCCTCTATTTGGGGCCTCTCAGTCCATAATGTGGCTGAGATGGGAGCATATTCCTATGCGGCGTCCAAGGCTGCTGTAATTCATCTATCTGAGGCACTGGCAGTGGAGCTTGGACCTCGGTGTATCCTTTGCAATACCATTGCTCCTGGCTGGTTTCCCTCAGACATGGCAAGCCCAGTTCTGGAGGCGCGAGGTGGAAAAGATCAATTCGCAAGGGCAACCCCTAATCGACGTCTGGGTCAGCCAGAGGATATTGCAGGTATTGTCGTGTTCCTGGCCAGTCGTGCTGCTTCTCATCTGAATGGCGCCATGATTCGAGCCGATGGTGGCGGCATGTTCGTTGATGGGGGACTGTGAATGCCTTCGGGCAGATGCTGTGTGCAATCATTGAATGGTTTTTTGACTTGTAGTTGATCAATGCAGTCGTGAGGCTATGATTCTAGGGCGTCGGTCTTAGGTCTATCTTTAAAGAGGCTTAAAATGAACTGATTACAATACTTGATTTCGTATTCAGAGCGTTGCGCAGGCCTCGCGAAAGCCCATGAGACGTCTTGTAATAACCTTTCATAGATGAAAGAATTGATGACTAGACTTTAGCATGGGCCGGCCCATTGGGCCGGACCCCTGCCCAAGCCCAGCCCAATGGGCTTTTTCGGCCCATTGCTGCCTGATTCTGCCTGATTTTTGGACATAAACTGCTGAGTCACCTGAAATTAATTCTGTTATTTACCCCTGTTTTCGTTAAAACACATACCACCTACCCTATTATCTATCTTCTCTATTGTATTTTTATGAAATATCCCTGTTTATAGATAGATAATATATATCTTTATTAGTATAATAGCTATTTTTAATAGATAAGGGTAGGGTATAGAGTATATTATAGAGTAGTGGTTAATAACCCTGCTAAGGTATGAAGATATATATTTCGTATATGCATTACCCTCACCATGTTTCTGGTTATACCATCTTTAGTACTAAATTTACCCCAAAAGTGCGTTTTTGAACTATTTTGAAGTAGAATCCAATGAATTAGACCCTCTAATATCTATATTCTTTATTCAATTGATAAAAAATAGCTAGAAATAGTATAAAAGTTCGGATGAAAGGTTCGAATTATTGGACTTAGAAATTTTTTCTTAGCAAATACTAGCCCCACTTACTATAATTAGACCTCGCCATGACCCTCAAACGGGTCCAAGGTCAAGACCCTCCACCCGACCCGCGTGAGGGTCGGGTCCAACCTTAGGGACCCTCACCCGACCCTTACCCGCAGAGGGTTGCTTATGGCTCACCCGCACTCACCCTCACCCACCCGTTTCTGCATAACTTTTCTTAACATTTCCTAATTAGGATAGATAAAATTGATGAGTCATATACATAAATTACAATTACATACAAAAAAAAGTGCATAAGATATTGTTTGACTTGTTTGCTCACCCGCGGGTAACTAGGGATGTCAAAATGAAATTTCAAAATTTCGAAATTCCTGAAATTTGGCTGCTTGAAATGTGATTTGAAATGGGGCTTGAAATCTTGAAATCTAGCTAGTCCCAAAGTGGTAATGATTATCTTCCATTCTTCCAATCAAAACAGTCGAACGTAAAGCACGTGACATAGACATCATGTGTCATCTATCCCCCGCCGTCGCCGAGTTGGCCGCTTGGAATCATCTGGAACTCCTTGAGGCCATTCAGATACACGCTTCGACCTCGTCCGCATAAGATGAGCTGAATCTGAATTTGTTGTGGGTTTCGTTGAAGGACTAAGGGGAGGCTCCGAAGTTGGCTTCAACAAGGAGTTAAGCCTCGACTTCAACGCAGAAATGAGGGCAGGATTTGTTGATTCTGAAGCTGAAGTCAAAGCTGAATTCAATGCTAAAACCAGGGCAGACGTTGGTGATTGCTCTGTTGGTTGCTCTGGTGGTTGCTCTGGTGGTTGCTCTGGCGGTTGCTCTGGCGGTTGCTCTGGCGGTTGCTCTGGCGGTTGCTCTGGCGGTTGCTCTGGCGGTTGCTCTGGCGGTTGCTCTGGCGGTTGCTCTGGCGGTTGCTCTGGCGGTTGCTCTGGCGGTTGCTCTGGCGGTTGCTCTGGCGGTTGCTCTGGCGGTTGCTCTGGCGGTTGCTCTGGCGGTTGCTCTAGTGGTTGCTCCGGTGGTTGCTCTAGTAGTTGATATGAGCCCCCTGATAGATCGTCTAGCACTTGGTTTCGCTGCAAAACCCTCTCTATCTCGTTATCCTCTTCTTGAAGGAGTGATTCTTGCGCAACTTCGGGAGGCCGTTCTGTCCGGAATTGTCGTTTATTGATCTGCACGAAGAGCAGTTTTTCAACGCGGTGGGGCTCGAGCCTATTTCGGACTTTTGTATGCTGAAGGTTCATCTGTGAAAAGGCTCTCTCCGCTGCCGCTGAATTTGCCACAGTATTGCAGAGTCGACGAGCAAAGGGTGCAAGAAGCGGAGCAAAGTCCTCCTGTATAAGCATATCGTAAGTAAGTCCTTCGTTTTAATCGTTGATAGTATAACGTACTGCCTCAAGCCAAAAGAGAGACGGGCTCTGGGCCTTCCAGCAGGAGGCATTATAAAAAGCGCCCGTTCTCTGCCTGAATGACAGAAATTCATGCCAAGCGGAAGAGCTTTTGTCGTTGTTCTGTAGAGGCCGTAGCACACCTTCGATATAATTACGAGAGCTCTGGTCAACTTTCCCAGGGACTCTAGCGGGATCAAGATGATAGGCTACCCAGTGGATAGGCTCAAGCTGACGTAGTATTCGACTTTGCCAGCCTATGCCATCCAAATAGGACAAGAAATCGTCCTTAAGAGATGTTTGGGAAGCCAATGTTCGTAGATCTTCATGGAGATCTAGCCATCGCTGCGTTACCTCCATAATCGACGAGTTCCGAGCTTCGGACTCTTTTTGGGCAACATGTAGAGGCTTAAGGATTTTAATCAACTCCTTTAGTTGCCACCAGAACGAATGCGAGTTCGCTATCCGAATAATCTCCCTCCCCCTAGCAGTCGAGGTAGCAGGAGTGATAAGTGTCCACTCACAGATAGCTTCTTGGCAGTCGTGGAGCGAGGAGAGCATATTATATTGCGTTCCCCATCTTGTAATGACTGACGCAATAAGAGCCTTCCTATATCCCCACTTCTCAATCTGCTTTCCTTGCATCCTTGCGTACTCGAGTGGTGAGTGGTGGAAGAAGACGACTATTTCAAGGGCCGACTTAAATACCTCCGCAGCCCGTGGAACCTTCGAACCCTTAGCATCAACAATATCCTTCATGATTAACTGTAGGCCGTGAGAGTCACAGGGAATCATAAAGCAGTGTTTGAGCTCTGGTGTGTTCTCTAGCTTCTCCCAGACCGATTTCATGACAGAACATGTGTCTGTCGAGATAGAATTAATTCTTTTCCAGTCAATCGTTGTATCCAGTTGTAGTAGGAGACATTTGAGACTATTCAAGATCCAACCACTAATAGCAGGAGCATCAAGAGTCTTGTCTTCCATATCATTCAAGTAGACAAACCATGACTTTATCGGCGTTGTTATAGTCATCACTATCACCCGTTGAGATCTAATGTTAGTGGTCTCATCCACTGTGACATTTAAGAACTCAGTTCTCCGTAACTCTTTAATAACCTTCTCTAGTAGTTCATTATATGCTTCATCCAGCAGGTCATCGGCGACTCGTTGGCGGGAAGGAATTTGATACGTCGGGCTTAACGCATGGATAAGTTCTCGCATTTCTTGCTGTTCGAAAAGGTTGAATGGTCTAGCCCCGGTGAAACAGACCTGAGCGATTAGCTGATCAATGCTTCTGGCTGGCTGAGATGTAGAGAAACTTAACAATTTCTGTTTCTTCTCTGCGGCGGTCTTGGGATCCATCAGAGCCTGTGCTTTTGTGCATTTATTAACATGCTCACTCTGGCGTGTAGTATTTTTGGCGCGAGTCTTCAAGCATCCAAGACATTGTGCTTGAGGCACCTGAAGAAGCTGCAATTAGGGGAGTAGAGGATAAGTTTATGAATTAGTTCTTACCTTTTTATCACCCTGTATGATTTTGAAGCATCTCTGAAGCTCGAGCTCTGAGTAGGAAACCTTTCCGCAAGGATGATTAGGAGCCATTTCGAAGGTGAGGGTGCTAGGAAGGGGTGAGACCTTGAGAGTATTCTAAACAAGCCAAAGATATATATTCTTCCACCTGTTGCCACGAGCTACAGCATACTTGATGAAGACAAAGGCAGAAAAATGAAGTATAGGCCTTTATTGGCTATAATAGGTTACCGCTTCTGATGACTCAGCAGACGCCAGCCCCTTGAAATGTAATTGAAACGAGAAAATGAAATGAAATTTCAAGATTTCGTAATGAGTTGGCCAATTTCGTAATTACAACATCCCTACGGGTAACCCGAGGGTGACCCTTTACGGGTGAGTATAATACTAGAACCGACCCGCGGGTAGGAGGTCAGGACCCGTCACCCGCAAATTGGAGGGTCGCGGGTCACCCGTTGCGGGTCACCCACGGGTCATGGCGAGGTCTAACTATAATTTACCCCTTTTATCTTTACTTTTTCTTCACTTTTTCTTCTCTGATTCTTCTCTGATTCTTCTCTCTTCTCTAATTCTTCTCTTACTTACCCCTTATATTAATATGTCTCAATTATCACTTTATAGTGATAGTATTGATAGTATTGATCTATCTGATTCTATATTATCCTTTTTACTACCTACCCTATCCCCTACCCTACTAGGATTAATTAAGCGAGTTAGGATTAATGGTGAAGGGATCAGGTATTGTTAGATTGATAAAGGTGGTATCAAGATCTGGATGGTGGTTTATATATGCTTGCAAGGACATCCACCAGATCGTTGAAAAGCAGTCCATATATTCAAACATAGTGGGCTGCATTCTTGAACAGATATGTCGAGTCGGGATGCACAGAATGAACGCTGTGTTCTGCATTCGTTCGATGAAGTATACATGGAATTCCAGTGGTACCCTGCAAAAATGACCATGACCATAAAATTTGGTGGCCAAGAACATAGAATGTATTGGTGCTGGAAGGTAATCTTTCAAAAAAAAAAAGCAGATCTGGTCCCAGGATCTGGCCCTGTGCTCCTGAGGCCATTCATGACTTCCTCTGGGATCGAGGCTAGTACCCTGGAAAAGAGGCACTGCCTTTCACTGGTCATTTTCATTCGACAATTGCTGATGTACTGATGGAATTCTAGGTATCGTACCTGATGCGTTGGGTTGAAGAACTTCTTGGCCATATAACGACATTTACTTCGTGTTTATGTTTTCGCACAATGCAGATTGGTCAAAATGTCTATTCTACATGCTCTTCAATGAACCAGGAGGATATACGCAATCTATATTAACACAAAATTAAGGCTTAGATATGATGGCGGATGCTCACGTATGTGATGCTGCGGCCGAGTGGTATGTGTGTTGATGAATGCACAAGCTGGTCCTGGACTCATGAAGCCAAGTCCCATGTCCCTCACGGTCATTTTTAGGATGATCTTAATTAGTCCTGGGAGGTGCAACGCTCCTAGAACGCCCACTCAAGATCCCAGGGCCAGGGTCGTGCTTTCGGGGATCTAGGTGAGGTAACCTTAGCGCGGAACTGTGGTCTCACATGCGGGCTTTTGGCCCAAGCGTGTTTCCAGACGGCTGGTCCTAGGATCTCTGGTTGAGATCCTGTTCATGACTGAACCGAGACTGGGAATGCATTCGCAGGCCCTGGGACTGAGCCTAATCCTGGGGCCCTTGAGCCAGATCCTAGAGCCATTGTTCTTGATCCCGGGGCCAAAAGTTCAAGGGATCAAGCAGGTTAGTTGAAGGTGCCTGTGGCTCTTATAGTGTAGTAGTAGTAGTAGTAGTTTTCATTTACACCGACCTCTCGCCGAAGCGATATGCAGTATACGACGACTATATATCCGAGTATGTACAAATAGATCGATCCACTTCCTGACATGAACTTAGAGCCTCGTCACGGCCTATCGTGGCCTATTGCCGCTCCCGTCGTTAGGCTGCCATTGTGGCGCACGACTGCGAAATCGCTGTGACGCCTCAGCGAAGTCCAGCACAGCTTGCACTGTTTTGGCTCGCGAGACGATGTCTGGCTTACCTCTCTCACCTTCATTTGAGCCTCCCAGCAGACTCGACACGCTGTGAAACGCGTCCCAGGCATTTCTTCTCAATTCCACCCGCAGTTCTCGTAGATTGGGACATTCCAATAGTACATGGCTGACTGTCTCCCGCGCTCCGCACTCGCATTGATCATCGTCGCGGAAGCCGAACTTCTTCGCGTAAGTAGATAACCAGTTGTGGCCCGTGCGTAGTTGAGTGAGCAAATATGCTCGGTTCCTGGGCAAATTCCCGTACAGTTTTCTGGTGTATCTCGCCGGTAGGGTGTTGTCAATCTTCCGTAGGTGAGCGCCTTTGGCGCTTGACCTCCACTCTTGTTTCCACTGAGCATGGATCTTTTCGCGGATAAATGCGTTCTCCCTCGTCAGCAGCGGCCGGAAGGGATGGCTTTTACCCGGCTGCGCGGCTTCCTTGGCGAGCCGGTCCGCAGCGTCGTTCCCTGGGTTTTCACAATGCCCTGGCATCCATTGGAGGCGGAGCGTAACGTTCTCTCCCTGGACCTCAGCGGCTGCCTGGAGGATAGCATGAGCAATTCGCTGCCCCGACCTATTTCTCGCGTTTTGGATTGCTTGCAACGCCGATCGGCTATCGCAAAGAATGGTTGCTGTTGTGTGCGCGCTGTTTCTGACGAATGAACGTTGGTGGGCCAGCTTGAACACCATATCGACCGCGTAGAAGATGCCGATGAGCTCTGCTACGTGGACCGACCAACGTTCCATCGGCCCTACCTGGACCTGTTGAGATTCGATCACCTCTTCATGGTCGTTGAGCGCGACTATGGCAGTTCCCAGATGACCCTCACGCCCGGAGGCGTCCGAACAGACGACGATGTCTGATGTGTCCCTTACGGACTCTGCCCTTTCTCTCGCTGTTTCTCGGTCGGGTTCAAGTTCAATCTCCGTGAAGGCGTCCTTTCGCCACGGCGGCAGCGGGCGTGGGTCAATCGTCTCTAGTTCGCTGAGCCTGTCGACGTCCATGGTTTTCAACGCTTCCGCCAGAGGGAAGCGCGCGTACGATCCTATATTGTTTCTACGATTCTGAGCCCGTGATAATGCGCTCCAAATGGGGTGGTCACGCGGTAGAGTATGTAGTCTCGCAATGGTGCGCTGCGCGCGGTGGCGAAGACGAAGATGCGTAGGAAGTATATGAGCTTCCACCTCTAACGTTGTGGTGGCTACTGTCCGGAATGCCGACAGAATCCGGATTAACGCAGTTCTTTGTACTGTGTTTAAGTGTCGCAGGTGAGTCTTATCCCGGAGCGGGTCATGCCAGACTGTCGATGCATAGTCTACAATGGGCGTGACACATGCTTGGTAGAGCTGTCGCATTTGTTCTGGGCGCAAGTGTCGTAGTCCACTTAGAGCGATAGTTGTCTTGGTGGCGCGTTTGATGGCCTGCTGAACGTGTTCTTTCCACCGAAGTCCTTGGTCGAACACCACCCCTAACAGTTTGGCGGTAGGTGATGGCGTGACGTCGGCTCCATCGAAGGTGATCTTACCTTCGTGCTCTCCCCTCTTTCTGGTAAGGTGGATGAGCTCGGTTTTCTCCGCCGCGAAGCAGGATCCGCTTCGTCGCGCCCACTCTTCAATGCGAGGGACATCCTCGGACTGTATATTGGCTAAGTTTTCCTCGGCCGAGCGGCCCACTCGCCATCGGAAGTAGTCGTCAATAAATGCTGACGCGCCCCCGTGGGAGTCGACGGGCTGATCGACGAGATCGGCGTTGAAGAATGCAAACAAGATGGGCGAGAGTGGCGAGCCTTGCGCTAGACCTGCGTTCACTAGCAGCTCCGTCTCGGTACGGAAATCGTCGAATCCAATGTTGGCGTGCCGGTCACTCATGAAGCTCGCGATCCATTTTCTTGCCACCACCGGGATCCCTCTCGCCTGTAAAGAGGCATCCAGGCTCACCCTGTTTACCCCGTTGAAGGCGCCCTTGAGGTCGAATGCGATTAAAGTCACCACCTTGTGTTTGTACCATGCTTGGTCGATCGCATTGGACAGCAACAGCAATGCTTGCTCGGTGGTTCTGCCCGGGCGTCCACCGAACTGGCTGTTCGGTAGAAGGCCGTGCTTCTGGCTCTTATAGTGGCGACCGCTATCGCCTTCCATGTCAAACAACATGTAGAAGCTCTCTTAAACCCTAATCACATGGGCATGCTAATCCAAATTTGGTTAGTCTTGTATTTCAAAATTTGTTCCAAGGGTGAATCGTATGACTCTGAATAAGTACAATACCAACTAGGGTATCTGTATATAGTGTGTTACAAATTCAAACGTACCAGGGAGGAGGATAGTCTGATATTCATGCGGAAAGGCGACCCGAAATTCAGGAGAATGGTAAAAAAATCTCAATGTGGAAAACAATCGAAACCTTGGAATCACCTGTTATCCAAGGCTGAACGCTGCATGTAACGAAACGTATACCGGCCCCAGCGTCCTTCACTAGAAATACTTTCAAGGTCATACTCGCTGCTACCTATTTCTTGAAATCCAGCCTTCTTATATAGATTGTGACCGGCAGGCGATGCGTGAACCCAGCATGGAAGCTTCTCTGCATCAGCTATATCGATGCCCCATTGGATGAGCTGGGACCCTATTCCTCGACATTGGAAGCTTGGACTTGTTGCTAATGCTTGGAGCACAAGGTATTTTCTGCCTTTCATCGAGTTTTCTTCCCATCTCATAGAATCGCCGCGCATCAGGCAACTGAGGATCTGAGCTGGCCTTCTTGGTCGCGCTGGCTGGTTCATAGGGGAAGATTCTCCATTATTAGGCGTGTCGAGACTTCTTGACTTTAGCAATGCCTTACTTCTGTCTTGGTCGTCTTTATCCTTAGTCAACCAGCACGCCCACCCGACTATTGTTCCATCACCAGCTACTGCTTTCACTAGCTTCGATGTCGGATCAGAGAGCCAGATTTCGATTGATTTTTGCATAACGTTCTGATGCGCGTTTTCTTCGCGACCATAGAGCATGAAATTCGAAAATTGATCCGTTTCGAATGCCGCCGTGTGTACCCGGACAAGATCAGGGATATCATGGGTTGTCACCAGAGAGAGAGAAATCTCCATAGTTTTGTTTTTTTCTTCTTTATTTCGTGCGTTAATGGAAAATAATAGGATAAATCACTTTGCGGTAGTCAATAGAGATTTGAAGTAATTGACTTTATGCTTGGCTGGTAGTGATAATTTATCGGAAAATAGAGGAGAGTAGAATAAAGAGTTGAAGGGAGGGGAAAAAAGAGATAAAAGGGGGTTGACTAACCAAGGATCTATTAATAAAGCCGACTCTTCCGCAAATCCCCCCTCCCTGGCAAGGATCTTGTATATCCCACTACGTATCTCTCCAATCTACTAATCATATGCAGCATTGGTCTATTTATATTAGGACTGTGCTATAAATATCGCCTATAGGTCTAGTAATATTCACTAGCGTTCTTATGCAACTGTGGATACCTGTAAAGTAATCAGAAAGCAGACAGCCTACCTCTAAACACCATATTAAATGCGATAAATTGTAACTTCATATATTAATAATTTATATGTAAGCGGGGGAAGACTGGTTGGTCGTTAATTGGGGACCCGAGTCTAGAATATATGGATGACTTAAATACTGGGTTAAAGGTCATCATTTTCATAAAAGATCTGACCTGATTCAAGCATCTCCTGTTTCTTGCCCGCTGCCCAAGCCTTATAGTCTGATTCCTGCTTCTCCCATTCTGTTACTTCTCCATAGTCCAAAATAACATGGTAATCGGCCCATCCCAGTGGATCGCCTGTAATCACCTTACTAGTGTTAAATCCCGTCACAAATGGACGATCGGCCGCCCACTGCTGGATGGCATTAAAGTCACGACAGGTATGCGTGACGCTAGAAATCCCCTTAGCTTTACCATCGCGCGGGTCACGCGCCCACACAAAGGGAGAGATGTCTGAGTGACACATGATTGCTTGCCGAATCATATCGACACAGTGATCAAGGTGCCGCATATTAGTTTCGTCCTCTTCGCCACGCATGAGAGAGGTATTCCAGAGAGCCATACGAATAGCGTTCTAGTGACAATTATCCAGGTTTAGCTCGGTGGTCAAATCGAGATAAAATGAGGGAAGCCTGACTCACTAAACAATGCAGTTGATGAAAAACAGCTAGAGACGTGATATAGTTCTCAGGATCATCGGGAATGGGGAGTGTTTTATTATGCATCGGTGCGGCTTCAGCTGCACTAATTCGAGTCAAGCCATGAATAAAGAGTGCAGTCCAAGCATCATTATTTTTCTGCGATGGAGGTCCTTGGTATTTTGTCTTGCCATAGTTAAGGCCGCTGTCAAATAACCTAGTTGTGTACCGAATTGCGCCTTGGGCCGGCGCTGTTGAAACGTCAGCGAATTCTCTGACCATCACTTTTCTGGAAAGTTCAAGACGCACAGTAAGTTATTTGAGGGTCTAAGCTACTCATGGATCTCCTCATGATAAACAGAACCACCACGGTAAAAGCCAAGACAACCGTGAGAGTGACATGAAAAAATCTGAAGATATTTGATGAATATGATCGATAGGTTGAAGTGGATTTGATGCCGCTGCTTAACTTCACTTCAGGCTGAGGGAGGCTGTTGGTGTCGGTATCTTCTTCATGGTAAAGAAGTCGGTTCTCGCAGTCGGATGACTCTTCTGATTTTCGCCGTTCAGGTATGATGCTATACACAATTTTTTGAAGATTGATCATCTTGCAATTTAACCCAGAAGACAAAGTGAGAAAAGACAAAGTTGGGGAGGTGTGGGGAGGGAGGAGATGTGGAAGAAGTAAAAACAATTTCGGAAGGTTCGGGGCAACCTGATGGACGTGTTAGATTGTCGAAATCACGCGTACAAGGCGTCCTACCCGATGATCTAGAAGACGGGAAGAGAGCAGGGTGGAAAGCCAGAGGAGGCTATCTGATCTATCTAGTGCTGCATCAAGACAAACCTGCGGTGTTCCCGAGGGGCTGTTACGAGACGACAGTATCATGACTTCTAGCAATGGAGCCTGGTCCACATACATCTGCCCCTTGGCATCTGTGCCCTCGGGACCCGCACGGCCTTTGCCGGAGTCCGTGCGGGGTCTTCATCGATCATGCATGGACTTAGGACTAGTCATTTACGTGATTGGAGCGGTGAGAAACGAGGTGTCGAAATCGCTCACAACTTAGTAGGTAGCGTTGCACCATACATATAAGCGAGATTTTGATTCCTCCCATGTACAGTCCACTTTTATCGTGTGTGTTTTTGAGCCTATTAGGGGCGTCTCTGCGGACTACGCCATAGTAAGGATAAAGATAATAACGTTACATTGCATTGTTAAAGCAAGAATTGTTTTATATTTGGTTTCAGCTAAGCCTGAACAGAAAAGAGGTGCTTTGCGGTCCACGGCGCTGCAACAGGGAATTCAAAACACGCTTGCCACTCCACCGAGATATATTTCGGACGGCCGGCTCAGGCCCCATATCAGAGGGCGAGGGGCCTTAGCTAGCTATTCATCTCCGTTATCAAGTCTCTCCATCATTGTTCATTAGTCGATTTTAGGAGGTCGTCTCAGTCACCGCTGGGCCGCCTTTAGCTTCTTTAGTCCGAGCCCTCTCCGCTGTAGCTCCGCGCCCTCAATTTCTCTAGTATCAGACGTCCTGCAGAGATTGTCACTTTCACTCCCTTTCTCTTCTATCGCAAAGGCGGAATTTCAAGACTACCGTTGCCGTCTTTCATGCTTTTTGAGCCAGGATGTTTTTTTACGGTGTAAAATACGCTCGTATTCCCAATACTGCAGAAAGCAACAGTGCCGGCCCTTGGAGTTGTTGGAGGCGACTTGCATCGATCTCCTCTTGTGGAATTGCACTGGCAATTTCAATGCTCATGAATACATTCCTCATAGTCCTTATGTATTCTCGTCGCCATTCACCGGGGACACCTTATAGCTCAAGTTTCCCACAGACACTATACTGTCCGTATAACACAGTCACCAATGAACAATTTTTTGTCTAAAATTGACTAACAAGATTTGACACCCAGCTCCCGCACAAAGCGCTATTAGCTATGAGATCAAGACATTCGAAAGTTCATTTGATGGAAGCAGCATTTACACCGGCTATCCCAACCCCGCAATTAACAAGCACTGGAAAGAGCTTTACCGAGTGGGTAACTCGCGCATCAGCAAAAATGAGGCAGCGCGGTTGCCTAATAAAACCATTGCTGCCACTTCAAGTACTGACAACGATTATCTTGTTGTAATATCTGTCTTCCACGATTTGCATTGTCTGGTATGTCTCACATCCTCTTACTTCGCTCTGGGAGTCATTTAATAAACTCCTGATGGTAGGATCGGCTACGGCAATCTCTTTGGTTTTTTTATGACAGCCAATGGAACAGTACATATAATCCGTTCACTGTCAAGAGGCCAGAAACATACGATACAAAGGGTCTGAATGGAATCATCCACCTTGACCATTGCATTAATATTATCCGGCAGTCAGTCCAATGTTTCTCGGATGTCACACCCTATGTGTTTCAGTGGAGTGAGGAGGCACAGGCAGTGCATGCATATGCGAATGTGGTACATTCATGCCGAAATTTCGATGCGGTACGGAGCCCTATTCTGAAAATGATTGAAGCTAACGCTGACTCGATATATATAAAAAGGTCCGCAGCTGGGCGCTGGAAAGGACTTACACGGGCTCTTGGGATGGTGCCGAGCATCGTGATGAGCAGGGGGCCTGTAGATCTGGTGATTCTGGAGAGTGCCTTGGCCTTTGATTATTAGTACCTTTATGTGTATAGTGCTATAGGCAGCGGTCATATGAGTCAGCGGTCAAACTTATACTAATTCCATGTTCGCCATACTATCTAGACAGAAATATCCTTGATAACTAGCATTCATTATGTTTTATTTTCGTATAGTGAAGTCTTTTGGAGTCTTCTATTTTTCTGATCAAGTAGGTGTGAGCAACAAAGTTATACGTATATGTTCTAACACTTAGGAAGTGGGACTTTCTATTCTATTCAAAGACACTATGCAACGTATCGCCCTGCTTCCAATTCCAGAGACCTACTTCTTTGCCATTCATCTCAAACAGAAGGCTTGTATCTCTGCACTGATGCGTATAGCCCATTCCGTGAATTCTCCGTCCGTGCTTATTCTCTACCACAATATCTTCCGCCGGCTCAATTGTTCCATCCGCGGCGCACACAATAGACTGACAGTCCAGAATGTTAGCAAGCCAACGATTTGATGAGAGGTCGGTGCTATGTGTACCTGAGTAAGATAACTGATACAGTGCTCTGCATGCTCGGTATATTCGCTCTCGCTATGAACGTGTGAGTTCATCATTGTAGCCGGACTGAGCGAGTCTCTCCACATTTTCACGCAGTGTAGAGCGTGGAACATGGAGATTCCCCATGCTTCAGGCTGCGAATTGAAGCTCTTATTTACCCAGAGGACGTTCGCAAGGGGAAGCTCATCGAGGATTGTGATATCAGCATATATGGTAGAGATAAAGGCTGGCTTCTCATTATGTTCTTGGTGATTTTGGTTCATGGAGGTTAATGGAGGGGTTGTTGGGCATTGAAAGGTGGGATGAATCAGGCTGAGGGAGCGGATGGCAGACAGGAGCTGATCGCGGAAGACGACAAGGGTAATAAATGTGATTGCCAGAAGCCCAATAGTGGGGATAAGGAAGTATTGAAGAGAGTATGTACGCTGTCCTCTTGGTGCCATGACGATATTTTAGTTGCAACGAGAATTTCAAGTATGGGAAATTGTGTAGGCCTGAAAGGTGGGGAGGGGATGGGTGCCTGGAAAGAAGGAAATGAGAATAGAAGATGTAGTACGGGGAGGATAATTAAATGCAAAATACTACTCGTCGGCATATTAACTGTCAGTACTTTATACGAGAGCGCGCGATAACGATCCTGTATTAGGTGAATGATCATTAGCCTGGCGATACTGCGTTAAACCACTTTTTTTCATGACGCCATCCCATAATTCTCTCCTACTGGCCGATAGAACTGCTCAATTTCCAGACCAATAGGCCTTTAGACTGATACTTTTGCCATCACGCCTGGAACAGCTGAGAATTGTCGTGCTATGTAATTCAATTCTAGCTCCGCGGTGTCCAAGAAATGGTCTAAGCTATGATTAAAGGCAATTGCGTGGAGGTAAAATTGATTAACTTGGTAAACGTATTAATGGCGCAATTACAGTGTAGAAAACGAAACCCGTAATTCATTATCCAAATTAAGCTTAGGAAATGGCCATCTTCGCCGGGAAGAGCAACCGTGATGTGTGCCACCACCTGAAGAGGATTTGTGCTGCATTAGCGTAGCTCTGGTCAAGCAGTAGCTGGTTCTCGAGATCATAATGTGAGTTTCCTATCATCTTAGTAGATAGTGTCTTATTTTTCCGCTAACAAATAGGCGAGACGATGTACGTAATGCAATATACGCATAATCTGTCTGGTCCTAGTTCTCGACCAATCAATATCCAGCAATAGGGTGCAACATGCGCCTTATTGGGCGGTTGCCTTATGGTAAGCATATGCTATACCGCCCAGCTAAAATGCTCCGCCCTTCGAAAAGGTTACATGCCTGCCGCTCACATCATGTAGTATATTATGCACCATGAGACACTATAGCCACGGGTATCCGACGGGTGTCCGATGAGAATGCCATTTCTAAATTTAATCGGTGATCGATCGAAAAATTTATTTTTGGTGACCGTGCAATGTATCACCGCTAAGATAGCAGAAGCAGATAACACAATTACCATTCTGAGTGCTCTATACAACATCGATTTTTCTATAAGACTGGATCAAGTCCCTATGGAATTGGATCAGTTTCCTACTCAATTTCCGATATTATGCACATCTACATTGATTTCTAAACTCTGAATAATTTTTTTTCTCATACCTTCGCTATCATTGAATCCAGCCAACCTAGGGCAAACAGAAAAGAGTAGCGAGATATATCCCGACATGAAGACTTTTGCGAATATGGCCCTTGTCGCCTGTCTTGTGGCAGGTGTCAACGCTCTCCCACGGCCTCACACATATTCTATCTCTGCCCGGTCTGATGGCTCAACCGACGCCGCTCTATACGGCCCCGTCGACTGGGATAAGAAGAAGCGGGATGATGACTCGACTGACGCCGCTCTCGACGGCCCCGTCGACTGGGATAAGAAGAAGCGGGGTGATGACTCGACTGACGCCGCTCTATACGGCCCCGTCGATTGGGATAAGAAGAAGCGGGGTGATGACTCGACTGACGCCGCTCTCTACGGCCCCGTCGACTGGGATTAAATATACACTAGAACGTTTGAATCTATTTTACTATATACATAGTGACTTAGGAGGAGTGAATTCTAATGTCTCTTTATAACTGAACAGTAAATAGTATCAACTTAGAGATATAGAGTAAGATAGTGATGAGGGGAACGCTCGTTGGTAGTTTACTTGAGGCATATAGGTCGATTTAGCACAAGAATAGAAAACAACAATACTAATAATAACCGCATATTTAGATCTTTATGTTTGAGCACCTATATAGTGAGGGGAACACTCTAGGCTGTACACTCAGGGGTGCACGGGTCGGTTCAGTATATGACAAGACTGGTGTGCTGCCCGTCCGCGCTCCCTTGAAGGGAGGCAATGTGTCTGTATTGTAGTGGATTCTATATACAGAGGGAAGGTGGGAGGGACAAAATTGACACTTGACTGCCTGAGAGATGACGAGCTACCCGCAGAGGCCATCAACTGACTCTCGTGAGGCAGTTGTAGGAGGAAGAGGCCCTCGGAAATGTCGGTGTAGATATCACGTGAGGCTACAGACATGGTGAGGCTACAGGCATTGTGAGGCAACCCCAATAAAACCACTCCCTTTAAGGTGAATTGTGGAGCTCGGGGACGATCCACGCGGAACGCGTCCGAACTCTAGTGTGAATAAAGACTCAAAGTAAAATCGATTTCACAGCTTTTCGAAAGTCACAAATAGATAGAATCACAATTAAATCTACCTTTTATTAAAGTCGTATTACAGATGGTATGTAAGCCCCGTTCAGTAAGACGTATGCACTATCGTGGTCACGATAGTCTCTGTGCTGCGCGAGGTGACTGCGGGATATTGCGTGGTCGATGTCGATGTAACAGGACATCCAATGAGCGGCTTGACCTTCGTGTCCCATGTAATGAGTGCATCCGCATTACACCCAAGCACTGACTGGGTCGCCGCCACAAAGCAGCTCAATGATAGTCCATCGCAAGACAACGTGCCGCCATCTCCGGCACTCGGAGCTGCTGCGTTCGTATAAAAGCAATTCGAATACTTGTCGTCGTAAACCGTGAGGACCGAATAGAAGCTGACGCTTTCTGGAGTATCTGTCCACGCCTTTGGCTTAGGGCTGCCAACACCATAATTGTACCAGTAACCTGCTTCACAGACATTCTGTGTGGTGGAAGGCTGGGCAAAGTTGAGATTATAGTCCGTCTGAATAAGTCCGCGGTATCCGTATCGCGACGCGGCAGCAACTGACACCCAGCCAACAACATCGGTGACTGTTTCGGTAGCGGTACCAGTCCCCAGAATAACCTCGGTGATGGTGCTGATAGTGGAGCTAACCGTGGGAGTCTCCATATTGTAAATAGATTCAGCAGCTGTCCAGTCCGCGGCTTCATCCGTCGCTGCGTCGTCTGCGACGTCGGTCCAGATCTCCACAGTTCCCGTTATTATCGGTGCTAGCGTATAGCCATCAAGGGTAGAGGCGCCGGTCGTATCACAGCCCACAACATCTAAAAAAAAAGGCGAGTTAGGATGGGCATATAAAACTGGTGAGCAGTTGATCTATCCTACCTTTGCATGTGGAAGAGCATGAGCTGGTCGAGCTCGCTGTGATACAGACGGTGCTGCACGAGCTGTATGTGCTTGTCGAGCACTCAGTCTGAGTTGATGAAGGATAATTTGGATCCGTATCGGGATCAGGGCCATTAGGATCATTGGGGTCCTGGTTTGGTGCTATGAAAGGTTAGCGTTAGGCCGTATCAAAGATGAAGGTTTGTTTACAATCAGAACCACCGCAGCCCGTGAAACATGGTTCGCAAACATGGAAAATATTGTTTAGGAGACCTCCAATCCCCTCGGTGCATGAGATTCCGCACAGCGCGCGATTTGTACACGTCGGTTTTGATGGTCCATGGTGATGCGTAATTGAGCGATGTCCACCATGGTTATCATCATCGTCCCCACCCCCTGTAGTCTTGGAAGAACCACTAGAAGTTGTCTTCGTTGCCCCAGTATTTGTTTCTGAAGAAGAGCTTGTTGGAGTCACGCTTTGCCCAGGGGAAGGAGTCTGTGTAGGGATCACCGAGTTCCAAGGTGGTGGGTAAAATGGAACGACGGTCCCGGGGTAGGTTGTTCCATTCTGTTCGAAAGAAGGCCAGGTGATGTTGAAGGCTGTTTGAATGATGCTGGGGGTTGGGGAGAAGACGGAAGAGCCCACGCCAGACGGGATGACCACGTTCCAGTATGATATCACGGAGCCATGGTAATCAGGCACGGAAATGGTAGTAGAAGTCGTGGTCGTAACGTACGTGGTGGTGTTGATGGTGCTTCCGAAGTACACTATGTTCGTGGGAACCTCGATACCAACTCCAATTTGTGTGATGACAGAAGGGTAGACCCAAGTGCCTGGCGTTGGGAGCGTCTGTGGAGGCAGGACGTACGTGCAGGGTTCGTTGCACGAAACGTTTGTATCGTTATTCGGCTCATCCCAAAGCGATGGATCAATGTAAACAATGCCGGAGTCATTGCCACTTGATCCAATATCTTCGCCATCACTCGAGAGTGCCAGCCATGCAGCAATTTCACTGGTAAAACCATTTCGTGTGGTTGAATTGAAGCGCAATGAAGGCAGGTTTCCTTCAGGGGACACGATTTCCACATTTCCTTTGGTGAAAATATTGTACATCCACAAGTTGTTTGCGAAATCTGTTTGAATCAAGGACTGTTGGCACTCCTCTTCGTCAATGCATCCCTCGTCGTAATTCTGGAAGAAAGAATAGAATCCAGCAGAGTAGATAAACACATCACTAGAATTGAGCACGCGAAGCGCCCACGCCCCCCTGCAAAGATCGTCCGAACAATCATCATAAGTCGGATCAGATGAGAGACCCCCAGGCTTATATGGGCTCAAAGCATTGGGCTTGGGCTGGTAATAAGGAGTCTCTGTCTGCATGTGACCCATGTACACATTTGCCGCGTTCTGCAACTGGTACTGGTACATCTGGGCATGCTCGCTCGCTGTACCATAGAACCAGGTAGGTCCTTGAGACTCGATGAGAATGCCACGACCGCAGTAAATTGAAATATCTGTCTGAACGTTCTGAGGAATACCTGAAGTACTCTCCGTTGCGCCGGCATTGAGATCGCTGTCGATATCGTGATCAGCTACCCAAGCCCAAACGTTTTCAAAGTACCCAGATGCTTCGCTGGTGAGGTGTAACATGAGGAATGCTGCCATGCAGTCTTTGTCGCTTGCATCCCCTCCTGCCGGGCATTCAGACAATCCAAGATCGGAGCCGGTGGTACCTCCCACGCGGAAATGACTGTCCCACATAGCCGCTATATCTCGTCAGATACGCAGGCTAGGAATATCTTAGGGAGAATATAATGTTGTACTTACCGCTTCCTTGTTCACCTTCGTGTATATTCCATTCCATGAGAATCGCACCTGCTGTGGCTCCTTTCACCGTGAAAAGCATGTCAGAGATCTCGACAACCCCTTGGTCGCCCTTCTCTCCAACTTGCACCACAACCGTAGGATTGCTCTCATCCTCAAATTTGGACCCGGTACCCATGATCTGACTCCATGCGGAGCCAACGATCTTGCTTCCAACGGGAATCTTGATTGAGCTTTCCACTTGATAGATACCAGCGGGGAAAAAGATGACAGACCCGATGTTATCTGACAGAAGACTATTGATTGCAGAGGATTGATCGCCAGTTCCATCATTTGAGATGCCATTGTCAGTCGCCACAACAGGAGTATCGGACTCGTATTGTGGCTTCGCTCGCCGGTAATAGGCACCCGAGCTGTCCAGGAGTTGTGAGGGCTTGTTCGGAGCTGGATCCACGAATCCAGTCCTCTTTTCTCCTGAACCATCAGGAAGGAACTGATAGCCACTGACCCAGGAGTCAAAGTAGAGGGCATCGGTACTGCCGGCTAGTAGTGTGTCACCACCAGAGATTAGGACCACAGAAGCAGAGTTCTCCACTAGCAAATTATCAAGCACGACGCTGGGCTGCTCATCTTTTGTTTGTGCAATGGTGATTGCGTATGGAACGCCATCAAAATGAGAGTCTATCACAGCAATAGAGCCAGTTCCTTGGTCTCCAACACCGGAGTACTCGGTGGCATCGATAGCAATGTAGCACGATACAACATGGATGTTTTTCCATGTGAAGCCCCAATTCCAGATGGACTTGATGGCTGTCAAACATGAAGTAAATTTCAAATTGATGGCCGTGAATTGCTGAGTTCCTGCTAGAAAACCAATGTTCCTGGATTTCATCTTGTTAGAGATAGCTCGATTCAATCTTGGGTCATTGTCTTGCTTACCCGCCTGTAAATGTCAAATCGGATACCATTCCACCACTACCATTCTCCATGTATATTCCCACAGCTGTTGCTGACTGGTCTGCACTGGAAACAGACATCTCGAAATCGCAGTTGGTGATGGAAGTGGCCTGTCCGACTTGCCAATGAACTCCAGCAGGAACGTATGTTTGATTATTATCAGTATTGGTCCAGTTCATGGCAGTCATATCGAAGACAAAATTCCGAATCTGTCTATAGAAATTGCTCTGATTGATGTACCATTCGTCTCCATTGGCTCCGGGTATATAAAAGTCAGAGTCGACCAAAGCAATGCCGGTGAAATTTTCGGCGCCTTTGATGGTAGGCTTGTTCGAAGGATCACCAACAAACTGGGTGTAGTAATATTGAATAATCGGGGTGGTGATGAGATAGGTACCCTCAGGGAAATATACCACAGCACCCAAAGTCGAAGTTGAGCCACAGTCCTCGCCACAGCGAGCCGTAGAATGGTCTGAGGAGCTAAGAGCAGTTACAGCGCGATTAATTGCTGCTGTATCATCCGTACTTCCATCACCGATAGCACCAAAATCCTTGACGTTACGGAAGAATTGGTATCCAGAAGGAGCATGTGGCATCTGTGAGAAGTATGGTTAACAACTGATTCCTATAGGTCTACAAAAGGAATAAGCATCATTACGTACCTGACCATTGCTACCAAGGCTAGCAAGCCAATAGCTATCACTGGAGCTTCGTGAGTGAACAGATCCGTGCATATCAGTGATCATTGATGCATTCATCGGACCCAACACGGGACCACTCAATGACCCGTGATCAGGAGCACTGCCAAAGAAGTTGTTGACATTATCCTTCATGTATGCAGGGGCCGGCTATTCTTGTTAGAACTTCGATTGTGAAGTGACTATATGGGTATTGACTTACATGAGGCGTCCCCAATGGAAGTGGAGGCTTATCACCAACCAAAACTGGAGTATCACGTGGGTTGGTGGAAATTGTTCGTTGAGTAGAATGTGAGTGATTTGAATCGCCACGTACTACATGGTGATGGAATCTATCATGACCATGGCTATGGCTGGCGTCCACATGAGCTATCCCTTGCAAAAAGAGCCAAAGAAAGCTTGAGAACCCAAAATTTTGGATCAACATAGCTGCGCTATCTCATCTAAAGATGCTGTTTTTTGGAATGGTAGCAGCAAGAAAAGACTTCAATCCTGCCCAGTTTTGTTCGGCATGGACGCACAATTTTTCTAAAAGTGTCACCAAGTACGCATCTTTATTGTCGGCAGTACAACGCTCCGGAGATTTGATGACAAACACGGACCGTAGAGTCCGTTGAAATTATGGTGGAGCCATAGTATTAGCGAGTCACTAGCTAGCTGCTCGCCTTAGTGTAATCACTAGGCCCCGGGGGCTGCATCGACGATTTGAAAAATGCTCTAGTACTGAGACCTACCACTTCGTACTGGTGGCAAGACTAGTTCCACACCTACTTGCAAACTTACTAGCAAGTTTTTCTAGTTTTCAAAAATGCACTCTCAAACCCCGATGTTTTTGCCGGATTTTCTCCGTTTGGTCAACTTTATCTAGAAATTCGGAGATTCGGCTCAATCTATGACTTCTCTTAACAGTGCTTTCACCTGAAATCAACACCGTCTATCTCCCTGCGTACGCTTTAGTGCTTTCGGACACGGATTAAAACAAAAAGTATCACCGACATCCTAACAGAGTCTCACAAAATAAGTCAAAGTGGGTCAGTTTCTCTAGATTGCAATGTTGCATCCAATATGGCCCCCACTATCAGACTAAAAGAATCCCCACACAGGTCGGTATTCGCTATTTCGAGGTGAAACGTGATGATATTGCAATCTAGGCTATTTCGTGGTAATGAAAATAAGCCAATGGCCAGACTGTACGGCGTGGATTTATCTGCTAAGGGCATTGGCTCTTCTCCCTTAGTCCAGAGGCCCCTAAGCGGGGCAGCTTATGTCGGCCCCAAGCAGGTACACTCAACCTTCCAAATGGAGTCTGCACACTGGGCAGAATAATCAAACTAGTTCCCTTTAGTGCCTCGAGCAGGCGTACCCGGCATCTATCTTCCGGTCTGCCTCTTTGTCTAAATTAGTTGTGGGTCATGCGCAAATACGAAGTATCAGTTAATAGAGGTTTCGTCGCGATAGGGGCTTGAACCGAGCACTATGCTATTCCAAATAACGAAGTTTTCAATCACGTAAAAAGCGAGATAAGAGTGTTTGGTGATTCTTCCAGACACTAGAACTTGCTAAGTCGGAAGAGTTCAGGAAAAGCAAGGATTCGTGCATCTCAGCCGGGCCAGACTCTACACTAGTGAAAGAAACAACCTATTTCACTTATATGGAACCTGCTTCCGAGTTACTTGATAGCAGCCAAAGCCATTTATTGATTTCCAACTGTCAGCATGCGGTCAATCAGGCTGATGCTTGTTCCAGGTCTGCTGTTTGCTGCCTTGGTAAACCTTGTGGAGGCTGATCGACAAACACTCTCGAATTTGTTTCGCTACACCGTCGAGACGGACGACTTTGGTGGCTGCGCTACAATTGGAGAGGACACCCTGAATTCCATTGCCGATGACGCCTACACGCTGGCTACACAGGGGTCTAAAGCAATGAGTGACTACCAAGACACCGTTGCGAATACGCATGAAGCGGCAAAGCGATTGGTGGATGTTATGTTTCTCAAACCATCCGACTCTGAGTTCGAAACCGTCAAAGGTAATTCTATTCAGATTCCAGAATTTTTACCAACCGCGAGTCTTCAAGTTAATAGGTCATAGGAAGAGCCGACGGGGTGAAAACTTGGCTGGAGTCAGGCGGGAACGTCAACAACGGCCAGAACAAGAAAAAGCCTTATTTGTTTTGTGGTGACTCGTGGGTGATTCGCCAGGACATGAGCAGCCAGATGAAGGACAAAGACGGAACCGATATGGTCGACGGAGATGGCGCGATTATCCGTATCAAGGACAGCTCAAAGATGGTGAAAGCACGAAAGAAGATTGCAAAGGATTGGAACGTCAAGGAAAGCAAAATCTATCCTGTATGAAACCCGCTATTCCAAAATTGAATTCTTGTACTAATCGTGGAGTTTTCACTCAGTATTGGAGTGCAGGCATTGGCGCTTATATTTTCAACGTAAAATATTCTGATGATCCAACCAAAAATGGGTGCGACGAAGCAGACGCCTTGGGATATACCATGAACCAAGGCTCCATAAGTCTCATTGTGCTTTGTCCTAAGTCGTTTACTGAGGTTAAGTTGCATGAGACGAGTATTTCCGCATTCGCAAGCAGTTACTACGAGAAGTTTGGCCAAGCCCCAGATGATAACACAAGAATCAGAGACGTCATGCCTGCAGGCCGTACTCTTTATCACGAATTGTTTCATTTATACTGGGGTGAAGACCTGCACCCTTCTGGTAAGGAGGAATACGTATTCCGCAGGATGACGGGAAACGCCGCGCGCCGTGATGGAACTTACTTCGTGAAGTCACAGGCCATGTCGAACCCAGAAAACTATGCTATGCAGGCGTCAGTATTGAATCGCTCTGTCTTCCTTCTTTCTCTCGCTAATATATCGTTCCAGGGTTGCCTATGACTACACTCTATCCGTCACAGCTGGGGCCAAGGACTACCCAGTAGAGTTCTATACTGGTTATGCCACCTATGAAGACTGAAAAGATCTTCCAGTGCCTCCAATACCAAAGAAATCCCAGATTTCAATGCAGTTCAAATCTGATCTGGGAAGCCAAAGCTGGAACATACGATGTGGATATATGTATTGTAGTGGGGAATAGCGATGTGTAGTGATTAAGCATATGTGATGTTCATAAGCCCAGTCGTGCAGAGATAGCAACTCAGACCGTCTTTCCTTCCATAAGCCACCCCTAGGTTCTCCTTTCTTGTTTACCACTACCCAACAACCTGTCCCGGTGGTTTTTGGCTCGCAGACAGACATTGCCAGCACCAACGACGCGTACTCCATTACAGTATTTGGATAAGGAACTTCGCATGTCAATCCATTCTATAGCCAGTCGTCGTCCCATGAATATCGGAATTTTGAATGAAAAGACATATCCTCTGGAGAAAGGAATCGAAACCACCTATGATAGTAAACAGACATATCTTCAATAGGCTTGTTCGACCACAACCCAAATTCAATCATCCGCCATTCTTCCCATAGTAAAAAGCCATACCGAGCATAAGCATCGAAGCGCATATACTTTCCAGGTCCTCCTTCCGGATTGAGTATCATGCTGTCCCAAAACTGGAGGCCAAGCGGCCACCTTTCCAGGTCCAGACATTCTTCTACCGTTGAATTTGGGCCAAAGTCCCGAACAGGGCGTGCCACATACTGGCTGACTGGACGGTTTCGTACTTCCAATCTTCCAGGATATTCGTAATCCTGGCTATCGGTATCCGAAACGTCGCGAAGGATACAACTATATGCGCCACGCCTACTGCTTCTTTCATCGTCATCGCTATGCTCATCCTCGTCACTTCGACCTTCCTCATCTTCATCGGGCAAGAGATCGACATCATCAGACGATTCGCTGGACGAGGAAGGTGGGCCAAAATAATATCTCGGGGTCCGAGGGTCGAGATTCCCGTCGGACTGTTCAACTCGTCCCTGATTGGCATCTCGTCTAGCTTCTTGATTGGCCACCTGGTTGCTCTGACCACACTTTTCTTCGGTTTCGTCGTTTGTCTCGTCTGCTGGCTCCTCTTCTAGCTCTTCTGCCGGCTCTTCTTCTGAAACAACTAGTGGGGATTCCAGTTGGTTACTCAGTCGTGGTGCTAGCTGATCGGATTCGGCATCGAATGGTGTGTTGGTAGTTTTAATTTGCATACGAAGAATTTCATCGGGCTCCTGCCCCTGGGAGATCGCCTGCCATGTAGGCAGAGGTTGACAGTGCCAGCCGAATTCTCGTTGCCCCGGAACAGGCGGTAATCTGAGGACCATTGAATTTATCGAAGGTAGCTGAGATTTTGGAGCCGAGTAATAACCTGTCAGATAATCGAGCGCCATTGTTGTTTGCATTGTGCAAAAAAGAGAGGACCGTCCATAACGCCGCATTCCGCCCTTCAAAGAGTCTATGGTTTGAGGTGGCCATCTGAGCGAGCCTTTCTGTGACTCTTCACGGAGCTGGTTGACAAAGATGAGCCGCCAAAATCCCAGAAGGCCACGTTGCTCCTCGGTCCATGTTGGGATTTTGAATCCCTCGGAATAATTTCGGTCTCCCAGTCTGCTTTGCAAACATCTTTGCATGCAGACTTCGATGTACAAATGAGCATGATTATGAACATGGTGGGCTAGCCTAACAAGCCATCTCATGTCTGACGATGTTGCGGACACGCTGGGCAGCAGCGGGACCTCAGACCAATCGAAATAATAAAGCTCATCTTCCGGGGTACGGCTTAGGAACGTGCCTTTGTGCAGTGTCAAAACGCCCTGTATGAGAGCCCGGGACTGGGACGGAACCTTAGTGTTCAAAACAGCATTGACGATTAGACAGGCATGGTCGTTAAACACTGACGCTAGGTAGGAGGATGTATGCATGAGGCTCCATACCGAACTGAAATTAGTAGATTGTTGAAAGATCAGGACCAAGAGTTCATTGGGAAGCTTAGAAAGCCGATCATGGACTTTTTCTGACATGATGTCGACGAGGTAGGAATTGGTCAACTCGATGCGGGTCGGCGTGCCAAGCTTCAAAGCAGGCCCCTCCAGTATTGGCCAATATTGGCAAAACTTGTGTGTATTTGACTCCAGAAATGTCGGAGGATGTTGAAGATGAGGCTGAGCACTGACTATTTCAATTGTCGGACTTTTCACGTATCCAATGTAAGGCTTATTTGATGTGGCAGCCAAACAGCGTTCAAATTTCCGTTGATGACTACCACATTATCATCTGCGTAGAGTGTGGGTACTCCGTAGAGGAGGAACCTGGACTTTACCAATGTGTAAGACACAACTGTGGAATTCGGAGGAAATGCGGAAGACCCCGAAAACATGATCAACAGCCGAACCAACATCCCGATTTATTACCGCCCCTCCCCTCAAATTACTCCCACAATTCTGCAGCGCTCAAGGGTATCAGCAGGCCCACACTCTGATGAATTATTCGGAAGCTCCACTGGCCAGAGAGATAACGGGTTCCGTTCCAATCATTTGGTCTCTTGTGGTACTTTATTGTTGTTGCATGTGTATCTCAGTTGTATTGTTGTGGAGTTCTGTGGGTCACGACCCAATACTATAGATACAGGTCTAACCCTAATGCATGAGTAGTGCGTATCAGGGTGACAGGACAATACCATAAATACAGGTGCTCCAACACTCCCACTCAGCCTGACTACGCGCTAATCATCGCATAGACAGGATCTCCCACTCGTAGTCTGGCTTCCTTTACGAGCCTCATCAAAAACCTCGATCGTGTGTAAACTTCTCTCGATAAGAGTAAAATCACCGGTCGCAGGACAAAAAGAGTGCTCGCCCTCAAGCAAATCCTTTCCGAAGGCCCATTGATAAAATATGTTTCTCATGCAGTTCACGAGGTAGTGCCTTTGTCAGAATATCTGCTGTCATCTCTGTTGTGCGAATGTACTCGAGTCGAAGGATGCCATTGGAAAGTGCTTCTCGTGTAATGTGGTATCGGATGTCGATGTGTTTTGATCGAGGGGAAACGTCGCGGCCTGATTGTGCTGTTATGATCGCGCTCTGATTGTCTGCATATAGGGTTGTGGGATGAGTAGGGTGGCAGTCCGGATGGATGTCTGCAATTAGGCGTCGAAGGTAACTGGTTTCATAGCTGGCATTCGCCATCGCGACATATTCGGCTTGATGAGTGGATCGAGCAATAAGTGATTGTTGTTTTGATTGCCAATGAACACAGGCGCCGTTGAGGAGGAACACGTATCCACTTGTGGATTTTCGATTGTCGACGTCCGCAGCAAAGTCGGAATCGGTGTAACCATATAGCTCGGTATCTCTTCCGCCGTAGACTAGGCCTATGTCACTTGTGTATTTGATGTACCGTAGAGCATGCTTGGCAGCTTCCATGTGTTTTGCCGTTGGCTTCGCATTGAACTTGGATAGACGTGATAGGGTGAAAGCAAGGTCCGGACGAGTCGCCATCATAAGGTACATCAGACCTCCCACTATCGCTTGGTACTGCTTTCTGTCGTCGTAGTCGAGAATCTTGTCATTGTCTCGAGCTTCATGTAGATCGTTCTTGATGGAGAGGGGTGTCGTGATCCCGTGGCTGCTTGACATGTTGAAACGCTCCAATAGCTTGTCAATATAACGCTTTTGATGAATGCAAATTCGATGTGAATCTCGTTCGATCTGCATGCCCAGAAAGAGGGACACTTTCCCAAGGTCTTTCATGTGATACAGTTTCATGAGATCCTGTTTGATCTGCGAGACAGGACCTTGTGGACCAGCAAGAAGGATGTCATCAACGTAAAGAAGTAAAATGCACTGGACGAGTGTTGAGACATAAATGTTGGGATCCTCGGTTGACCGACGGAATCCAAGAGTCATTAGCTTCTTGTGCATATCAGAGTACCATTCATAAGGGGATTGTTTCAAACCGTAGAGCGTCCGATTCAGACGCAGAACTTTTCCAGCTTCAAGTTCCATGCCTTCTGGTGGCTCCATATAGATTTCTTCTGACAAATGAGGGTTGAGAAAAGCAGTGACCACGTCTAACTGCTCTACCTCCCACTGAAACCAGGCAGCGAGGGCTAACAGGAGCCTCATGGACGTTAACCTTGCAACAGGTGCGTACGTCTCTTGATAATGTACTCCATATTCTTGCTCATAGCCTTTTGCAACCAGGCGAGCTTTAAAATGCATGTCCCCTTGCGCATTGTACTTTGTCTTGAACCCCCATTTGCAGCCAATCGCAGTCTTATCCAAGGGCAAGGGGATAATTTCATATGTCTGATTCTTTTGGTGCGCGGAAAACTCATCGCGTATGGCGCGAGACCAATTGACGGGATCCACCTGCATTGCAGTGTGATAATCCAGTGGATCGCCTGCTACGTCCACTCGGAGCCTGCCAGCTGGCTTCTTCACTGCGCTCGGCTCCGCGCCGCCCTTAGATAGATCCTCCCTACTCCGTTGAGCGGTAAGAGCAGTTGCGCGTGGAGGTATGATGGGGTCACATAAATGATAGTCTTGTGGTGGCTCAATCCCACAGATCTTGAAATTTAACAGTTCCGGTTCTTGCTTGATAACCTCAAGATGGAGGTCTCGGAAACTGGATTGTACAATATTGGCCACAGCATGTGGGCCTTCAACTTGCCAGGATGGATGGCATTGCAGGTTTTGGGATTCAATGGGGATTCCTGGAAACTGTTCTTCATCAAATATCACTTGACCAGTATTGAATGTTCGCTTTGCTTCAATGTCATATACCTTCCAGACCTTTGTTGTGTTATGGATATAGCCCATGAACAGGCATCTTCTTGTGCGTGACTGCCATGTTGAACGCTGTGCGGGTGGGACGAGAACATAGGCTAAACAGCCAAACGGTTTAAGGTGATTATACCTAGGAGTCAAGTTTGGGTAAAGGCCAATCAGCGGTACCTTACCATTAAATGCATGGGAGGGGGATAAATTGCGTATGTACGTGGCAGTCGCCACGGCTTCGCCCCAGAATTCTTCGCGATCTGGCAGGTTCGCTCCTGCAAGCATAGTCCTCGCCATCTCTTTGAGAGTCCGGATTGTTCTTTCGCTCACACCGTTCATATGTGGAGTACTGGGAGGGCTGAATTCATATTGAATGCCTTCATTGATCATATAATCGTGCCAATACTGGTTGGCAAATTCTCCAGTGCCATTATCGGTGCGAATTCAGCGAACGACCGCGCCGAACTGAGTCTTGATCCATGTGTGGTAGGCACGAAAGGCTTCAATGGTTTCCGTCATGCTTTTACCCTTCAGAAAGTAGGTGTGGGTGTATCGCGTGAAGTCGTCCACGAAAACGAGAAAGTATCGATAACCGCCTAGAGAAGTAGGCAGCAAACCGCTGAGGTCGGAGTGAATGAACTCAAATGGTTTTGTAGCTCTCTCTTGAGGGTTTCGGTTAAACACAGCATGCTGTTTTCCAGCCATGCACGAGGCACATCGAGAGAGTTGTTTTGGTAGTTGAATTCGGGTAATCTTTGACACGTCCTTCAAATTGAGATGTCCAAGCCGCTGGTGCCAGATTGTGATCGGATGATAATTGTTGAATTTGGCATTAAATGCGGACGCGGGCAGATTAAGTTGGTAGAGATTCGATCGGATTTGACTTGCAGTAGCAAGCGATCTACCGTCGCGTTGGATCCTGCATTGGCCACCAGCAAATATGACTTCTAGTCCCATATCGTCCAAGGAACGCACGGATATCAGATTTGTGCTAAGGTGAGGCACCCACCAGACTTCCTTCAGATCAATAGAAGCCAAGTTTGTCCGTATGTGAAGAGTGCCGCTTCCGAGTGCTTTTACATGCGATCCATCCCCAATGATGACTTGGCGAGGTTGGTGAAATCTTTTGAAGTGGGTGAGGTTTGATCTTGTATGAGTCATTGTATGGCTTGCTCCAGAATCGAGTATCCATTCGTTTGTGGATGATGCATCATGGCTTGCCATGTGAGCAAACCCGTCTTCCATATAGTTCGCATCGGATCGGGATGGTTGTTGAGTTGGATTTGTAGATGAGGTCGCAGCATCCTCTGCCGTGTAATTTGTGCCGCGAGGTATTCGAGATAGTCGTGCTTGGTTTTGCTTGTCTTCCTCTTCACGACGTTGAAGTTCCCAGCACTTTGACTTAGTGTGACCTCTTCGTCCACAGTGGTAGCAGTATACTGTCGGCCGAGGATTTTCGACTCTATGTTCTCGACGGTATGGTTCAGATGGTCTATATCGACTGCCTCTTCCTCGTCGTAATTGGAATGGTCTTCGGGGTCGGTTTTCAGTGATCAGTGCCATTCCAGATCCATTTGCGGCGCCGACCGGTAGTTGATTTTCAAAGTCGAGTAGTTGCTGTAAAGCAGTCTGGTAGTCGAGGTTGGGGATTCGTTGAATGTGAGAGACTGTGATTTCGAAGCGTTTGGGAAGTGTACTGAGCAATTTGGCGATTCTCTCTAGTTCGGAGAGCTCAGATCCGGTTCCGATCAGGCGTTGATTGTAGGTATCGAGACGAGCGGACCAAGTTTGAATGGTATCGTTTTCTTTGAAGGATTCACTCCCAAGTTGTTGCCGTACAGCCCAGATATTGTAGTTGTTTCTTCCTCCTAGTCGACGTTCCAATTCGAGCCACATGGCTCGCGGGTCTCGACGGACAGCTGCAACGATGCTGTGAAAGTCGCTGTGGATATGATTCCAGATCCATTGTATCGCCTTTTCTCGAGCTTGTCGGTAGTCTTTAGCGTTCTGGCTATAATTTGTGAGTTCGGCTGCTCGTGATGTGGAGGGGACTTCGGGCACAGGCTCGGTGCCTTCGACGATGCCTAGTGCTCCCAGGCCGGTGAGTTGGACTTCGGCGTCCAGTCTCCAAGAATGATAGTTTGTTCGAATGAGCTTTGGATGTCCTGATTCACTATCCATGATGAGCAAATTGAGGGTTCATAACCTGTTGTTGCATGTGTATCTCAGTTGTATTGTTGTGGAGTTCTGTGGGTCACGACCCAATACTATAGATACAGGTCTAACCCTAATGCATGAGTAGTGCGTATCAGGGTGACAGGACAATACCATAAATACAGGTGCTCCAACATTTATGGTCCTAGTATGCACTTGTAACGTGGCGCCACAGACCCTTACAAAATCAGGGTCAGGGCCGGAATGGGTGCGTTTCAGTAAGCGCTAAAAGACCCGTAGCGAGGAAAAAATTCACCAACACATCAAGTCAAAGACGTTGGATGGGGGCCAAAAGTGGGTGGGTCTATTGCGCCTTGTTCCAAATGGCGTTGTAACGCTTTTCGGTCTAGTACAAATGCCGGTAGTCTGTTTTTCCCCCGTAGCCGAGTCAGAGGAACGGGCATGTCTGCACAGTCTAGAATGTGACCTTAGACTGGGAAGTCATTGCGATACTACAGTGGATCAAGGTATTTTTTAATTTATCAAATTAGTACCGGGGATAAAGCTATGAATGACTTAATATAAAAAATTTGTCAAGGTAACATGGTAGCAATCTTGCCCGGAGCGATGTCGGGGAATGAAATTGAGCAATAGTGCGAGCTTTTTCGATAACCGAGTATAGATCAATTCAAACAAAGCATACTTCTTTTCCCATCTCCATAGAAATGAACATAGATTAAGTTGGGGTTCCTGCGCTGATCTCGCACATCAATGGGGAACTGTATATCGGTTATGGGTCTGTACAGCAGCGGGTTGACCACATCCTAGCTTTTGTTCAAACTAAAATCTCTTACAAAAATGGATATCTTGCACAAAGTGCAACGACTCGCACTATTTTAAGTTACAATAGAGCGAGCGGTAGAACCTTCCTGTTCAGGTTTGGGAGCAACCCTTCAGGTCATTAGCGCTGCTTGCTGTTGAATAACTACGTATTTTTCGGTCCTTCGAGGTCCGTGATGTCCAATTGTTCCTGCATTACCGTACTGCGATATGGCATGCTATTCTTTATTCTGGTTCCACCCTCACTTACAGTAAATATATGGGGCAGGGGATTTGCGCCGCCAAGTGAATAATCTTTTTCGTGCTTGCCTGGCTGGACAGAGCGTGGTGGCATGAAGCTTTCTGTTCATGGGAGATACAAATCTTTCGCGCGCTTAAAGGCATTGAAATGAAATGTAACGCTGTAGCCCGGTATTTCCAATGAAATGCCCTTCCTATTTCGAGATCATTCTTTGTCGTGGCCCTAGTCTCGCTCCTTCAAATATTACAGACTACGGATAAGTAAAGTCTGGCGTAGCTTCCTCAAAAGTCAGCCCCTCACAGCAGTAGTTAGCTTTAGTGCTTTGCAGAGTCTCCATTCTGACTGAGGCCCAGACAGAACAGAGCAGTGCTAGATTAAGTCCCCGGCTATGAGGGAATTTTATATACTGTTTCGTTCTTCGTCTATCGACTCATCCGGCTAGCTCTCCCAAGTCCGAGCAATGCGAACCCACTAACCTCGAACGAAAGGAAGAAGGAAAAACCTGATCCTGCTCATTGGACACCCTTCGGGCTCATCCCGGACTCAACAAGTATGATATGAAAATCTATAAGAATGGGGCAATTCAGCACCTTGAAGCTTGATTATTCAAAACATTTCTACTACATTCTCAACAACCATCTCTCAATTTTCTCCCTTCGATACCACACTAGGAAAAGACATACAAAATGCAGGCTATCACTCTGTTCTTTGCCGTCGCTCAAGCAGCTATGATCATGGCAGCACCAGCCTCTGATGCCAACACCAATGTTGCTCGTGGTGACAGTGGCTGTTATCCTTAGTGGGTTCTGTCCCGTCTGTATTGTCGGATTCCTCACTAACATTTCCATAGCTCAAACCCGGATTGTGGTGTTAGTGGCACCTTCTGCCAATGCGCCAATGGTAAGCTTTTCATCGAGCGCTTTGTCGGGATGATCAATTGTGACTTAAAAGTACTACAGGAGACTTCTACCTCTTCAACGAAAGCACCAACGACTGCCAGCCCCCATGGGCCTACGTGACCAACAATGTGGGTGGGCTTCCCGGATCCTATTGCTAGAGGGAACCTTGATTACGATAGCTGCAGGAAGCCTATAAGATAGGATTGGCCATTTGGATGAGTCAATAAGGTACGGGCCTTGCACATATTGTCAGATATATACAAAAGACTTCGGTCTTTTCAAATAGAAAACTACCTGAGCAAGACTCTATATGTCCACAAACTTTCGGCTTGCCTGCATAGATCTACCTGAGATGGTTCCAAGGCGTATCTTTTATGAATCTAGATGAGCACCGCCAGCCCTTCAAAGTAACAGCATCATTCTAAAAAGCTATCGCTGTAAGAACCAAGGCGGTACTTCAGGCCCGTAGACAGCCAAAGACGTATCACCCGCGGGTCCGTGATCTATCGATGTTTGGTCATTCATCAAATCTCCACCAGCATAATGCTCAATTATGTTTCCTGTCGTATCCCACCAGTAGTCACAAATTTGTCTACCAAGTCTATCAAGAATATGCCGACCAACCCCCAGACTGACTTATAATTTGTTATTTACGAGCCATGATATCTTAAGTTGATTGGCTGGCTGGTTCATTCACACAACGACGCCTAAATCTTCTGCGAACTTACTTCATTTTGCCATCAAGGTCACTAAAGAGTTCCTATCTGAAATTCAGGCTTGAACCATTGAAACGAAGTTTCTTATCAAGCTTATTAATCTTTTGGAGGTCACTGTCCCACAATTTACTCTCGGACTACCAGAGAGGCAGCTTATGATTTTAACTTGCTACATCGGTTTTTGACCGTGATCCGTGGCTACAGTGAGCCACCAGAGTCACCCTACATCCTCTTTCAGCGACCGCGATGATAAGAATGGGTTCGAAACCTGGAGGTTGGTGATTTCTCGTTGCGCCTACCAAAACGACTCTGACTGAGAGAAATTCATAGCACGCTTCCTCCATCCCGTTCCGGAATTTCTCGAGTACTAAAATGGTCTGGGAGATATCCGCCGACGCGGCTTCCACATATATTTCAATACAACTAGTGCAGTAATAGTGAGAGCATGGATTTTCGATCATGTTCCGAGCTGGAAGAGATTTCATGCATACTATACATTCCTGCTGGTGGATGCAGTTGCACTGTTTTTAGATTAAATAGGGTGGGCATCCTGGATAGCAAGCTCAGGCTTGAGCTCCGAGATACCGTAGATGATTGATCCTCGGTCAAGATGATCCTCGCACCTACCAAACTGTAGATGGGGTAGGTCTTTGGTGGTCTGCGACTGATTTTGGGTTCACCAAGTCGCCATCTTGCTTTGTAGGCTAGGCCTTACTGTTGCTTATCACTTCCATCTCGTCACTTGTAATTATAAATTCATGTTCCTTCCCCCTGCCCTCCGATCTCAAAAATCACCGCTGCACTAAGTGTGGAAGCTGAATTGACTACAAAAACCTATGATTGTGTGGAATTGCCTCCGCTGGACCTGGCTGTGGAGAAATCCATATATTTCGGCTGCGTCAGTCGCCCAAGCCAATCTTCGCCAGTATCATCTAATCTAATCTATGCCTCCAGGCGTTTTTTCCTCCATGTGAATCCAAGCTCGACGAAAATACATACGGGGTTCGATGGATCAGATTAGAGATAAGCGATTTACAGCGACTCTCTATGGCTTTCACGACTTTGCCTGACCAATCCCTTCAATAGCTGCTGGAAATGGGAGTGACCATACACTACAGTATCAAATTTCCCTCACCCAGCACCAGATAGCCTTGAGCCTCTATGGTCCGCCCTCCTTCTTGATCTGTCCTCTTTTTGAAATTGCCTGTGCTGGCGAGGTTTTGTCCCAGCCTCCAATATACCTGCAGTCACCTCTTCGCGCCAATAGGGACATGAAATACGAGAATCCGCAGTGGCTCAAGTTTGCTGGGGACTCAAACAGCTCGACTTTCCACGTGGGAGAGACCAAGTACTTCAGAAAGCTTGTGAATGCACGTGGGAAATATTTGCGTCCCTAGCTCTTTTTGCATCCAGATTGGTTTGGTTTCATCTCTCTTGCCTTGATGAATTGAAAAAGACTCTGGTTTTCGATCGGCATGCTTGTGCCAGTAAATAGCGTGATGATCAAGGTCTAAATTTGATATAATGTCCACGCTAGAAACACAGCATAGACAATACCAGGTTTAGAAATGTAGCCATTAGGCGCCCCTTGACCGTTCAGCTCAGTAGATCTGGAATTCCAACACCAAAGGCTCTCTGGCTAGCATTGGCCAAAGTCCGACTTATGGCGTCAATGATCGATGTGAGTTGTCCCCGACAGGTCAAAGTAAGAGCCGTAGTACTACAGTCAATGTGGCATGGCCACAGTACACTCAGTGGAAATACTTTTGGTGGCGATGGCTTAGACCCTGAAAAATCGATCATCAACAAGTGAGCCGACTTACTCAACACACGGCATAATAATCGGCCTCTGTTTTGAATCAACAGCCAATGCTGAAATTCAGATGATGGTGATAAAGGTGCATGCTGTTGCAGTCGATCGTTTATCGCTGCCCATCGTTTTCAAATGTTGAAGATAAGGTCGTTGAGACAATGTTGAACGTTGATCAACGCTCTTTAGATCTAATAATGAGTAAATATAAAGTATTTTTTTAATAATTTTTTATTATTTGAACATTTCAGAGTCTTACTTGAGGGCATGATCCCCCTGATATGACCGTTCATTTTTCACCGGCCTGTACTTGGATATTGTCTGGCCCGTCACCTCAGTAAGTCCAGGTTCAACAGGCCCTTTGCACAGGCAACTTCGATGCCCCCGAAAACAATGCCCCCCAAAAATCGACAGACAGAAAAGACTTTACCGCGGCAGTACAAAGCAGGCGGTAACAAGACCAGTCAAAAGACCTATAAATATGGACTCCTTCCCTGGTTCTCTGTCGAAATAATTCTCTTCCTTACTGCATCTGAAGAATTCCCTCGAGCCGGAACCAAGGTGCCTTCCTGCAGCAGACTCATGAGTCCCTCCTCTTTGAACCCAGGCTCTTGCTATTACTGATACCCACGGTGGCCACTCAAGCCACCAAGTCACCTGCCTCTGTCTACCCACCGGTGGTTCACTCCACTGTGCCCGTCTTCGTGCCTGCGGGCCAGAGCTTGGTGACAGTCCTTTGGTGAGTGCTATATCCATGTACCTTGTCGAGTTGAGCTAATAACGTGACTTCTGACTAGCTTCTCGACCACAAGAGTGAAAGTGAGGCATCCTGCAGGTGAGTCTCTTGTCAGCCCCATACTCGTCGGCCAGTGCTGAAACACCCAATGTTACGACCAGCTAGGTCTCCTCATATACGATAGCCCCAAGTCAGCACCTCAAGGTTATACAACTACCTACCAGCTACACCGATAACAAAATCACCATGAGACCCGACGCTTTTATGTGAGTCATGGCCCGGACTTTGGTTCTACTCCTGACATGTGCTTGTCAAGCAGTGTCTCTAGTGAGACCATCAGTTAGATCTCCGACTATTGAACACCGCCATTCTCGAGCCCGTCTGATGCACATGTCGCCATTATCCTGAATGATTCGATGTTCTGATAATGTCTCAAGCATGGCTACTTGTGCACGCCATCGCGGCCACAGGTCTCGTGCGGCTGGACCTCTCTTGAAATAAGTACGCCTGCTGGGTGCTTCTGCCTCATCACCACCAGTTGATAGTCAGCCATGATCTTGGCTGGAGGACAGGCGGATCAAACCGACCTCATGGAGCTGCAAGACGGAAGATGCTTTGGTGGGGTTTGGAGTTGAGACTTGTCTCCGCAGGACGACTCTTTCACTGTCTTGGCAGTGTTGTCCGTCGTAGGTGCAGGCTGAGGCTAGATAAAAAGAACGTGAGTGAACCCCCATATCATCAGACACATGCTGACTATCTTGCAGGGCCACTAGCCAAGACGCTGCGAGACATGACGTGCAGCTAAACGAGCCTCGCACGCATCTTCTATCGCCACCACCTCTGCCATGAAGCGATGTATCTCGCTTTGGAAACCAGTTCGAAGTGTGGCAGTCGACGTGAACCTGCATTGCCGGATCCCTCCTTTTTTCCTTTTACCCACCAATGCCGACCGAATTGCAATCCTAACCGAGAACATCAGCTCCTACTTCACATCCCTAGGAAGTTGAGGCAGCCATGCGACCAACATACCGTCTGAGAACACACGATGCGTTGTACATGGATGCATCGATATGCTCGGATGTCGGAAGTTTTCATGGTGGGATCGGCTTCCTCACCTGCAGAGGGTGCGAGTAAGAAGATGGCCATGAGCATTCAGATCTGCCGCAAGGCTTGTCGCTTTCTGCTATTCTCGTGCCCCTGTCAAATCTGGAGGATGTCTTTGTCAACAGAGGATAGAGAGTCATCACTTTCTACGACAGTGGTTCTTTCAGAGACATGCGACTTGTCTGGCAACAGCAGATTGCAGGCATTTCGTTCATCCCCTTCGTGCAGGACAAGCGACAGCGCCAGCTCCCTACGGTCATGCGACAAGTGAATGAAGCGGCTGTTGCTCAACTCCTGAGACGATATTTTTTGCGTCACAATCCACCATGCGTTGCGTTCCATCCTGCCTCTGATAACTGCGCGAGACGTCTCCATTGGTAGCTTGCCAGGTTTCTTCCTCCTAAGCGCATCAAAATTCGTGATCCATTGTGCACATGTTGCCTATCAAAAAAGGCATTCGAACCCTCTTCCGTGGAGTACCAGAATCGGTTGTGGGCAGATCCGTGAATACAGCGCTCGTCATCGCCGGGGGAGGAGTGGCAACGACATGCATCTGCGAGCCCGCAAATTGAGCATTGCATCATTTGCTGAAGAGCCTTTCCTGGTTTCACAGGCCCCTGCCCAAGATAAGTTCCTCGCTTTTGATCTTTGGTGCCGGTACTCGTTACTCACTGATACAGACCATACACCTCCCGCAGGATGAAGTCATCCAGCTCCCTTGCCCATTGATGTTCCGGCATCACTCATGTCTATCAGTTAGGGTCAGAGTCACAAGTCTCAACCGCATTACCAAATTCCGCACGTACGATACCTATGAGCCTGGCTATCAAGCCGACCGAACTTCGCCTCTCCAGGCTTCTTGAAAGTATGACAGCATGAGCAATTTATCTTGTGCAATTATGTCCCGGCCAGCTCAATACAATTAAAGACTGCGCCGAACACCGGACTTGCGACCAGCCTAATACATACTCGACCATCTCAGGTCAATACTACAAGGGTGGCACAACTGTCAGCCCAGTGCCTACAAAGTGAGTCAGAAGTCGTTTCCTGGTCCAGTCACTAATACCGTGCCCAGTCGGACATGCCTCCAGGCACACGTCGAACAAATGATGCATGCTTCAGGCTCAATAGACTGCCGCCTTGCAGCCCATTTTATATCAACGCACACGCCGTCAATATCTCGCGAGAGTTGAAATTCCAATCAGTGTGCCAGACAAGTCTACAAACCCATTCCGCCACGGACAAAGAGCTATTGTGGAGCAATATATGTACCGGCTGAAGTGTTGTGAGGTCGAGGATGATGGACTGTGAGTGAACCCCTGATCGCCGAATGTATACTGACATCTTTTGAACAGTCACTTGTCAAGTGCGTTACATTATTACGACACAATGCGCATATACCCGCAGTCCTCGAACAACGCATCCTTCCCCTGTAAAAGATCATGATTCGACATGAACAAGGAAAGCAGTGGCAGACGAAAGTCTGTGGTATTAGGCTGCTCGGAAATCGGCGCGACTGCAGGACGCTTGATCAGCACGGTCAGTGTAGCAATCTCTTCAATCAATCCGATAATGCGGCCAACCCATGGCGAGGGACATGGGCTTTTCATGTGAGCATACCGTTTGACGGATAGGCCGCATGCAATCAACTGCGGTGAAATGGTAATTCCCCTATCGCCTCAAGGTCACATGCCGACACCGAGTATCCCTCGCCAATCCCGACAACTTGGAGGTATCAGTGCCCTACTTTCAGCCGAGACGCCAATTACGACGACCGCCCTCACACAACACATGGGAGACCGGATTATTAAGGGCGACCAAATTAGCTCCCATGCACTCCAGGAGCCCTTGGTATTCCCGCTACCAATACGAGCGGCCCTCATCGTGTAGACTGAGGCAGGGATCAGAGGCGAAGATCATCACAAACACCGTCTGCCTTGAAGCTCCAATGTTGAGCATTGGCTCTTTTGCCAGACTTTCCAAAGGTCACCTGGTGATTGGGCAGTGTCAAAATGAGTTTTTTGATTTGAATTCTGCACCGTCATCAACTTTTCGATCGCCCGACAAGACGCTGTTCAATCATCGAAAAAGGTGAGTCAAGATTTCCTGTTCTAATGTATTTGCTTAACTGTGCCCAGCAGAATGTGCCTCTGTGCGAAAGCCAAAGCACGCCATCACCGCCGCAGGCGTTGGACTGCCTTGTTCCGATATGCATTTCATATCGAAGTACGCATTGCCGCTTTCTCAAACGAAAGGGCATGCTGAGCAACATGCTCACGAAGGGCTTAAGATGCATACCGCCACGGTTGTCTGGCTCAAATAAGTGCCATGGCCGGACTTGGTCTTGTGGGAGATGGCTCTTGGGAGTTAATTTTGTGGGAGTGGGCTCGTGGGCGTTGGTCTTGTGGGAGTCGGTCTTGCGGGAGTCGTTTTTGTGGACTCGGTCTTGTGGGAGTCGGTCTTGTGGGAGTCGGTCTTGTGGGAGTCGGTCTTGTGGGAGTCGGTCTTGTGGGAGTCGGTCTTGTGGGAGTCGGTCTTGTGGGAGTCGGTCTTGTGGGAGTTGATTTGTGGGAGTGGGCTCGTGGGCGTTGGTCTTGTGGGAGTCGGTCTTGTGGGAGTCGTTTTTGTGGACTCGGTCTTGTGGGAGTCGATTCGTGGGAGTGGTTCGTGAGTGATTCGTAGGAGTTGCTTCATGGGAGTTGCTTCATGGGAGTTGGTCTGTGGGAGTGGGAGTGGAAGTCGACCAGGAGTTGAGTGGGAAACAGCATCGTCTGCTCGGAAAAAACTTCATGGCCATTTCGATCGGCCGCAGCTGTCAAATCGGTCAAGAAAAGAGGTCCGAAGAGATCTTATAAAGTTGACTAGAGCGAGCATTGGTGTGAATCGAAAGTTGGAGACCGGCAGAGCCACGCCAAAGCGTGGTCTGGACTGTCAACCGAGCATCACCAGAACAAGCCCAGCATTAGGCACTCGAGCATGGAGAGTTGTGAATGAGATCTTCTCTGGCAAGGCCACTGTCATGTGCGAACCAACTCCGCGGGACGTCGCGTAAACAATACTGCACCCGCGTCTGGGACGACCTTACCGCCTTTGCCGTCGCGTTGGATCAAAAGCAGCTTCCCCTTGCCAAACACTGGTGGACGGAAACGTCAGTGCCAACCTTTCTCGCTTTGGAGACACCAGGCTGAATTCCATCCATGAGGGCGTGAGCGCCGTCATCGTTCTGCATCCTTGCTTGACAGGTAGCTCAGCTGGCGAATGTTTAATTTCTTGCAAACCCTGTCTACAATGCTGCGCGACCGACTTCTACCGATCTCCACGGACACTCTGCAGTATTCGAGCGAAAGTGCATTGTAGCCTGTCATCCACTCAGCCTTTGCGATGACATGCTAGTGGACGCCGTTCTTGTGCTTGATTCAAAGTGATGCGATCGAGACAAGGCGAAAGCTGAAACTTCAGTAGAGTCTCAACACAGGGAATCACTTCATTCAGAGAACCTTGATGGATTGACATTGTTCATGGGCTGATCGGACTTGACTACCAAGCGGCACGGATGAAAGCGCGTTCGCTGGTACTTGATGTTCTGTCAGTGGACGATTGTGTCCCAATGCGAGTGACATGAGGCCCACATCTGGGAAGACATACAGTGCTGTCTGCGAGCTCGGCAACTCTGGCCCGACTGACAGAGCAATCGACGAAGCGCCACCGCCGGTGTGTTACTTCATCTGGTCGATCTCATACGGCTCTTCAGTCTTCAAGCACATCGAAAAGCTTTCCTACTTTATCATATCAGTAGTCATTCTGAGGTCTGGGAGATCTCATCAAGGGTGCATTCGCATTGCGCCGTCTCTCGAAGTATCGATCAAATCACGGTCCTGCTCGAGTGGTCCAATATCGAATGGGTCTCTCGAGATTCTTGTCGGTTGCTGACCCGAATGCCACCTTGCTTTCCTTCAAAACATTCGCTGCTATCATATCACGTGACACACAGCCACGGCCCCGATGCTGCTGAAGAGAAGTCGATTTGAGCTTCCAAAAAACCATGCCCATTTTATTGGCGAATCGAAAAATACAGAAATTCGTGTACTCAGTGATATCAATTTCACCCAGGAATTCACTCTGACAGGTGTGAGAATCTATGAAGAGGAAGCCATGACCGTGTCGGGCCGACACTTTGAATTGCCAATGGCAGAACAAAGAACGGCTCTTGCACATTGGTGCTTGATATCTAGCTCAGTTCCTTGTCATTCAGGCACAACAGTGAGAGTTGCGCTAGGATGGTGTGGTGCGAGATGCAAGCTCGGTGTCTCTCTACGCTGCATTGTCCTGTCGAGTCCCTGTGACATCTGCGCCGTCGCGTACATGCCTGCATGGCTGCCTAAAATTCATCTTTGCTCGCTTCGGGCCCTCCCCAGCGCGCTTGTTTGCTCTTCCAAGCACAGCAAGCTCTGCTGACTTTGTCCTAGGGAATGCCAGCGGGTGATGGGTCATGACACGACGCTTCTCCGGCCACCTCATCAAATATATATCTCAGCTACCGCGCAGTCATGTGTCTTATCAGACGAGCAGCTATGCGTCGCTGTGCAGCTGATCACAACGCATGAAACCCACAGGGCTTTGACGTGCCTACTTAGGCGCATTTTATGTTCCGCGTGAAATGCTGAATGACGAAGAATGACTGGGCTCTTTCGTAGATTCCCAGGTGCTCTCATTAAATCAAGAAGAGCGCAAACTCAAACTCAGGACCAGGTTGCTCTTCAAACGGGACAGACTAGAGGGTGTCGGATGCAGGACTCATTCTGCTTCTTGCCGATGCTTTTTCAATCGCCTGCGTAGTTGCCCGGATAAGACCTCGATGATGTATACTTCTCGTAGACTGATGACTGCTTTCGGTGAGACACGTGTAGTATACCATACTGTTCGATGGTTGTACTATGGTAGCCTCGTCAGGGTGCGGGGCAGGGGAAGCTCGCAAGGTACGTGTATAGTGTCATTTCATCGGATCTATAGCTAACGCACAGTATCTGATTTAATATGGAACTTACATTTGTGACCGTGGTGCTGAGCATTCGCTTCATATTTATATTATACTTGGTTGACTTCGAATTGAATTAATCCGATCTGTTTCATGATGTATAGGTCCGCTCGAAATCAGTTTCACTATTTTATTCTCTTTCGTTCTTCTAAAATCTTGGTCAGACCCACTTCGGTCTATAAATGGCCTAGATTATCCTGGACTGTCGAATGAGAAAAGGGTGAGGAGCTTCATCTTTATTGTTGTAGGGCTGTCCTCCCCTTCAATCAAACACCGTGCTTCGTACGCCCTGGTCGCGAAAACCCGCGCTCTAGGCGAATCATTTTTTCCCATCGCAATCTCGAATGCGTCCTTGTAAGCTCGAGCAATTCTACCATCCCATATACCTTCCTCCTCAAAGAGATCGAACATAATGCGCAAGATATTCAGCGCCGCCACTGGGTTTCCACCATTCCAAAAGAAGCTCCCAATGAACTTGTCAATGCCCTGGATCTTCGTGAGCCGGTCATCGCTCAGTTGACGCTTAGCAAGCGGTAGCGAACAAAGCTCGCATTTGCAAGTGAACTTGAACGTTTCTTTTAGGCGGAGCTGCCGCTCTGCGAAATCAGATGTACCAGCAAGGTATGAAATGGTTATCTCTTGTCCTGCATCGATGTCTCGGAGCGCGTGGATGGTCAGCTCGCCTATATTCTCATTCCACGTATTCTGAGCATTGTGTCTGCAGGAGTGGTTGATTCGGGACGCCTCGAGGAACAAGCCACTAGATGCTTTATTTGAGCCTTCCAGAGGCAGAGCGTTGGTTCGAGCAATACCGAGAGAGTTGCTATGAGCGTCACCGTAGATGTTTGTGAGGTCAAAGAAAGCGGTTTTCTGGCCAACTGTGAGACGTTTTAATTCAGTCTCAACGATAGCTTCGAGGGTTTTAATGTTGGAATTGTCTCGAGGTACCCGGAAGACTGGAGCCTCTGATAATAGACGTGTGCCCTTGACTATCCTCTCTGCAGCAACTAGACCCTTTCCTTTTCCCGGAACATCATTCAATTCGTACATGTTGTCTATTGTGCCGTGTTCGTAGTTCTGTTGATAACCAGTTTTGAAGTTGGATGCAGCATGTTTTCATGAGTTCAGAGACTTAAATCATTCTTTGTAGCAAAGGTGGGGTTGGGCACCCTTGCATATTCAGCCTCTACATGAGCGATGGAACAGGGCTCATAATGCTGTCAAACGTCCACCATGGCAACCGCGCATCCAGGTCAATGCTATTGACATTTTTGGACGTACACCACTCTTCACAATACTTCCGTCGCCGCTACTCATATAAACATAGTCAATTTTCTATTAGACCCTGAGTGGCAGTCAACTGGCGAGACTACCATCAGCAGAGAATAATGCGGTGGCTTACAGCATAAAAAGCGCCATAAGTACCCTGGTTGATCTGGGTACGAATATCAACTTTTAAGATCCATGCTATCATATTACGGAACACAGCATCGTCAGAAAGCCTATGTAGAGCAGCTTTTTCAGTATCGAAACCAGGCCGAAATTAAACGATGAGTTTAGAGCGACAGCCATTCTTGATCAAAGTCTGGAAGGGTATAAATTCGGTGTGCCCCTGCTCAATTTCACCTTTGCCTCTCTATTCATCCGGGAGCAGTGTATCTGAGAGCAGTGCCTTCTCATCATGTCAACCAAAGTCAATAAAGTATCGCCAAAAAATAAGAAAGAGGACCAGAAACTGGGAAAACTTTACGAAGGGTCTCAGAATGGAACTGTGCCCCAGGTGAAGAGCCAAAGTGCCGATGCGCAAGCGAATTTCATTCCCACCACCAAGCCGCGTGAGGATCAAGATGCTGCTGCCGATCAGCCAGTTCAAGCGCAGTCCAAGCCTCCATATGACGGGCAGGAAGAGAAAACGGACCAGCCAAGCTCGTCTCGGAAAGAGCCAGTGGACATCTCAATGTCGGATACCGATTCTCAGCATGGATCAGAAACCTCCGGTGGAAACCGATCGACCTCGACAGAAGACACTGATGACGATGCCGAAGATGTGATTCTCGCGGATTTCCAGACACTGTCAGTTGGCGGAGGCCAGACTAGAAAGGTGGACGGCTTCGGCGGTAGAGGCAGATCTCGGTTTTTCATCTTCCAAATCGGATCACGCCGAGCACCAAAATATATATTTGAAAGAACCAACGGGTACTCAACTGAGGGTTTAATCAATCTCTCTACCTACAAATATCGAATCTCACAGATCAAATATCTGGACTTAGTTCTGGACGCTGTTTTATTTCCCGCCCCGGCATCTCAAGAAGATCAGATATGCTTTTCTCGTGATCAATATAGGCCATGATTATAAATGGACCCAATTTGGAAGGGCTCTCGTGTCTCTCTCCCTAGCGAAAGATTTGAGGAATTGTGATCGGCATCATCTATGAAGTTTTTTCAGTGATGAATTTTTGTAATAGAGGCGTCATTCCGAGCTTTCTCCCCAGGAAACATATGAGCTCCAGGTATTGGGAATCTTAAAATAGCGCCGCTAGCATCATCGGTGAACGTCATGAGGAAACTAGCATTGAAACCGCCAGTTTTGAATAGTTGAAAGTCGGCCTATTGACGAGGATAACAATTCTCAGCAAAAAAATACTCCAATATTATTGTAGATGTCTGCATCGAGGAGGTTATCTAGCCAGGACTCTTCGATGTCGTGGCTTTTTTTCCCAGGCAACATCATCGAAGGACAAACGTGATTTCATCATGTAAGGTTGAAAGAATGGATTCGAGGACTCAAATGGCTGCGCTTCAGGCAGCTTAACCAATGGCCATGTGGATATAATCAAATTGATATCGATCTATGGTGCCGATGCCAATACAAAAGGGGGTCAATATCGTAATCCACTCCAGGCAGCTTCACCAATTGGCCATATGAATATAGTCGAATTGCTATTAGAGTGCGGTGCTGATTTTAATATACCCTGAGCGACTTCCATTGTTGATTCCATGGCCAATTACATATATACACTTACATTCATGATGCACGAGTTGAGTGTATATAACTGAGTAGAGTCAATCCAAAGCTTGAGTCTGACCGATAACTCTATGTGGCTTATCAGGCTAGAGAGAAAGAAAAAAAAGAGAAGCAGAATGGAGGCAGTGAAGAGTGGTAAAATTTGAATAGACTCGGAAGGTATGAAATGTCATCAATATGCATGGATGCCATGTACTATTTCCTGATTCGGACAATCTAATCTATGTAATAATACACCACAAATATGCTGACCGACAATTCAAACAATGCATTTACCAGTAAACCATGATGTTTGCCACTTATTGGTCGTTGGTTTGACCTCTAGAATGTTGTCTGATAAAGGATAAAGACTCGGAGGATTCCAGAAAATCAAAAGTTTGGAAAGAAAAAAAAGGAATGCCGGGCGCAGGATTCAAGCCCGCTCTTCCTAGAAGATCAAGCTCAAGCGATCATCTAGGGTGATCTGCCAACTAGACCACCCTGACTTTCCTTTCTAAATACCCCTGCCGTTGACCAATAATACAGCCAATGACAGTCTGTACATAGTAGGGACTCCACCTTGGCGTATTCACAATAATTCCACATGCCAATATTTTGATGATATCATCAGGTGGATTCTGGTTTCAGCTACTTAATATAGTGAAAAGGGCTTGGATTAAAAATTAGAAGTCTCGTGTACTATGCAACCAGACAAAGCTGGTATTTATCAAACAGTTATCTCGCTGAGTAACAGAATGATCTATATGATGTCATTACTGGTATCTTTCCTCACTTCCGAATTCTTTTGAATGAACATATGAATGTCATTTGGACGTACCTTCTCGATATATTTAACCCCAATGAGGATGCCATCGTCGTCTTCAAACTCCCTCTTATCGCCAAAGTCTTCATTCGTCCCATCCATACAAGACAAACAGTTAACAACGACGGCCGTGTATCTCGCACCCATTCGGCTGGGCAGTTGCTCTTTTGCCAATGTCGTATAGTGATCCTTGAGCGCAGTGCCTTGAACCATGTTGGATGTCCCACTCTCGGTTAGTAAAGTACCTGCATATCCCTTGCTACTCACGAGAGACCCCCAGAGTCCGATTTCAAGCAAGCATACTCCCAAGCTGTATATGTCATGTTGCATAACGTAGTCTGTACTAGGATGGATTCCTTGTCGATCAGGGTGTTGATAGATATTTTCAGACCAAACGGAGTTACCGAGTCGGAGGGTTTTGTTGTCAGCCAGGCGAAATGCCCTAAATCCCAGCAGATATAATGGGCCTAGAGTGTTTCCATCGCTTTCGAAAATCAAGATGGTCTCTGGGCGAATGTTCTTGTGCACAAAGTCGAGGATGTGTATATAGTTTACCGCTGCGGCAAGCTGTTGAGCAAGTTTGATCCTGTCACCAAGCGAATGGTTTGCTTGGGAGAGGAGGTGGCTCCGCAGACTCTGCGGCCGAGAGCAACCTTTGGGGAAATAGAACATGAAGTCGAATGAGAGAAGACGCTCAGTTTGTAGTTCTGTCATGCGAGCTACGCGGTAGCACTTCAAGAGATGGAATGAATTGTCATCCACTTGACGAAGTCGCGTAGCGAGAGTCCGAACGTCCTTGGCGAAAACGTGAGCGTCGTCCCTAGACGAGCAGTCCGCGGAATCAATTATGACGGTACCGACGCCTGGAATCTCAACAATCTGGGAGGTTGCGTGAGGGATGTCAGACCGCTTGGCTGAACGAAGCTTGTCTCCTGGAAGGAAAACCGAACCCTCACGACCTGGCTGGAGGTTCAACGAATCTCGTACATGTCTGGCAGTCGACAACTTCTCAGTTCCCGCGCGTCTAACCAAACCGTCGTCAACAAATCGATCGGCCATCAACAAAACCAAATACCATGTCGTGTCAAAATCATGTTGCGAATTTTGAAGATCCTGGATTGCCTTGTCGAGCGACTGCTTCTTCAGAGCATACTTCCCTGCTTCAAACTTGGCGCTCTTGCCAACAGACCTGTCGATATCACTGATCCTGATGACGGCCTCCTCTAGCTTTTTCTGGAAATTGCGGAGAATGCGACCCTGCAGCGCCCGGTAATTCTCGTCCAGATTATCCCACACGCGACGTAGAAAGGCTAATTGCTCCGACGTTTTGGCCCAAGCCGCGTCAACGGAAATCCTTCTTTCCTCAATTCCTTCCTCGGCGTGGTTAAAGTCTCGGTATGCAGTAATAATGACCTTTCCGTACCTGCAAAAATGGGTTAGTCTAAACAGAGAGCGGGAAAACTCGCCACATACTTTAAACACAAATCAATAACACCGGGTAAAGCAAGGGAAATATCCAAGCCGCTCATGGCGTATATGTAACTTATATCTTGTTGGTATTAAGGACGTCAGGAGAAGCAGAAATTCAAATCAACAAAATGGTGCAGTACATACCCCAGCCAAGGGTGATTTGGCATGCTGACTACTTAGGCACACATATGAACCAAGCGCTAATGCTGAAAAGGCTGACTAGGATGACTTGGCTGTGGGGCTTTTTGGGGGCCAATGTGTGGTGGAATCCACTGTCTATTCGCAGATAAAAATACATGAAGCAGCCGTTTGGGAATTAGGCGCTTATTCTGCCCAATGCAAGCCAACAATATTGTGAGGGGTATCAGTTGGCGTTCCAGTGTGCCTAGTATTAACAGGGCGCAATGTGTATGAGCCAGTTTTCACCCTTGGTTTTCCCTTGAGCCTTCTTATCACTCCAGTTTGCATTTTTGCCATATTTCGGGAACCCAGAAAAAAACAAACAAGAGATGAAAGAGGAAACGGACACGACGGCAAACCAAGAGCTTGTGAATGATATGAAGCTGAATGCTGAAATTCAAGGAAAGTTCACCTACCATGATACTTTTGAACATGGGTTCAGTGGAGGAGCTGGGGGAGAAATAAGAGAGACTTGGGAGAGAGGGAAAGAACTTGGCCGAGGAGGCTTTGGCAGTGTCTGGCTTGAAAAATGCGTGACGGACCAGGGCCCAGCCAGGCTGCGAGCCGTAAAGAAGATTCCCAAGCCACATAACCGCTCACAACGGATTTACTGTGATCAGGAACTTCAAGCGATCGCAAAGTTTTCTCAGCAGAGAGTCAGTGTTTCACATCTTCAACCCGGAATATTTATTGAAATGCTAATGTCTACCAGTACAAAGGACTATTCGTGAGATGCTTGGGTTGGTTCGACACCCCCGAAAGCATCTTCATAACAATGGAACATATCAAACTAGGAACCCTAGGAGCCCACTTGAGAGCCCCTTTGCCTGAAGGTGAAGCACGGCGTATCTCTTCGCAGCTTCTATTGGGCCTCCAAAACCTCCACAAAAATCATTTCGCTCATCGAGATTTGAAACCAGATGTCAGTAATGACCGAGGATTAATCTATATACAAGCCTTACTAATGTGTGATTTCAGAATATCTTCGTCATGTGCGTTGGCCCTAGTTGGTGGGTTAAGATCGGTGACTTCGGTTTGAGCAAGCGGTACAACCGAGCCTCCGGCTTGAAAACGAATGTTGGTACAAAGCTGTTCCTAGCGCCAGAAGTGCTATTGCATAATTCCGAGTCCACTTACACACATGCCGTTGATATGTGGTCGCTTGGCGTGACTATATTCTTCGCTCTGACCCATGTGTATCCATTCGAGAGCATCGAAGCTCTATGTGAATACTATAAAGGAAATTCCCAATTTCCATTTGCACCTTTGGCCTCGCGTTCTGTTAGCCAGAATGGCCAAAGGTTCCTGGAGGCGTTGCTGAAAGCTGATGCGTCAACACGAATGCCTACTCAAGAAGCCCTTGAAAGCGCATGGTTGGGATCGCTAGCCACGAATTCTAATTCTCCAATTGCTTCCCAGTTAGCTTCAAAGCTAACATTGGAAAAAGCCAGGCCAGACGCAATTCCGGGGTCTTCAGGTGCATTGGGAGGCCACACGTGGAGTGATTTCAACAGATCTTCTTCCAGCTCTACTATGGAACCGGACCAATCCCAGAATCGGTCAGGTTTGAATCGTCTACAGCCGCAATCTTTGAAGGTCTCGAATGTAGAGAAGAATTCCCTGGCCGAGGCCCAAAACACAAAGAACCAATCACTCTGGAATGAAGATGAAGAGAGAAGTGATGAAGGTATCAGACAATATGCCGACGGGGACCAGCAAACTATTCGTCGAAAGCCCGTCGGCTCACTTGAGCATCGCACGTTCCGAGGCAGCAGGGTAGAAGGCAACTACGATGAGGGAAACCTCAGATCTACAAATGAATTAGAGGATCTCGTTTCCATGGGCGAGGCTCTACTTAACGACAATGATTACACCAAAGCAGAGGCGGTCTACCGACGGGCCTTTAAAGGTTACAGAGATACTCTTGGCGCAAAGGGTGAAGGGACCTTAAGATGTCTTTTTTCCTTGGGTCAAGCCCTCTACAAGCAAACAAAATACGCCGAGGCAGAGATAGCTTACCGACAGGCCTTTGAAGGGTACAGAGATACTCTTGGTGCAAAGGATGATGAGACCTTGAAATCTCTCACTTTCCTAGGTCACGCTCTCTTTAAGCAAGGAAATTACAGTGAAGCAGAGAAAGCTCACCGACAGGTCTTTGATGAACATCAATATACTTTTGGTGCAAAACATGAAAGAACCTTAAGATCTCTCTTTTGCCTAGGCGACATTCTCTATAAGCAAAAGAAATACGCGGAAGCAGAGAAAATCTTGCGACAGACCTTTGAGGGCTATAGAGACACCGTCGGAGCAAAGAATTCGAGGACTTTGTCTTGTCTTTTTTCCCTAGGCGATGCTCTCAATAAGAACGAGAAATACACCGAAGCAGAGAACGCGTACCGACAGGCATTCGAAGGATATCGAGATGATCTTGGTGCAGAGCCTGAAAAGAAGTTCGATTGCCTCCATGCCCAGGGTAAAACTCTGTACAAGCAAAAGAAATACATTGAAGCAGAGAAAGTCTTCCGACAGACTTTTGACGGCCGCAGACATACCCTTGGCTCAAAGCATGAAAAGACGTTAGAAAGTCTTAATTTTCTAGGCGATACTCACTACTTTCAGGGCAATTACATCAAAGCAGAGAAAGCCTATGGACAAGCCTTTGAAGGCCGCAGGGATACTCTTGGTGAAACCCATAAATTGACAATGAGGAGTCTCAATCGCTTAGGCGATTGCTTCTACAATCAAAACCAATGGGCGGAAGCAGAGGAAGCCTACCGACGGGCATTTAAAGGCTACAGAGAAACTCTCGGAGCAAGCCATAAACTGACAACCAATTGCCTCGATTCATTGGGTGACGCTCTCACCAGACAAGAAAGATACGACAAAGCAGATGCAGCCTATCAACAGGCCTCTAGGGATCGTCGAGAAGGAAAGCCGGGTCTCTTTAGTAGGATTGCCAAATTTGGAACAAGAAAGTGAATGTTTTACTGTTGAGTCATAGGCTTAGAAGAGACTGTGGTTGCTCTAAATACCTAGGGCCTGTTTCTGTATTTTTGTATCTCTTAGTATTTTTTTTCTCCGTACCAATTTGCTACTGCGATAACCATTCCATCTGATGTTCTATATTTTGCTTTGAATACGCCCATCCATGACTGATTTAAAGTACGACACCTCCCGAGGTCCCATTCATCGCGCGATTTGGAAACTGTTGTAGTTCAGAGTGTTACGACACGTCTAGGAAGACCTATACGAGAGGGGCCAGAACCCAAGAGTATAGGCAGAGGAGTATACTTCTACATGCGAAGGGCCCTAACGGAGTTGGGCCGGAGAAGGGTTGACCCGGTATGCCGGTGATCCGCTTAGCTAAGCCGCACAACAGAAGTAGCACGGCGGGAGAGCTGCATAACAGCTCTCCAGTGATTATATTACCATCAATCCAGACAGCAGCAGTACAGGAGTACGCTGTGCCGTGTTATCACTCCCATCCATCCAACCCCCTAAGACCCTGGTCTTAACATTCTCACCACCGAGTCGTACCATTGTCCAACGATACAGGCTGAAAAGGGTGATATTCAGGTGTAAAAGAGTCATATTCATGAAATCAGTGATAATAAAGAGAGTAAGGGTGAGGGTGAGAGTGAGGGTATAAGAGAGAGTGTGAGAGAGAGTGTGAGGTTGAAGAGAAAGAGAGGGGTTTCATCCGAACTTTCATGTTTCATCCGATGAAAGTTCGGATGAAAGTACGGATGATAGGTATTTGCCCGCATCTCGCACCTCTGGTCGTATACGGAAGCGCCCTGACTAGCCAATTGGCTTTCATGTAATTAATTAGGTGTTTTTGACTATTATTTGTTATCATTCATCTATCAAATTTTCTCAGATCAATAAGGATTACCAATTCCTGCGGAAATGATTGACTCCTGAAATTTCAGGCAGTAGGGGTTTTGTGCACAAAACCCCATCTCTCAGTAGTAAAAGTATGTATTTTATTCATGGTATTTAACAGCTAAAATACTAAGAATACAGCATATTTTTCATAAATTATGCCAAAAATGAAGATCCACTTTCGCGGGCCTTACGGGCTTTTCACGGGCTTCCTGTCCATGGACAAATCACTTTTTGTCCACCTGGACAGGCCCGCGGGCCGTCCACACGGGCATGCCCACGGGCCTGCCGCAGTCTACCCAGGTTTGTGAAGAATGTTTTCAGGAGCACTGCTGGGATGGCAGCATTACTGAAGGTGCCTCGGAAGACCTTGTGCTAGACCCTACCTTGGTTTTGGATCCAAATATTAGCTATGCTGAGTGGAGTGGGATGCATCCTGATGCTTTAGGGTATCATGACGTTGATGCTTATTTCTATGTGTGGACAAGCGATACAGCTGGATTGGGACCCCACAAAGATAGTCTGTGATTTTGTCCAAGGCTTTGTGTTTTCTTTCTTGCATTGCCTTTATTTAAAGCTGGTCATTGTTACAGAGCAGGGGCAGGGGACTTCATATAATTGAATTGGGAAATGATAAATTCCAAGAAATCAGGCACAGGGATATTTCTGCAACTTGTATTGGGAAATTTTGTAGACTCGATGATAGTAAAGATGCGTCGAGTACTTTATAAAAAAAGTCTTTAGGAAGATGGGCCGGGCCTGCAGCGCCGAAAGCTGTGATTCCCAGAAGCCATTCCGTTATGTTTCTGTTAGAGCACTTGTGCTTACAGTATCACCCTGTCGCCCTGATAAGCACTACTCGTGCATTACCTGTAGTTAAGGCACTGGACTGTCACCCACACACCTCCACAATAATGCAGCTGCAAAAGCAATACTACAACAGGAACACCTGCAAATCTCTTAGGCCCTTGGTCGCACCAGATCGATGCGGCCCGCCAAGCATTTTTAGCCACTGGCTAAGCCACTCGCGCTGACGCGTCCGTGCACCGAATCCTAGTCAGCTTGGCGAAAGCGAAATCCACCCTACTTAATGGGCGGTCCCAGAACTTCTTTCTGCCATCTACAGCTTTGCATCACTCCTGCGGCTACCGCCCTGCTTTTATACTCTCACTGCTCATGACAACCCCTCCACTCATGTCCGATCCTCCGAAAAAGAAGAATTACTCGAAGGGTTCTTCTAAAACCTGTCGAAATTGTGCCAAAGCCAAGATACGGTGCATCCGACACAGGGCGACCGGGAGTTGTGACCGGTGAGTTATACCCATAATATGCGCTTAGCATGCTCATCCTGGGTATAGATGCGATCGTCTAGGAAAGATTTGCCAGTACAGTGGGGATCCAAGCACATTCTTCGAAACGAGTCGTGACAACAGTACATATAGGTCTGATTCTAGATATATACTTTATTTTCTTATGCTGACTGTGCCAAAGAAGAATAGATGCACTGGAAACCAAAGTTGACCAGCTACTGTTGCAGTCAGGCACTCGGAGTCTTGTAAGTGATAGGCTATAGTGGCACGTTGACGGAACATTGTCTGACGTTTCCGAAGAGAGACGGTAGCATGACAAATGGACCCCCAGTCAGTGTTGCTGCGATTGGCCCTGCGCCTTGCACAGATGTAATTGACCAAGGCCTTCTCACGATCGATGCGGCCAATGTCCTTCTGAGAGGGTATCGGACTACGCTTGCTCTGTACTGCCCGTTTGTTATAGTCCCACCACAGGTAAACGCGGAGATGTTGCGGCGAGACAAGCCCTTCCTTTTCCTTGCACTTATCACAGCTGCCTTATACGATAATATGCCTCTGCAGCGAAAGTTGGAGATAGAAATGAAGAAGGCAATTTCCGAATGCATGGTTGGTGGTGGGCAAATTTCCTTTGAGACTTTGCAGGGACTTTTAGTCCACATTTCATGGTATGCGACAATTTTCTTGGCTTCTCCGCCTTTTTGACTTCTTCTGAAAAACGGTATAGGTGCCAGTATCACTCCAGGCCACGTCGGTACGCTCAGTATTTAAATCTTGCGATTAGTGTCATTACTGATCTTCAACTGGATCGATCCCCCGAACATCGATTTTGGACAACTCGAGTCAGCTTCGATGGGGATGACGACAAAGACACAGTGTCCTGGGGGCGAGAAGAGAAACGCGCTGTAATTGGCTGTTTCTATTTCTCATCCGCGTAAGTGAACTTATCGTTCGAACCTATAGAATCTCTATTCAGCGACTAATACGTCTAAGGATATCGCAAATCCTTCAAAAGCGGTTTTATTTCCCATATCTACCATATCTAGAAAGCATTGGCGTGGATTTGACAACAGATCCGGAATATGCGTCGGACAAATATTTTCTTTACATTGTGCGACTTCAACGTATTTCAGAGAAGATCGCTCTCTATTCAGCCCCAAATTTTCCTGAGCCTAGTAAGGCCAACAATGAGCATTCGTATGACGAATTGAAAGCAGAACTTTCATTATATCAGACGAATTTGCCATTTCCTTTGACTGAAAACCGTTAGTTGATTTGAGCCCCCTATAATCATTCGGTTCTGATTTCCAAGCGCAGATATTCTATTCACGAACTTCCATGCAGTCCAGCTATGTTTATGCCAAATCTCTGTCTTTGACCACAACCTAAACGCGCAGAGCATGCATCATTCTTTACCTTATCAGATCGATGCTTTGCGCATGGGGCTCGTCGTGTCCAAGACCCTGCTCGAATTTTACATATCCCTTCCCCTACGCCACGATGTTGCTTTTAATAATGCCATCTGGGTTCAGCTTGGCTTCGCGGCCACTCTTGCCTGTAAGCTGTCTGTTGCAGCTATGCGTCCCTCAGTCCATCCCCACACATTTGACCTGTGTCGTGCATTTGACATCTCCAAATTTCTGAGCCGCTGTATTCTCCGGATCCAGGCCCTAGTCACGCCAGACATGGATGCGTCTGGCGATAGGGATGTGTTCTACCACTACGAAAAGCGCTTGAAGCGCGTTCAATGGTGGTTCGGAAATAGGGCACTATGTGGTCTCAACAATGACTCTTCAAAGCACGACATTCCGCTAGGAGAAAGCCTAAGCTCATCTACCGTAGCTGAAAGCCAGTATCTTGATGCTTCACAGCCTCCAATGGAGGTCTTTGATCCCCACTTGCAGTGGCCAGGACTTTTTCCTGATGCCTCAATCGATGAACTTTTCGTTGACTGGGCAGGGCAAACAACGTCATCCTTTGAGCAACAGCACATGGCATGAATCGGTTGGTTCAAGTTCTGCCATAAAAATACCCCGCCAATATCTCGGCAGGAAGGTTCTTTCTGATACATAGACATATAAAGTATTTTCCTTTAATAATTTACAAAAGTCGCAGCCAGAAGTGCCCTTATATTTCCATTAAACCATGAGGCTTGTAGAGGTCCGATCGCAGAGTCTTCTGGGACTCGTGCGGAGACCAAAGATCACAGTAGCCATCATAACAAGCGCTATTGCCGCTCCACACCACCCCAAAGGATTTCCAAACACAAGTTGTGACACGGAAAACTCGTCACCTCGTGGCACACGAGATTCAAACATCATGAAGATGGAATCTTCCGTGCCCAGAAACATCTCGCGTGGCAAAATATTAATATCCGAGCAATTCCTCGAGGAGCGAAGCCACTTGGCAAGAATACGGCTGATGTGAATGGAACCTGTATCAAGCATGGCCGTCACATATTCTGACAGTAATGAGCCATAGCCGCGGATATTATGAAAACTGAGCGCGACATTAATCACAAAGGGATGTTGAGGCTTGCTTGCAATCCACTGTTGGCTGACTCCGTATGGCCAGCTTTCAGGCAAAATGGCCTCAGTGCCGTGCAGAAGAGGCTCCATAGGCAGTTGGCACCCGATCTCTGGATCCAAGTAAACACCTCCATAATGCCAAAGTAGAAAATATCGCAATGCATCGACCCGTTGCAGTGGCAGTCGATACTCCGTATATGCTGAGAGAAACCATGCGAAGTAGGATTCTATGAACTGATGGGCTGTCTCATCCGTCCAGACATATTGTACGTAAGAAGGGTTTTGCTCCTGACAGGACTTGCTGGCATTTATCCATTCAGCTGGTGTATTGGAGTCCAAATCTCTCCACATCCGGTGTATAAATCTTGGAATGTCCTCTGATACGCCGTTTGGTGCATTGAAGGTTACATTCAAAGGCTGGTGCCCGGTTGAAGTCGAACCAGAGAATAACTTCGAGGTTCCGCTTTCTTCTGGACTCATATTTACAGAAAGGGTGTCCATATTAAGTGAAATGGCTCTCAATGTAGATGCAAATTGCATCGATGAGTAAATCGAAGAGACGCAGAGCAAAGAAAGAACGAAAATGGAAGTAAAGATCAAAGGCACTCTTGAAGCAACGCGGCGAATCCAGGGCGATAACGAGACAACCGGGATGGAAGCCTTCAACTTGGCGACCCATTCCAGGACATGAGGACTGGTGTTCTTTTTCATCGCAGATCCGAGCATGTTGGTGTTGGAAAACCCAACCGTACCGAGAATAAATGAGATTGTAATCCTTTGGTAGCTGGCTTCGGAAACAATGAAAAGGTGGTAAAGGGGGAATGAGAGGCAATTTTGTACAACCAGGAACTAAGGATTCAACACAGTTAGCGCAGTAAATCTGGCTTTCGATGAATCTCATTAGTCATATTGATTTTTCGTTTTGAAAAGGCGTTCTTGGCACTGCCGCGTAGGGTGACCAATCCCCCGTCCACCTGCTCCTTGGCGAGTCCTTGGCAATAAAAGCATTCAGAGGGCATGGGAGGCGTAGTGAATTGCTGAAACAACATCATCTGCTTCGCCCCAAGCACGTACATTTGAGCTTTCTTTGTGAATTCTCCGTGTCCGCACTCATTTTCCGCATCTCCGTGTCCGTGCCCGTAGGAGAATCCCCTGTCTGTGCCTGATCCACTCGGCCGATCTCTTGGCAGTGTGATCCAAGCGCTGCGGGAAACGGCCCGACCCCCACATGGGGCGGGAATTCGGTAACAAGGCTAACCACCAGTTTTCGTATGTAAGGGTATTGTCCCATACAGATATGTCAAATTACCGTAAAACGCCAGAAGCTTACGAGAGACGAAGATGCCGACTCATAGCTTGGCTCGATCTCCGATAAGTCCTACGGACACGGACCTACTGGATACAGACTTTTGACAGTCAAATGCAACAAAGAAAACGTTCTCTTTTAGACACGTATAGACTGCCATAGGTAAGCCACTTACAAGTACATATCCAGCATCAGTGTCAAAAAGGTTATAACGCACCTTTAGAACGAACAAAAAAAAATTGAACACTAATCAATTACCGTCGAAATGGCAAATTCAACAGGCTCCGATTCTTGCAATTTGGACACCTGCCCCATCACCGAAGCATATGTCTACTATGTTCCATCACTGGCAGGAAACGCCTTCTACCTGGCTCTTTTTGCTATCTTCTTGGTTATACAATTGGGGCTGGGTATTAGGTACAAGACTTGGGGCTTTCTAGCTGGTTTATTCGGCGGTCTGGTGCTGGAAATCATTGGATACCTGGGAAGAGTACAGCTGCACAACAATCCATTTGTCTTCAGCTCATACCTAGAGTGAGTCACCATGTCCTAGGTCTTCTCGCACTCCGCGTATGGCCACTCACACGGACGGTTATAATCTAGATATCTTATCTGTCTCACCATTGGGCCGGCATTCTTCAGCGCATCAATCTACATTTGCCTTGGACGAATCGTAGTAGTCTATGGCGAGCAGATATCGCTCCTTCGACCTCGCACCTACACTATGGTCTTCGTTTCTTGTGACTTGGTCTCACTGATCCTCCAAGCCGCCGGTGGAGCTATCACTTCGATTGCCGACGCTGATCAGCAAGATCTAGCGCAAATTGGCGTCCATATTATGATTGCTGGTTTGGCAAGCCAAGTTGCTTCCCTCGTCTTTTTTATGGTGCTTTGTCTCCAATATGCGTGGAGTGTGCACAAGAATTCGGATTCTCTCAATAAAGCAGCAAATATGATTGAGCTCCGAAACAGCTTTAGATGGAAAGCATTCCTGACTGGTAAGTTTGTCAACTTTGTTCACTCATAAAGTGCTTACCACAAATCCAGGCCTATTCTTGGCGACTATTACCATTTTTATACGGTCTGTATTCAGAGTTGCGGAGTTGAACGGTGGATTCCACAGTTCGTTGGCGAACAACGAAATTCTTTTCATGATTTTGGAGGGAGCCATGATAGTGATCGCCATTCTATGCTTAACAGTTCTACACCCGGGTGTCTGCTTCGATGGCCAATGGAATCAGACTAAGTGGAAGTTCCGCCGATCAATCGATAGTGAGATGGACCTCATCTCCATCAATGCAGATGCGACACGGAAGTCCCGAGACATCAACTCTAGTTCGAGCTGAGATTGATCATTAATGAATCAGTCTCCACCCTCCCTTGCCTTGTTTAGTGTCAAGCGTCCTGTCTGCCGGCGAGTAGCCATTCTTTGCGTTCAAGATATTTGTTAGATTTCCGTGATGTCACTCAAGCATTTTACTTAGCAAGTGAATAGAGTCGCCCGCCCGTTTGTGTTCGGAAATTGGGATAGAGACCAATGTTACTCAAGTTCTGTTTCAAGTGTGTCAATACGGTCAGAACTCGGTTATAGCACAACGGCAACTAACATGCTCAGAGTTGTAACACCATATTTGCGTGTGTGGACCTACTTTTATGAGGTTTACCATATAAAATATTCAGATATGACACACTTTCTTTTCAAATAATCTTTGCCTTTTATCTTCACTCAGTGATACCCTTAATAAACACCTTAAGCTAATCAGAACGTCTGAAAGCTTTACTCCACTCCCTCTACCAACATGCGTCAGACCATTCAATGAGGGTAATAAGCGTGCTTTATTAATCGCTTAAAAGTAGATCTCACATTCCTTTTAGTCTGATATTAGGTTCAAAGCTATATAGACTTCCATTGAGCCTAGAAAGCCCACGGCCTAGCCTAACCTAAACTATAAGAAGGTTAGGCTTTGGGCTTAGTTTTCCGGCCTATAAGAGGAGCCATATCAGAGTCTAGACGCTGAAAAAGGTGGTTACATTCAATCTGTAGGTCTTCAGGAATCGCGTTAAGAAGCGTACTTCTACTTTCCTACGAAAGCTTCTTTAGGCCACTAGACCGAGGAAAGAGGCTCTTGAGTGGGGCCTTATACGCTTGCTCGAGCAATTGTGGTCTTGATCGTACGAATTAGGATGTACGAATACCGTTCTTGGATCTCTCTATACAACCAACTAATCACTTTTAGCTTAAAAATCTTGAAGCACCTATCCGGAGCTAATCAACAACGTGTAGAGGTCTGCGCAACGTTGTTAATTGTAGTCAAAAGACTATATTATGGCTCACCAGCCCGAACTGGAGGTACTCTGAATTATGACATGACAGCATACGAATTATATAAACAAACGCGCTATTTGGGTGTTCAACTAGCATATTTAGTAAGTAAGCGGTGTTAAAAGAGGGGTTCAAATTCATGGAACGCCGCTGTATGGCACGTATATTTACTTGGATATAATACTGTGTTATAAGTAAGGGCTGACTATATACTTCATTGATCTACTCGCTCTCTACATATGCCTATCAATTAACCCTCATAGTCCTGACAGTACTTTCCTCGTCACCAATTGACTTTCATCTTCTAGGGATCTTCAACATATAAGCTATGGTATTTTGTACGACTTTGGATCATAGTTCATAGTGCGATTGGTTTGCGTCTAGGATAGCAAAAGGAAATTAAAGACTAGCACATGCCTCGCAAAACACTCCGATCAACCTCAATTTTTCAGCAATGGTCCAAATATTGAAGCATCAAACATAACTCAACAACGCTTTCCGCCTCCAGCATAGACTTTAGCAGGCCCGTGGGCATGCCCGTGTGGACGGCCCGCGGGCCTGTCCAGGTGGACAAAAAGTGATTTGTCCATGGACAGGCCCGCCAAGAAAAGCCCGTAAGGCCCGTGAAAGTGGAGCTTATTTTTAGGCATAATTTATGAAAAATATGCTGTATTTTTAGTATTCTAGCTGTTAATTACCATAAATAAAATACATACTTTTACTACTAAGAGATAGGTTTTTGTGCACAAAAACCCAACTGCCTGAAATTTCAGGAGTCGATCATTTCTGTAGAAACCGGTAACCCTTATTGATCTGATAAAATTTAATAGACAAATTTCAATAAATAATAACTAAAAACACCTAATTAATTACATGAAAGCCAATTGGCTGGTCAGGGCGCTTCCGTACACGACCAGATGTGCGAGATGCGGGCAAATACCTATCATCCGCACTTTCATCCGAACTTTCTTCGGATGAAACCCCTCTTTTTCTCTTCGACCTCACACTCTCTCTCACATACTCTCTCTCACTCTCACTCTCTTCATTATCACTAATTTCACCCTTTTGCCCTTGAATCTCACCCTTTTCACCCTTTTCACTCTCTTCACCCTCTTCTAAAGATCGGATAAAAGCAAGCTCTGTCTCTTCTATCTCAAATTTGGTAGCACGACTATAGAGCATAAGATCTCTAATCGTACTAGCCTTCAGACGACCACGCCGATAGTGGCAGATATCACGTGCTGAGTTAAAAAGCCTTTCTACCCCAGCACCCGTAGCGGGGATAGAAAAGATATCACGTGCAATTTGCGCAAGAATTGGGTATTTGGTCTCATTTTCTTTCCAAAATTGTCGAGGATTCAGAAGGGTCATGCCTATAGACACAAATTATTAGCTTTCAGCCAAAAAGTGCTAAAAAGTGCTAAAAAGAAGCAAAAAAAGTAGTAAAAGTAGTAATAAGTGTAAATTACCTGATTGAAGATAGTGAGATAACTCATCTTGGACGAAAGGACTCTGCACTTCTGGGGTTAGTAAGCTTTCAAGCTCACTCTGCTGAAGTATGATAGAGGGTATACTAGTATGACTAGTAGATTTGCTTTGATTGTTTTTGATCCGATCTTTTAAGCTTATCTCATATTGACTAGCATAATCTTGATCTGACCAATCAGGGGTTTGAAAGAAGTGGAGCTTATGCTGAGGGGCAAGGATTGTCCCATGTGCATATAGGTTACCAAGCTCAGGGCTATCCGTCTGACTATAATAGTCAGAGAGCTTAGCCTTAGCTGCTTCTAGGGCTTGAAGCATATGCTGCTTCCATGGAATCTAAAGAGAAGATATCAGCTTTTTTGACTAAAAAGATCGGATGAATGAAAAAAAGACCGGATGAAACTTACCTTTTTCCGCTGCAGCTTCCGAATCGAAGCTTCCAGATGGGCAAACAGCTTATTGTAGATTTGGAAGACAGTATGGATAGTAATATCCTTTGTTTTGCACAGTACTGTGGTAAACTGGTAAAAAGGCTCTGTAATATACAGTAAATAGTCGATTTGCTGCCATTCGTCTGAAGAAAGCTTCATTCAGTAAGCTCTGATATTAAGCAATACCGATCAAGCTCTGTCCGAACTCGCTTAGCTCGCTGTAGCATCAAAAAGGTCGAATTCCACCGAGTCCGGACGTCTTGAAGTAGAAATAAGCGTACTTTCGTTGGATCTTGAAGCCCTAAGAACGTGTCTCGTCGTTGTGGGCTTGCGTTGATATAGATAGCTAAATTCCGAGCTTTTTGAAGAGTTTTAGCTATACCCTCTATACCCCTTTTGCTGCGGGAGAGATCTTCAGACCAAATAAGGTCAATTGTATCATTCTCAGGGCCTGCTTTCATCTGTCCAAGCAGCTGCTTTAGGCTTAGCTGAATCACGTGGGCCATACAAGGATTTCTGATAAATGAGCATGTAGGGTATTCAGCTTGGAGAGATGTGACTAAAGTATGATTATTTGACGCGTTATCAGCTGTAATAGCTATAATTCGGTCTGATAAATCATATGCTTCAATAGTAGTTTGCACTACTTTTGCAAGGTTTTCACCTGAATGGGTCCCTAATAGGGGCTCAAACCCTAAAAGCACTTCTCTATACTCCCATGATTCGTCAAGAAAATAGCCTGTTATGGCGATAAATGCTTGCTGAAAGGGGGAGGTCCAACAATCGAGGCTAAGCGAGAGCTTCGAAGTAGGGGGTAGGGTATCGAGGATAGCTCTTTGTTGTGAAATTGTCGCTTTTTCTAACCAGCGTTGAATTGTCTGACCACAGGGGAAAGACAGGATAGAAGGTGCTGATTGGGTAAGCTGTAGAAGATTCTGGAAGTGTGGGCTTTCGATTAGGTGAAAAGGGAGGTTTAGACTAGTAAAAGTAGTCAAAAGCTGCTTTTTCCATAGATCGTCTGAGAAGGGTATGGTAGGATTGGTGGTTGGGGACCTTGGGGTCTATTATTAAATAGCTTATTAGCTTTTTTGTCTGAAAAAAAGATAGGGTGAAAAGATGGGATAAGAAGAAAAAAGATCTATTTACCGCTTTCTGCATAAGATGCTGAATGCTAGGGCGCTTTACCCTTATTAGGCAGCTCTGTAAATGCCGCCGGACTGTATTTGTACCAGTTGCCTTCCAATTAGGGTGCACAAGTAAGGTATTACAGTGAATACACATAACCTTAGGTTCTCCAGTCTGTAGGCTAGCAACTTGCTGTAGACTTACCCAAATCTCAGAAGATTGACGTTTTCGGTCCCATTTCATTGAATTGCTAGCTGGTTTAGTCCCATACTGGGTTTTCAGCCACCAATCAACGAAATTTCGACTTTCTACCTTTGTCCAGATAGCATATTCAAAAGTTTGAAGTTTAATAGTCCGAATTGCTGGTGGGAGGGGTGGTGGTGGTAGTAGGGGGTATGGTAGCTGAACAGATGATATAGAATCAGATGGATCGATACCATCATAACTGTCACGGGCCAGTGCCCGGTATAAGGTCACGTGCACCACGTGACCATAACAACCTAACACACAGAACACCTACTTAATAATTCTCTCTTTAAGCTTTTTGTACACAGTTCGTGGCCTAGCTCAATTGAACATAAATTCTGCTTCAGCCCTTCACATACAAAAAGCTTCCAATTGGATATTGTAAAAATCTAAAACCATAGACGAATCGTCCCTGAATCAAGAGTGATTCGGCGACGTGACCCCTAAGTGAAGATGCAGGAGTCTACGAGCCCACCATCATGGGCGCAGACGCTGCTGCAGCAAATGGCACAGTCACAGGCCATACAGAGCGAACAGAACGAGCGAATCGACATAGAACGCGCAGCGCAGGAAGAATTAATACGACGTTACGACCAAGAGCGCGTTGCCCAAGACGAACGAATCCGTCGCCTAGAGACCATAATAGAGCAATTAGCCCTACGGCCAACAACGACGACAGGGGAACCAACTCCGGCACGAACCACCGTTGGATCGACCCCGGAACCCCCACGATTAGAACCCGTATACCGCCCGAAGGCACGACTGCCAGACCCGACCCCGTTTGGAGGAAACGCAGCCGACTGGCCAACGTGGCGTGTGACAATAGAGAATAAACTGCATGTGGATGGCGTAGCAATTGGCTCGCCCCAAGATCAGTTTATGTACGTGTTCTCTAGGCTTGAGAAGCTCGCTTGGAAGAATACCGGAACCTTTGTGAAACTGCGACGAAACGATGGAGATCCGCAGACGATTCTGGATTACCTTGAGGGTATTTACGGAGACCCAAATATCAAAGCACGTGCTGCGAGACGTCTCCACCAGATACGCCAGTCGGATAGCATGCCTTTTGCGAAATTTCTACCTAGGTTAGAGAAGGAGTTTGCAGACGCAGGTGCCCTCGAATGGCACGACGAAGCGAAGAGGCAGATCCTATTGGGATCCCTGAATAAAAGCATGACGAATTCGTTGATGAATCGTGGTATTCCCGCTACGTTTTCGGACCTTATTGCTCGGCTCCATGAAATCAGCACCGATATGGACGCCCTTAGCATCAATACCCCAGAAAGATCGCACCGTGTATACGCCCAGAAGCACCAGGACTCAATGGATTGGACTCCAACCACCACAGTCAACCAAGCCGAATTCCGCACGAAACACCACCGATCAGGGCCCGAGACGAGTAGGCAGGCGAAGTGGGTCGACCACGAAGAAGTAGAGAGGCGACGAGACGAAGGAAGATGCCTTCGTTGCGGTAAGCTGGGCCACTTTATCGCAAAGTGCCCCCTACCAGCCACACAACACCAAGGACCAAGAGAGAAGCATCTCCGCAGGGTCCAAAGCAAGAAAGCCAGATACACAAATGATCGTGGATCAAATGTGTCATTTTCCGAGGACGAAGTCTCCTTAAGCGAGGATTCGGGAAAAGAGTAACTCCTGTTCTGAGTCGCGAACAGGAGCGAAAGGGGGTCGAAAGGCTGCTGAAACGAGAAACACTACCATTTTTAGTCGACGCTAGGGTGAATGAAATCCAATTTACACAAGCCCTAGTCGACAACGGATGCCGTTGTTACGCAACCGTGAATGAAGCGTTAGTTCAGTCGCTCCACCTCCCGCGCATTAGGATACCTACGCGGATCCTAGATGGAATAGTCCCGAATCAAAGCCGAATCACCCAAGTTACGCACTTTAACCTGGATATCCACGGCCACCAGCAAGGACGAGTATTCGCGTATATTATTCCCCAGCAGGAGGATAGTATAATATTAGGAGATCCTTGGCTACAAGACGTTAAAGGTCGATACTCAGCAAAGAAAGGGTATATCGATATATTTGCGAGAAACGGAGAACGAACAAGGTGCTGGAATCGCGCAGACCGCACGATCGGACCAACCAACGTAAAGAAAATACAAGTCAAGAAGTCGACAGCTCAGGGGTTGTACGACTTTATGCACAACGAGAAGCAGCCGAATCGACTTCGAATCGGCAAAGTCACAATAGACGACATTGAGAAGGCGCTTCGTCCAAAGAAACAGGATGACCCTAAGGATAAGCTGCCAAAGCACTATTGGCGGTGGTTGAATGTCTTTAGCCAGCAGTTGGCTGACGAATTACCACCGAATCGACCAGGAATCGACCATAAAATCACCCTAAAACGAGACCAGAACGGTATTGAGGAACCACCCCCATATGGTCCTCTCTACGGCATGAACAAAGAAGAACTCCTATATCTACGAAAGACGCTAACGGACCTTCTTGGAAAGAACTTCATACGAGTAAGCAAATCGCCCGCCGCGGCCCCAGTCCTACTAGTGAGGAAGCCAGGCGGAGGTATACGATTCTGCGTCGATTACCGCGGGTTAAACGAACTCACCGTGAAGGATCGTTACCCGTTACCACTGATAAGAGAGACGCTAAGGAATATGGGGCAGGCCAGATGGTTTTCTAAGCTGGATATTATCGCTGCTTTCCATAAGATCCGCGTCCAACCAGGAGAAGAATGGAAGACGGCGTTTCGGACACGATACGGCCTATACGAGTGGAACGTTACCCCATTTGGGCTGACTGGCGCACCAGCGACTTTTCAGAGGTATATCAATAAGATCCTACAGGAGTATCTTGATGATTTTGTGTCAGCCTACGTAGATGATATCATCATCTACAGCAGCGGAACGCTAGAGGATCACCGGCGAAAAGTAGGACAAGTGCTACAGAAACTGCAGGCAGCAGGCCTACAGTGTGATATTGGAAAATCGGAGTTTGAGCAGGATTCTGTGAAATACTTAGGGTTCATCGTACAAGCGGGTAGGGGAATCCATGTTGACCCGAAGAAGGTCATAGCTATCCGAGAATGGGAAGCACCGAAATCAGTACGAGATATACGGAGCTTCCTTGGATTCGCTAACTTCTACCGCCCGTTTATACCCCGATTCGCCGACCTTTCGGCACCCCTAACGAAATTGACGAGAAAAGACGCCCAATTCACGTGGGATAACGACTGCCAACGAGCATTTGAAGAATTGAAGGGCCTCTTCATTAACGCTCCGATTCTAGCACATTTCGAAGAGGATAAGGAAACAGTTATCGAGGCAGACGCATCAGGATGGGCCACAGGAGCCGTCCTATCGCAATACGGGTCAGACGGACAGCTACGCCCGTGCGCCTACCTCTCCCAGAAGCTATCGCCAGCAGAGTCAAATTACGAGATTCATGACAAAGAGCTGCTAGCGATTATACGTGCCCTCCGAGAGTGGAGACCAGAGTTAAAGATGGTGCCCCGATTCACTATCGTAACGGACCATAAAAACCTACGATACTTTGGCAAAGCACAGCACCTAAACGAACGACAAATGAGATGGGCGGATATCCTTGCGGAGTTCAACTACGAACTAAAGTATCGCCCCGGGAAGCTCGCCGCGAGACCTGACGCACTATCACGGCGAAGCCAAGACACCCCACAGCACATTACGGACGAAAGACTATCGAATCGGTTCCGAACCCTACTGAAAAAGGTGCAAATCAAGACAGGACGACCTGACTTACTGGCAGTAGAGGGGAATGACTTTGAGAAGGAAATACCCCTATTCGAAGAGCCTACGCTACAACAAGAATGGAAGAACGCGAGATCTACTGATCTAGAGTATCAGAAGATATGCGAAGCCCTGGTAAAGGGAGACCGGCGAATCACCGCCGAAACAAACGTGAAAACGACCCTATCGGAGTGCCACCTAGACGAACGAGGGCTACTCCACTTTAGGCAACGGATATGGATCCCAGACAATGAGACGCTACGCACAGGGATTATACAGAAGATCCACGACTCTCACGTCACAGCACACCCTGGCCGAGACGCTACCTACGCGATACTATCACGGAGGTTCTTCTGGCCAGGAGCAGCGAGAGATGTACGACGCTTCCTACGAAACTGCACAATTTGCGGCCGTAGCACTGTATGGCGCGACACAAAGCATGGGCTATTGAAACCGCTACCGATTCCGCAGCGAATATGGGCAGAATTATCCATGGATTTTATCGTGGAACTACCCCCAACAGCACACACAGGTGCAACGAATCTGATGGTAATCACGGACCGGCTTACAAAGAGCGTGATCCTTATAAGTATGGTAGAGATAACCGCTGAGAGAGTGGCGGATGCGTTCTTTACCCACTTTTATATGCACCACGGGCTACCACGAGCGATCACAAGTGACCGTGGGTCCCAGTTTGTGGGTGCATTCTGGCGAATAGTATGTGAGAAGCTGTCGATTCAACGTCGACTATCGACCGCTTTCCATCCGCAATCCGATGGCGCGACAGAGCGCGCGAACCAAGAAGTCGAACGGATCCTACGTGCATTCACGACCTACACGCAGGATAATTGGGATACACTACTCCCTATCGTTGCCACAGCGATTAATAACCGCAACGCTAGCGCAACAGGACTATCCCCGTTCTTCTTCACACATGGTTACCATGTTGACCCCATCGAGGTAGAAGAGATAGAAGAACCCCGCGAAACCCGTACACGACCAGGAATCGCGGGCGAAATGTTTGTGAATCGACTACGAGAAGCCACCGACTGGGCCCAAGCCGCGATCGCTTCTGCACAAGCTCTACAGGAAGAGCAATCGAATAAGCGACGACAGGCCGCACCAGTCTATAAGAAAGGCGACTGGGTATGGCTAAATTTACGGAATATACGCACACAGCGACAATCGAAGAAGCTTGATTGGCTGCATGCCCAATATCGAGTCTTAGACGTCCCCACACCTCATACAGTACGATTAGAGGTGCCCACCGGCGTCCACCCAGTATTCCATGTGGAGCTAGTTAGGCCGGCCGCTTCAGACCCGTTTCCATCACAGATTGTGGACGATTCACATCCCCCACCAATGCTGGTTGACGGAGAACTTGAATACGAAGTGGAAGAGATAATAAACGTGAGACGTCAGAAAATCGGTCGAGGATACCGTGATGAAGCCCTAGTGAAATGGACAGGTTGGGCAGAACAAACCTGGCAGAGGCTCGACGACGTACGAGATTGCTCCGCATTAGATGTAGACCTCATACCCGCCCGCGGGCGGCCCTCAGAGGGCGGCCTACGGACCCGCCCGCGGGCGGGCGGAGGGCCGGTCCAGCCTGCCCGCGGGTCGGGCTGGTCTTTTACTAGCCCTCATGAGGGCCGCCCGCGGGCTTTTCGAGGGCCGACAAACAGGACAAACAGTACACATACTTTTGAAGACCCATACTCGCATAAATTATGCAGTTTTTCAGCTGTATCTTTAGGTATTTACTTTACACTACTCTTACTGATTTTGACTAGGGTAGTAGTATTTTCTTATGGATTGATAAAAAAGATGAGATAAGTGAGATAAGTGATTTATGAATGGTATTTGCAGCTACTAGATATATGTCTAGTTCGAAGTTTTCCGGCGCTTCCAACCCTCAGTTTCATATCCATTAAGAAGTGTTGAGCGCTGCCGAACCCTCCCTGAATAACGCTGTGTACTAGGTAAGCTAGGCTCACTACTTGTTTTATCCTCTATTAGAGTCCGCTGGCTCTGTTCAACTTCAACAAGGGGCTGGGCTAGGCTAAAAACTTGGGTTCTTGGCGAAGATGCATCACTATCACCATCACTATCATGACCACAATCATCATCTTCCTCATTATCACTGATGGGCTCACACAGTTTCAAGCACGCGAAGTTGACTAGTCGCGTTATGATTATTCTAAGAGAAGTAATCATAGTGATCATGGTAATCATATTATGATCTATCATATTATGACCCACTTTTTCTACTACTACCTTCCTCTATTGGTCAGAATTTGAACGCTAGTTAAGGGCCGCCCTCGAAAAGCCCTCGAAATATGCGGGCGGCCCTCAGTTCAATAATCCGCCCTCAAAAAATGGGTAGTCGTGATGCCCCCCCCCAAAAATCTTCCACAAACTCTTCTACCAAATCATAATTTCTAACACTTTACTATTATACCATATATAATTTAATAGTAATTACTAGCAATATATCAAGTAGTTATCGTAATTTCACCTTTTGATTCAATTTTTAATCATAAATACTAGCATTCGAGATTTAAAGAGAGTATTACTAAGTTCCTATGGAGGATACACTATATACCCTAAGTGCAAATATATATTTCTACAACTTCAACTTGTAGACTTCGCAACATTCAAAATTACCAACCCTATCTTCATAATAGTAGGCTAAAAGTGAATAATATCTATATTACCTATCATTATATACTATAATACTACTTGATTTCTTAAAATTTCTCAATAATAATAAGGTAATAAAGTAGAAATGAAAGATGGAAACCAGAACAGTGTTAAAAAACAGTAATCTATTAGGATGACTGAGCAATATTATGCGTCTAAATTAGGAAAGGTCAACTTTTTTTATGTAAATGCGGGCGGATGAGGGCCGCTCGAGGGCGGCCCTCTGAGGGCTGAGGGTCCGCCGAGGGCCGGTAGTACCGGCCCTCCAACTGGTGCGGGTCGGGCTGAGGGCCGGGGGTACCGGCCCTCAAAACGTTTTTAATGAGGTCTAATTAGATGCCTTTGAAAGACGATTCGGCCCCGTTTCGACCCTATTACAGGCCCGCAAACAACCGAATACGACTACGACACACATGAGGAGGACCACCCTAAAGGGGGGGTACTGTCACGGGCCAGTGCCCGGTATAAGGTCACGTGCACCACGTGACCATAACAACCTAACACACAGAACACCTACTTAATAATTCTCTCTTTAAGCTTTTTGTACACAGTTCGTGGCCTAGCTCAATTGAACATAAATTCTGCTTCAGCCCTTCACAATAACTATCACTATAAAGTGATAATTGAGACATATGGGGTATATGTAAGGGGTAGGTAGGAGAGAAGAATAAGAGAATAATAAGAGAAGAGAGTAAAAGGGGTAAATTATTCTAAGTGGGGCTAGTATTTGCTGAGAAAAATTGTCTAAGTCTAACAATTCGAACCTTTCATCCGAACTTTTATACTATTTCTAGCTATTTTTTATCAATTGAATAAAGAATATAGATAACAGGGGGTCTAATTCATTAGATTCTACTTTGAAATAGTTCAAAAACGCACTTTTGGGGTAAATTTAGTACTAAAGATGGTATGACCAGAAACATAGTGAGGGTATGCATGTACGAAATATATATCTTCATACCTTAGCAGGGTTATTAACCACTACTCTATAATATACCCTATACCCTTCCCTTATCTATTAAAAATAGCTGTTATACTAATAAAGATATATATTATCTATTCATAAACAGGGATATTTCATAAAAATACAATAGAGAAGATAGATTAGGGTAGGTGGTATGTGTTTTGACGAAAACAGGGGTAAATAACAAAATTAATTTCGGATAAGTCATCAGATTATGCAAGAAAAATCAGGCAGAAACTAGCAAAATCAGGCCCCCACGGGCTTTTTTAGGCCCGTGGGCATGCCCGTCATGGACATGGACAAAGGCCCCCTGTCCATGGTGGACATGGACAAGGGGTCTCTGTCCATGGACAGGCCCGTGATAAAGCCTAGTGGAAAGTGGGGCGGCGAGATCGAAATGATCGGCCGGCACCTTCTAACCCATGGGGGTAATTGTAATGGACACCATTACAATTAGGGTGAGATTCTTTAGTATGGGAGAAAAAAAAGTGGGGCGGGGTCCATTACAATTAATTTTCCCGAGTCCGTTACAATTTTAATGCTTTATCGTACAGATCTCAAATTTTGATATGTTTTTCGTCACCCTCTACTTCATAGTCAAACCAAAATTCAGATCATTCCCAGCAGCAGAAATCGTTATTGCAGGGGTCCAAAATCCGGGGGTTTTTTTTGATGGGGTGCCGACTGCGGGTTAGGGTGATACATCACCGTACGACCACCACCATCAGATACTCAATAGGGTATAGGGGGATCATATGGGTGAGAAAGCTGAAAACTCAGGGGGTCGATTGATTTGATTCAGCCATATATTCAGTTTGTTTTTGGTAAATGCCAATCACCCGTATAGTGTTAAAGTTGAGCGTACGGTGTCGCATGATCGCTCCTAGCGGTTTTCCTTTCCAGCATCCCCGCCCGCCCCGCATCTTATGCCGCGAGTTTTTTTTCTAACCCATGGGGTAATTCCATTCTACTACGATGGATTAGGGTGGACTTCTTTATTGGGGGAAAGTGGTCGGGTACGATGGATATTTTTCAAGTAAGGATGGTTTACATTCTGGCTCGGACGGGGCTCAGTTTTTTTTTTTGCAGCCTAACCCATGGGGGTAATTGTAATGGACACCATTACAATTAGGGTGAGATTCTTTAGTATGGGAGAAAAAAAAGTGGGGCGGGGTCCATTACAATTAATTTTCCCGAGTCCGTTACAATTTTAATGCTTTATCGTACAGATCTCAAATTTTGATATGTTTTTCGTCACCCTCTACTTCATAGTCAAACCAAAATTCAGATCATTTCCAGCAGCAGAAATCGTTATTGCAGGGGTCCAAAATCCGGGAGTTTTTTTTGATGGGGTGCCGACCGCGGGTTAGGGTGATACATCACCGTACGACCACGACCACCCGATACCCAATAGGGTATAGGGGGATCACATGGGTGAGAAAGCTGAAAACTCAGGGGGTCGATTGATTTGATTCAGCCATATATTCAGTTTGTTTTCCAAGGCCAAGTGACCAATTCACCCGTATAGTGTTAAAGTTGAGCGTACAGATTTCGCATAATCGCTCCCAGCGATATATTACCATTTCCAGCATGTCCCAGACCACGCCCCGCAATCCCACAGCCAGCGAGTTATTTTTCACCAATTCCGAGTTTCATGTGGTAATTTGCCGTAACTGTGAGCATGCCGTACGACGAGATAATATTATCACGCATTTAACCAGTACCAACCACCGAGTCCCGCGTACGGTAGCGCAGTATATTGAGAGTTGCGTACAGCAATGGGACCATATTGAGGACCAGCCCGATATTATCCATTGGCCCACCCAGATTGATAGCCCAATACCCGGATTAACCGTATTTGATGACGGTTTATTGTGTTTACGGTGTGAGAGATATATTTGCCGTACGATGCAGTCATTACGAGTCCATTGGCAACGCGCACATGAATGGTCCCCCAGCACCCACCGGGGTCGTCCCAAACCATCCGAGACCAGGCGTATCCAGGAGGATATTAATACCAGTTACCAGAGTGTGACATGCCAACGTGTTTTCAAGCATGGGTCCGGTTCCCAGTTCATCCCCATCCGCCAGCCCGATCCACCGCGGGCCGAACCGGTGCCACCCGTGGATGCCATCCACCAGTTGGTCCAGCGCGTCCGAGCATTCCAGGCCCAGCAGGCCCGCAGCCAGCAGACCGTGATCCAGGCCGGGGAGATCGACGAAGCCACGCCGTGGTTAAACCGTACGGGGTGGGTCCGGTATTTACAGGGCATTTCGTCCGCCCCGTTAGTGCAGTCCATGGAGCGGCCGGACGAGGATGCCGAGGGCCCCGAGGGTGCGGCATGGGCCATTTGGCAGGCCATGGAGCGATTGGCCATGGTCAGCCAGCAGATCACCCGGGCGAGTGGGTTTTTGGTGCGGATTGAGGCCGCCCGCACGCATAAGGCCGATTCCCCGTACGAGCCGTTGTTGGCGTACATGAAAGAAGCGGAGATCAAGGACCATATTGAGCCGTGGCAGCGGATATTGATGTTTTTCACCCGCACCCAGCAGCCGCACGATTGGGAGAGTCCCCCGTACGAGTTCACCCCCGCACAGCAGCGGTCGTGGGAGATCGTATGGCGGCGTGCGCAGGCCGCGGGCCGGTCCAGCCCGGACCCCATGGACCCCGAGCCGTACGAGTTATCGCCGTTGGAGTGCGCGATTATGGATTTTTGCATCAATTTGTTACGCCAGCGGATCCGGCACCACGAGTATGGGTGTGCGTTTATATGCGCATCGGCCGTGTTGGGCCGGAAGTTGTCCGGATGGGATGGGGTGGAGGATTACCCCCCCAAGATATCCAGTTTGATCAAGATCGCCCGTTTTTTGGTATTGCATAAGGCGTTGCGGTTAGACCCCGATTCGTTGGCCATCCGGCGTGGGTTCGCGCAGGGCAGCCAGGAGCCCCATTTCCGTGGTGACGATATCCCCGTCGCGGACGGATATATATTTGACGGGGACGAGGGTTATGCCAGCAGCCCCGTCCGAGAGACGCCCACCCCCCGTCCCATGCCCGGATCCCCCACCACGTCCATTTTGGGACCCCCCACCCAGATCCAGGGTCGTCGGGTGATTCGTACGTTTCCCGAGTGGTTACGATTGATGGTGGATGCGTTTATGGTGCGTGGGACCCACGGGCCGGTCCAGTGGTTATTGGATTTACGCACGTACGGAAAGAAGGTGTTTTTCAACACCCCGTCCGAGGGGCATATCGGATGGAAAGGCGAGGATGAGTTGTTGTATAAGCAGTTGCATTTTACCATGGGTGATTTCCGTGGGATGGTCCACGGGTTGGTCGAGAGCATGCGGAACCAGTTTCACCAGCAGTTGATATTCGCCGAGGGTGCACAGATCCCCAGTATTGATTTACAGGATATATACGACGATCCCACGCAGCGGACGGCGGATTGGAGTTTTATCAAGGATTCCCGTACGCAGTGGCCCGTCCACGGGGCCGAGTGGTTGATCCAGCGGGTGGCCCAGGAGCCCACGTTCCGGCGGCGATTCAGCGAGCCGGACGGCCAGGGGTTCCGGATGCGTGCAATTGACCGGTATTTTGCCGAGGTGGCCCGGTTCCGCGAGTGGTTAAGCGTGGCGATCCATATCACCGCCGGCCAGCCCAGCCGTACGCCCGAGTTGTTGAGTATCCGGTACCGGAACAGCGAGCGAGAGATCCGCAACGTGTTTATCGAAGATGGGATGGTGGTATTTGTCAGCCGATATCACAAAGGGTTCCATATCACCAACGATACCAAGGTGATTCAGCGGTATTTGCCGCAGGAGGTTGGGGAGTTGGTCGTCCGATATATATGGTTGGTGTTGCCGTTTGTGGAGATATTGCAAGCATATCAGTGGCAGCAGCGAGGCACCCCCACCCCCCGCCGACAAGAGTATTTATGGGGCCCCGACGCCGGCAGCGAGAAGGCGTGGACGGGCGTACGATTCCGGAAGGCGTTGGAATCGGCCACGGCCGCGGGGTTGCACGGGCAGGCGGTCCACGTGTCGGCATACCGCGACATCGCCATCGCGATCAGCCGGCGGTATTTACGGGGCAAGAGCCAGTTTGAGAGTAACGTGCAGGAGGGCACGGGCGAGGCGGCCCCCCCGTACGACCCCGACGATGAGGGTGGGATGGACGAGGAGGAGTTGATGGGGCATATTGCGGATTTGCAAGCCACCCATTCGTCCCACGTGGCCGGGATGATGTACGGTCGTACGATCATGGAGCCCACCAACAGCACCACGCACCGGCGGCAGCGGTTCCGGCAGTCCAGCCAGGATTGGCATCAATTTTTAGGGTTTGCATCCGCCGTCCGCGCCGGGGTATGCGGTAAGCGTCCGAATCCGTGGGAGGATGATGCCGAGGAGAGCCGGACGCAGCGGCGGTATCAGTTACAGCAGGCCCATATGTTGCAGTCGTTCCAGCAGATGGTCGGACGGCCCGAGATGGTATTCCGTGGGGTGCAGGAGCCCGCGTTGCGGGCGATCCAGCAGGGGGTCAGCCCGGTCGTGGCGGTGATGCCCACCGGGGGGGGCAAGAGCATATTATTCATGTTACCCGCGTGGGTCGGGGGTGGATTGACGGTGGTGGTCGTCCCGTTGATCGCGTTACGCCAGGATATGGTCCAGCGGTGCGAGCAGTTGGGGATATCATGCGTGCCGTACGACCGCCAGCGGCCCCCGGACGAAGCGTCGATCGTGTTGGTCACCCCCGAGAGCACCCGCAGCCAGGGGTTCCGGACGTTTTTGAACCGGCAGCGGATGTTGCAGCGGTTGGAGCGGATCGTGATCGATGAGTGCCACGTCGTGTTGAACAATCAAGATGATTTCCGGCCCCAGTTGCAGATGATGGGGGAGTTGCGGGCCGCCAAGACGCAGATGGTCATGTTGACGGCCACGTTACCCCCGGCGGCCGAGCCCACGTTATTATACCGGATGGGGTGGCCCCGGGAGCAGGTGGCCATATACCGGGCCCGCACGCACCGGCCCAACGTGGCATACCGGGTATGGTGCCCGGAGGTGGAGGCGGGGTACGATCACCCATCCCAGTGGATCCAGATGGACGGGGTGATCCAGTTTATCCAGGAGCGGGTCCAGCGGGCCCACCCCGGACGGGTGATCGTATATGGGAGTATCGTGGCGCACGTCCGGATGATGGCGGACCAGTTAGGGTGTGACGCATATTTCAGCCAGCAGCACGATCAAGATGGGGTGTTAGCCCGGTTCCGTACGACGGCGGGGGCGGTGATCGTGGCCACCAACGCGTTAGGCATGGGGATCGACATTCCGGACATCCGCAGCGTGATCCATTTGGGGCAGCCCCGTACGATATTGGATTACGCGCAGGAGAGCGGGCGTGCGGGGCGTGACGGGTTGCCGAGTGAGGCGATCATCATTCAGCCGGAGGGGCAGCGGGTGGGATATCAGCAGCGTCCGGCTTGGATGCCCGAGTCCGCGGAGGAGCAGCAGCGGGTGCAGCAGTATATGTTGCCGTTGGACGCGGGGGGTGGATGCCGGCGGGTGATATTAGATGAATATTTAGATGGGCATGTCCGGCCGGGGTGTACGGACGACGAATCGGCATGTGATGGGTGTGATCGGGGGTGGTATCCACGCGAGACGGATATCGGTGACGAGATGGAGAGCAGCACGCCGGACGGGCATACCAGGGTACCCAGAGTGCAGACGTCCGGGGAAGAGAGCCCCAGCGAGAGGTCCCGCGAGAGGTCCCGCGAGAGGTCCAGCGAGAGGTCCCACGAGAGGTCCCGCGAGAGGTCCAGCGAGAGGTCCCGCGAGAGGTCCAGCGAGAGGTCCAGCGAGAGGTCCAGCGAGAGGTCCAGCGAGAGGTCCAGCGAGAGGTCCAGCGAGAGGTCCGGGGGAGAGAGCCCCAGCCCAGGGTCCACAGGAGAGAACGCAGGGCAGGGGTCCCGGGGAGAGGGCCCGTCCATCCCCATGGCCGTCCGACATGAGTTCCGGCGGCAGGACATCCAGCGGGCCCAGTTGTCCAGCCAACGACCCGAGGCCAGGCAGGACCAGATCCAGAGAGATATGTATTTCCAGAGTGAGATCGGACGGTGGTTGATGCGGTGTTGGTCGTGTGCGCAGGAGGGGAGGGATGACGGACATGAGTTGTTTCGGTGTCCGTGGGGGTATAATATCGAGGCCAAGGCGTGGTGGAAGCGGATGCGTGCGTTTGATGGGATCCGTTACCAGGATTACAGCGCGCATTTCCGGTGTGGGATGCCGCAGTCGATATGCCCGCAGGGGGATCCCAGCAAAGCGATATCCCGTACGACGGAGGCGCAGCAGAGATGTGAGCAATACCGGCACACATTGTTACCGATGGTGGCGATGATGTTGTTCAGCCAGAAAACGCATGCGGAGATCCGTACGGCGTGGGATCGACGGTTACAGTATGTCGGGGTGGATAGTACGGATGAGGAGCAGTTAAAGCGGTATTTTGGGGGTATGGCAGAAGAGATTGCATGCCAGCAGTCCCGGTTAGTACAGGAGTTCATTTGGTGTCGAAGGATTTATCAGGGGCATGAAGTCGAGTAGATGGCGGAATCGGAATATATTATCATTCACGGGATCGGCGGATTTCCCGTAGGGTCGTTCAGTAGATATATATAATCAAGGTGGGCATTCAAGAGATAGGGTTTTGTGCACAAAAACGCAACAGAAGATAGGCATTGGAGAGATAGGGTTTCGTGCACAAAAAGCCAACAGAATGTAAAGACGTACGAGAGATAGATTTTTGTGCGCAAAAACGCAACAGAATATCAGATATGAGAGAGACAGGTTTTTGTGCACAAAGACGCAATAGAAGATCAGATATGAGAGACAGGTTTTTGTGCACAAAAACGCAACAGAAGATAGGCATTCGAGAGATAGGTTTTTATGCATAAAAACGCAACAGAATATCAGATATGAGAGACAGGTTTTTGTGCACAAAGACGCAATAGAAGATCAGATATGAGAGACAGGTTTTTGTGCACAAAAACGCAACAGAAGATAGGCATTCGAGAGATAGGTTTTTATGCATAAAAACGCAACAGAATATCAGATATTAGAAAGATAGGTTTTTGTGCACAAAGACGTAACAGAATATCAAGATCATCCCATATAGGTATCGAGAGTGTAGGGTGTTTAGGGGTATAGGGCCCAGTAGTATAGAGGGCCCAAGCGTGGTTAGGGTGATAGTGTGTAGCGTAGTAAGGGTAATAGTATAGGGAGTGGTAAGGGTGGTAGCGTACCAGGCATATCGGGTTAGAGAGTATAGGCGTACATATGGCGAGAGCACCGGCGTAGGTACAGGCGTTAGCACAGGCGTGAGTGTAGATAGCGTAGGCGTAGGCGTACGGGGCATAGGTATATAGATAGGCGTGGATGTAGGCGTGGATGTAGGCGTGGATGTAGGCGTGGATGTAGGCGTGGGTGCAGAGGGCGTAGGTACAGAGAGCGTAGGCGTACGGAGTATAGAGCCCGGTAGTATAGAGAGCCCAAGCGTGGTCAGGGTGATAGCGTGGTCAGGGTGATAGCGTACGGGTGGTGAGGGTAATAGTAGTGAGGGTGGCGAGGGCACAGGCGTAGGCATAGGCGTATAGGTACGGAGATCGTATATATATAGATATAGAGAGCGTATGCGTATAGGTAGAGGCCCGTGGTATAGAGAGTATAAAGAGCAGGCGTAGGCGTAGGAGCAGAGGGCGAAGGTATAGGCGTGAGCGTAGGCGTACGGGGCATAGGCATATGTGTAGGCGTGGACGCAGGGGTGAGTGTAGGCGTAGGTGCACCGGGCGTAGGCGTACAGGGTAAAGGGCATAGAGGCGCAGAGCGCAGAGCCCGGGGTGGCGAGTATATAGGGGATCATCGTTATCAGTATGGTCAGGGTAATGGAGAGAGGTCAGGGTTTTGGTAGTAAGAGATATGATTCAAGTAGAGAAAGCGTGATTTCGGCCGGAATAATTAAAGTATCAATACAATATATAGATCAATCGGGTAGAGGATAGAGATATCGGTCGAAGGAATATCGTGAGGATAATTATATATCGAGGTAGAGAGCGTAGAGCCCAGGGTAGCGAGGATAGAAGGGTGCATCACGAACGATCCGGATTTCGAAAGAAAGATATATCATTGATCGAGAGAATGATGTTCGCCCATACATCAGTGATATTGATAATATATATATTCATAAACCAGAGAGATGGTGGAAATGGAGATTTCAGTAGAAATAAATATAGTCGGGAGAATCCGATATCCCAATCGAGGGAGTACAGGTAGATAGAAATCGACAGCGTAGGGGTATAGAGTATATCGATATTCCGAGTATAAGTGTGGTCCGGGTGATAGCGTATCGGGTGGTCAGGGGAAGAGAGAGAGAGGATGCATTCGGCCGGCATCCAGTTAGGATTGCGAATATATAGATCAATCGGGTAGAGGATGGCGATATAGGACCCAAAATATATTATCCGAGGTAGGGTCATATATTCGGGTATCAAGCATCAAGACGGAGAGAGCATAGGCGCATAGGTATTCATAGGGCGAAGGGATCGAGATTCCGAGTGTAGGGAGATGGAGGGTAGGGGTAGGATAGAGCGTAGGGGTAGTAAGGGTGATCGTGGTAAGGGTGATAGTATGGTTGGGGGGATAATAGCGTAAGTGGGTAGGGTGGTCGGGGTAAGGATGATCGTGGTAAGGGTGGTCGTGGTAAGGGTGGTCGTGGTAAGGGTGATCGTGGTAAGGGTGATCGTGGTAAGGGTGATCGTGGTAAGGGTGATACAGTAGGGGTAGTGGTAAGGGTAATCGTGGTAAGGGTAATCGTGGTAAGGGTAATAGCGGTAGGGGTAATAGTACGGTCCGGGTAATAGTATATGGGTAGTAGGGGTAGTAGTATACCAGGCATATCGGTATAGAGAGGATAGGCGTAGGGACAGAGGGCGTAGGTGCAGAGATGGTAGGTATAGAGAGCGTAGGCGTAGGGACAGAGGGCGTAGGTGCAGAGAGTATAGGTATATAGGTGCGGAGGGCATAGGGATGGGTATAGGCGTAGGTATAGAGAAAATAGACATACAGGTCCGGTGGATACCAGCGTAGGGTAGCGAGTATATCCGGGACCCGGGTAATATATATCGTCAGAGTAGAAGAGAGGTCAGGGTTTCGGTAGAAAGAGATATCATTAGTAGAGAGAGAATGATTTTACAGAAATATAAGGAAGATCGGTAATATATCGATTTATATTGAAGAGCGAGAATAGACATCAAGATTTTCGTCGGAATATATAGAGTAGGGAGAATGCAATATTCGGGTCGAGGGAGTATAGGTATACCGATAATAAAAGCGAAGGGGCATCGAGTATATGGATATCAATCATATCAGTATAGTCAGGGTCACAGGGTATATAGTAGTCAGGGTAAGAGCGTATACGGTAGTAAGAGGAAGAGATTAGTCGGAATCGGGTTAGTATACAGAAGATATATATCAATCGGGTAGAGGCATAGATATATGAGTCCCAAACGATATGGAAGGAGTAAGGGTAAGTATATATTAGGGTATAGAGTAACATGGAGAGTATCGGCGTAGGGGTAGGGAGAGGCGTCCGTATCAGGGTATAGGATATAGATATAGACGTAGATATCAAGGTAAGTACCGGTATAGATAGGGTAATGGCGTATAGGGTAAGATAGGGGAGAGAGAGAGAGAGGAGAAGAGAGAGAGGAGAAGAGAGAGAGGAGAAGAGAGAGAGGAGAAGAGAGAGAGGAGAAGAGAGAGAGGAGAAGAGAGAGAAAAAAAATTAAATAGGAAATTAGAAAATATAGACAATATAGATATGAATCAAAAGGGATTTGATAGAAGTCGCGATTTTGGTAGAAAGATAGATAGTTAGGATATAAATCGGTATAGATTGAGGGTTATTGGTTAGTTTGGCAGATATAAGTAATGTGAAGTATAGAAGTAGCGGCGTATGGGGTTGGATGATAGTAGAGGGGGAGTTCGGACGGGGTTTCCAGGGTTATAGAGATACGATATAGGAAGGTTGAGGTTATATAGGAAGATATCGGGATCGAATAGGATTGAGGAAGGGGCGATATAATAAATATTTCGATAGATGGTATAATAGATAGGTTAAGAGAGGATGAAGATAGAAAAGAGGAGGGTATTGATTAAGAATAATATAAGGTGGTAGAAGATAGACATAGTGGGAAGGATGGGGATATAAGGGAGAAGGAAGGAAAGTATAGTAAGGGTAAGAACGGGGTATATAGTGAGGGTGATAATTGTGTATGTGGTAAGGGTGGTTAGTAAAAGTTGATAGGGTGAGAATTGTGTATGTGGTAAGGGTGGTTAGTAAAAGTGGATAGGGTGAGAGTAGCGTAGGTGGTGAGGGTGAGAATAGGGTAGGTGGTGAGGGTGAGAATAGAGGGTGGTGATAGTGTATGTGGTGAGGGTGATAATGGCGTACGTGGATAGGGTAAGAATAGCGGACGTGGTGAGGGGGAAAATAGGGTGTGTAGTGAGGGTGAGGATAGTAGACGTAGATAGGGGGATCATAGTGTATATGGTACGGGTGATAGGGTGGATAAGGTAAGAATTAGCGTAGGTGGTAAGGGAGAAGGAGCAGAGATATGGATATACGCGCGAGCGAAGCGAGTAGCGTATTTGATGAACGGTTATCGCGGATTAAGGACCCGGGTCAGGGTGGATTTAAGGCACCCGGTTAGGGTGGTTA